ACACTCATCGATGCCAAACATCTTTGTTTCCACAGGGAAAACTTTTTGTCTGAAACGTTTTTAATGCAGTATAAGAAAAAAATCTGACTCTAGGTAGTTTAGATCATTCACTTATAAATATGCCTCCTCTGTCAGTTGTAATCCCTTAAAGGGAAACAACTCCTGCAAATCCCCTCACGATCAAAGCTAAGACCGACCTCAAAAGTAGCTACAATGTTTAAACATTTTTTTCCCCTTATTTTGTGAGGAATGAAGATGAAGTGGGATTATGTATAGGCAAAATAGATACCCTATTAATTTGATGCACTGTGCCATATTTAAAACAAATTTTAGGCATAGGGGTTGAGATGGGGTCATCTATCCCCTGAACTCCATCGTTTCTGATTGTACAATGTTGTTTTTCATCTCCAATGAATGTGTTGAGAATGCATTTTTTTTTATAAAACTGTATTATTATTATTATTATTAATAACATTACGTGAAAGATTACAGTGTAAATTTCCTGTGTATGTCACCTTCGCGTCAGCATAACTAACATGGTGTATCAGTATCGGTATTATAAGTAGGCCTTACATCAAATTATAGATAATATAAATGTTCTCTTACTACAATTTTATCGTTTTTGCCACTTGTCCTATACAAAGATATCTACTCCATCCTTACTCGATGTCATAACCAATTTGCTCTCATGGTTTTGTATGTATTTTCAAAGTTGATTTTAATGAAGTTTAGTTTGAAGGTGTTTTCTCGTCTTTAACTCGTATCACCTGTTATCATGGTTATGTCAGTATAGCAGAAGAAGTGTAACAAGGTTATATATGATGGCTGAGGGGGAAATGTTTGACGCGTCAATGTGGTTTCTTGTACAACTTAGCAGTCGTCACTCTTTGTCGTGTTGTATGTAAATATCACGGAAAGCACCTGATATAGAAAAGTCTAGAGTATCACTGATTTCAAGTTAAAGAAAGTAAATACGATCACCATGATCAGTTTGTTCTGTTATTTATAGAAAACACATCGTAGGTTCATCTAAAAGTGATATTATTTCATATTTTTAATCAATGGTTTGTCATTTAATATTACAACATTAATTTTAAATTGTTCGCATTCCTAAGATTGCCGATTATTTGAATAAACTAAATATTTATTTAATCAAATTGTTTCATGATTATTTGAAAATTCATTCAATGCCATTGAAAAGTTGCTACAATGTTTAAACATCTTTTTTTCCCTTATTTTGTGAGGAATGAAGATGAAGTGGGATTATGTATAGGCAAAATAGATACCCTATTAATTTGATGCACTGTGCCATGTTTAAAACAAATTTTAGGCATAGGGGTTGAGATGGGGTCATCTATCCCCTGAACTCCATCGTTTCTGATTGTACAATGTTGTTTTTCATCTCCAATGAATGTGTTGAGAATGCATTTTTTTTTATAAAACTGTATATAGCTGTATATTTTTATATATTGTGTTGCATGTTATATATAAATTTGTTTTTAATGCAGTTATGTATATACAGCATAGAATTAAATGTCCATTTTAGGGGAAATAAAGGTGAAACCTGCACCTTGCGGAGAGGAGTCTGATGTGAGACTAGTTATGAGAGGGAAAGTCATTCCTGAAGGTCTTCTAGAAAGTGGTGTTAAAGACTAAAGGATTGTCACCAATATATGCCTGCTTCCTCTGCAAAAATAATTCCAGGGACCTTCTCTGCCTACACTAGATGTAATTAAGCTCATATTGGTGATCTATCCAAACAAAGGAATGATGGCATACTGTGTTTGAAATCTACTTTTTAGGCTAATAGTGTATTTCAGTGACTATTCAGTCCATTTGTACTGGCCTAAGGACGGTCTTTCTGTGGCTGTACAAGTTTTCTAGGGTTTTCATCATGTCAAAGTGTTTACTGGATGTAGAAAGTGAGGCCAAAATGTGTAGTGATGTGATATGAGTATTGAAATGTTCCTTTGCCAATAAAATCATGGGAAAATGAACAAAACAGAACTTGTTGTTTATTATCTACAAAAAAACCCCACAGTATTGAATATAGGAATAACATTTTCTGTGCCTTAACTAAAATGCCTGTTTTGTTTTCTGAAAATGATGTTTAACAATTTTTTGAGAAAAGCAATCACTAAATCAAAACAGCAAGATTTTGAAGTTTTTCGTTCAAATGAAAAATGGTACTGTTGGAACAAGTGACCTCATCAACCTCAAATATTTACATTGAAAAAGTCTGAGGCTAAATATACCAGCATTTTCAACTAAAATAGAACGGTCAAATACTTGTTACACAGGATTGTACTGTACTGAGTGTTTGGGTGGTGAAGTGGATAGCGCACTTGACTTTCATCGAGGTGGCCGGGGTTCAATTCCCCAAATACCCCATGATTAAATGATAAAAACACAAATTATAATTTTGAAATAAAGCTTAAAGATTATAAATTCACAAAACGGCAAAAAATGACAATGAAATGAATGCCTGATCTATATGTTCATCATAAAAGCTACATATGTAAGATGTGCCAAACTGTAATTCTAATATAATCATAGTCTCCAAATACTTACAGGAAGCGTTATTACGGCGACTTTGTGTATCCATGTTAGAGTGTGAGACAAAAAACACAAATACAAAAACAAACAAGCCTGTTTTCGATTTTCAACAAGATATTTACACAATCAATAAAAAATAATAAGCCAAATACTTGAGAGTGGAGAAGTGAGACGTTTTCATAGAACCTATTTAAAAAAACTGTCTTTCAATGTTCTCTTTACAATATAACAACATGTTGGAAGTTAAGATTTTGTATTGCGATTAATATGGCATATAAAGTATAAAGTGTGGTTTTGTTTGTACGATTTAGGAATCGAATATAAGGATGTTAAACCTGCTTCAGTGTAATCATGATCGACTTCACGTCTCGGCGATGGGGAACATGCATAAGTAGGATTACCAACATCGTGTACCACACTGAGCTGTGTATGTAGGCGGGTTATATAATAGTAATTGCATACAAAATGATTTTTTTTAAGCTGTGTTTGCTGGTAAGACTACCTTAAATTATCATGTACCTGCGTCATTTATCTGTGTATGCTGTGTTGGAACCTGAACTCTAACATCAGACACGTGAACATCGATACCAAATTACACGTCTATGTGTGATTCTTGTGAAAGGGAAAGGGACAGTCAACCCCGGTGATCAAATCACTTTTCAGTACATCCTATATTATCAGCAGTGACTAATATTGTTAATTATATTTGACAAATGAGTGAAAACGATTATAAATAAGTAAAACGAGGTAAATGCTACAATTAACTATTTAACAACGTGGCGCAATTGTTGAATGAAGAATGTTTGCTTTAAAAAACACTTTTTTTTTCTTTAGAAATTACGCCGTGAAAATTTAACAAGGGAACATAAAAAAGCTTGGTTCACCACAAATGAAAAAAATTGTGAAATACTAACCTTTGCTTCGGATAACAATGGTTTCAGGAAATAGAAAATATGTGTTTTTCAGTACAATTTATATCCCGTTCCCATACTTAACACGCACAGTATTTTTCAAAATAAATGTACAAATATACAACATTTGATATAGCGTATATTACAAATTATTTAGTTAATACGGTTTTTAGGATTACCGTAAACCGAAAAGGAAGAAACACATTTATATATTTATTTATATTTTGCGTAAACTAGATCCACTGAAAAAAACTTGAAAAAAAACATCCTTATCACAAATACTAATGTATTTAATAGGTAAATTATGTATTTCAGCAGGAATACATTAATACTATGTTAATCCTGGTATATTACTCGTGTTTTGCAAGAAAGAACTTTGTTTTGAACGTTACACCAGAAATACGATTACTCAACGATGTCTTGACTTGTAACAGCTTAAATCAAGTCAATTGAATGCAGTAAGTACGATCTAAAGTATTGGTGTTCAGATGCAGTTCTTCATTATATTGTACAGAGTCGATAAATATCTAAGTAAGATTTAGTCAAACAGTAGTGTCAAATATTATAGACGGCCCGATATGTATGACATCAAAAATATTGTGTATTTTGTACTATTTTCCCATCTTTAAAAGTATTTAATCAAAATGCACCTTCAACGCTCGTCATTAAATGAATAGTATACAACCTAAGCGAAAAGCTATTGAAAAGAATTTGACTTACTTAACAACTTGTTGTGTTTGAGTTAATGGTCCCTGTGCCACTGCAATGTGGCTTTCCTTATATCTACAGTAACCTCCCCTTAACTTCGTTTTGGATATAACTGTAGCAAAGGTGATACTAAGTTGCACTTTCGGATAGACAGAACACTGTGGTATAGCATTCTGAAATCCAGGGTTCGATTTCCTGTCTTACCCATTTGAATGTTTTTACACTCAGTGCACAGTGTTTTGTTTATTTTATCTTCGTTATTTTTAATAAAAGTCACTAAGGTATGGTTTTCTTTTCAGGAATGGTTTATAAAAAATCCATAATCATGCATGGAAAAATAGTTTTCAGCGTTACAATTTAATGCAGTGGTACGGGGATCCTTATTTAATCAATTATAGATAGGAATAAAAACCTCCATTGATTTGAGAAGATCAGTTTCATGTTGAGGAAGGGTAGGGAAGGGACAGACATAAAGTGTAACAGGTTTGTCCGCCCAATGCCATACAACACAGTAAGCTGTACGGATCTAAATTAATCCAAGGAGTGTTCATATTGTATACACAAGGCGGCTTGTGTAGGGTATTGTTAAAGCAGAAAAGCTATTTTCGACATTCTAGCTTATATCAATTAATAACATAAAAACTAATCATCAGAAAGCAAAGGCATTGTCATACAATAAATGCACAAAACCATTTCATGTCTCAACTTAATGTTTATATTTACGAAACATTTCATCCGTTCAACTATAGTTTTTATTTGTCATATCACTATCATACCCATACGGGTGTAAAATTAGAATCTGTGTCATTCTATATGCATAACATTAGTAACACGGGCGCATGTACAGGTGTGTGTTGGATGTGTACAGAAATGTTTAAGATGTCGTACTCGAATGAAAGTGTGTGTATCTTGGCATCACATGGAAATACATAATTAAATAGGAGTTCAACAAGTGAAATATTGGTAAGTTAGTATATTGGTTAGACTCTTTGTAGATTACACGTATGTGTATTTTTACCATTGTTGTAAAACATGAGAACTAAAATCAGGATTACTTCCTTGTTTGATACCCGATAGACATTCATTATCACTAAGTTTGTTATTGCTGTAGTTATGTAACCTATCTTTGTCTATTGAAAGTCTCATTAAATAGAACTGATTGAGATTGCGGAACTCATTTACTTAACTTCATATCCTTGTGAATTGATTGTTGATCGGGACACTTATCATATAAACAGGAAATTTGAGTGGAGACGAATGGAAGGCTTAATACACATTCGCTACGAAGCTAACAGGAAGTGCTGACTCAATGATCGAAGTTGTTCATGCAACTAAATGAGGTAAGAAATAACTGTTGGTGTACATGATGTTATTTTCTAGCAAGGGTATGCATTTATCATAAACACACCCACATATATACATCCATACACACTCCCAAGCAAACCGAGGAACCCCAAATATGGACTTACACCTTACTTTTACACACACCCGCACCAAAATCCCCACACAAACACACGAACTATTTATCCAATAAATTATATTTATTATAAAATATATCTACACTCCCTCCCAAAACATTGGTTATCTAATCATAAAATGGCCAAGAATGTCAAAGAAATTAGATATATGATCTATATGTTCAATAAAAAATTGTCTTAAAGGTGCCATGCAGTTAACTTTCGCGCTTTTTCCTTATCAGCAGGATTATACTGGAATATCTTTCTTTTGTTACGTAGCAAATTTTATAAATTTTCTGTTAATTCCACTCTAGGAGTGTAAAACGTGTTGAATATTGAACTAATTTGATGATTTACATAATATCACGTATGCCCCATCAATATTTTTGCAGTTTTCCCGACAGATTGCGGGCACAATCACTTAACATATATGAAAACTTTGATTTTATATTTTTTTTATATAATATTTTATATATTTCATGAATAATAAGATAGTTTTAATTGGCTTAATGCAATGTTTATTTTTTATTTTTTTTACATTCGTAGTAAAGTCAAAATTTCAAGAAATTTGCAGGATTTCTTTTTTGAAGTATGACGACTATCTTAGTACAGACAATACGATGCCTACTATCCATTGACAGCAATATATTCTAAACACGATTTTACCAATCAATAAAAACAAAAACAATATACCAAATATTGGAATCAGTAAACATGAGGACTGATGTATTAAGCAATGTGGAAACGTTTTAATAAAAGCTATTTTTAGAAATATGTGTGCGATTTAATGATAATGGAGGTAACTATTATACCCTGCGATGAAGAAGCGGTTAAAAGTACAGGAACTGTTTTGTTGAACATGCTTCAGAATCATTATGATCCACCTCTCGTCCCTAAAAAGTTTAATGAAGTATATTTATAGGTGGGATCACCAATATCGTCTACCATATCAAGCTGTTTGCGTAGGTAGTTTACAAAAAAAAAAAGCACTTACAAACAAGCTTTGTTAGCAGGTAAGACTAAGGCTAAGACTAGTCATAGAGGCATTCTTTTACAGCAGGTTGTAGTTAAGAATATTCTGTTTTCATTGCATAATGTAGATATAAGTAGCCGTATACAAAGGTAACATACAGACTGCCAGGAATATCATATTTAAACGTTAGTATTGATTTGACCTTTTATCTACTTAGTGTAATTTCTGTCTGTGTACCCGTATCATTTATTGGTTATTGATGTGTTTGACCCTGTTCTTTTGATCCAACAACAGACAGGTGAATGTGTATCAAATTACATACTTAATTCGGGTCTTGATAAAGAGGAAGGAATAGTCATTCCAGGTGATCAGGTCTTCAGCACATGCTTTATTTTCAACAGTGAATGCTTGCTAAGTTGTTAAAACGAGAGGCCTAGAGGGCCTGTATCTCTCATCTGGATATGATTAAAGTCATCGATATAAGGTAAAGATATGACACTCTATGGTAGGTACTGTATGTACATATGAAAGTTCAGAAAAATGCCTCCAGTACTTTTGGAGATATATCTAGAGCAAACTTGAAATAGGGAGGCCACACTCACCGTTTATACAAAATTGAGTCCAATTAGGATTAAAACCATTTATCCCTACCGTAGCTTTAAATGCTTTACTACTATTTTCCCTATGGGGCCCCGCTCCTCTTCCCCGAGGGGGGCAACTCCATTCATTTATACATAATGTATTTCCCTACGCCTTAGGATGGTCCCGACCAAATTTAGTCAATATTTGCTTGGGTCGTTGAGGGCAAATAGTGTTTTGAAGGGAAAGTTGACAGACCTACGGCGGACGACGGCTCTGTCTTTTGGGAAGCCAAACTATACGTTGATACAAAAGATAATCATCTTGCCCAAAAGCTGCTCCAGACTAAAGTGGGATAAAATCCCCTAATTCCTACGGTAGAAGTAGGATTTCAAAGGTTTTACCTCTATTTCCCCTATTGGGCCCTGCTCCTCAGTCTCCAGGTGCGATGCACCAGACCATAGGATGATCCAGACCAAATTTAGTAAAATTCTACGGGCCTGTTCAGGACTGGTAGCGTTTTAAAGGAAATGTTGGCGGACGGACGGACGACGGACGCCGCGCCATGACATAAACTCACCGGTCCTTCGGACCAGGTGAGCTAAAAACGGAACAAACGTTCAAAATAAACAATTAAGATAGAAGTTTATCAACATTTGTGCAATAATTTATGAATACTATCTTTGCATTTCCAAAAAAAAAACCCAGATTATTTCTCTTCGAAAAATTACGTTGTTTTCAATTGAACAATGGTTTCAGTGAGTAGAGAATACGTGCTGTAACATTCTAATATATCTCATGAAAGGCACAGTCTTTATTCAGGTTAGTACGGTGCGTATTGTTTAGAAACAAAAGCTAATTTAACAAGCTTAGTTCTCTTTTCATAGTCGCAATCAATATATCACTAGATATACAGAAGAAAGGAAAATCTTCTTCAGAAAAACACCCCGATAATAAAAATTATCGTGCAATAAAATAACCCAATCTTTTCATGCATGTGTACATTTAAACCACATGTTATACTTTTAAATATATTTGTAAAAAAAGGAGATGTGTCATTGTATATGCATAATATTTGTAACACGGGCGCATGTACAGGTGTGTGTTGGATGTGTACAGGAATGACAAAGATGTCGTACTCGAATGAAAGTGTGTGCTTCTAGTCATCATCTTGATCATGTTTCATAGGAGTTAAACAAGTGAAATGTTGGTAAGTATATTGGTTAGACTCTTTGCAGATGACACGTATGTGCGTTTTTAAATCAGGATGACTTCCTTGTTTTATACACGGTAGACAATAATTAAATACTAAGGTATATAATGTATTTGCACAGTCAAAATCAAGACGAGCGTTTTGTTCATTTCGTGTCCCTTTGTGTGTGTGTCCGTCTTGTCCTTGTGTGTTGATGTTATGGTATATCTTGTCCTTGTGTGTTGACTCAATTTATAAAATACTTTATCTTTGCGTGTTTTGACGCTGTTATAACTACCAGTAACTTTGAACAAATCTTACCAAATTGCAACGTATAATGTTATATAATAAATGTGCCACATTAAAGGAAACTGTAGCAAGTCTGTTTAATTATATTGTGACACCACAGCTAGAATAGAATGTATAAAATATGATGGGTACGGTAAAAGGTTAAAATGTTTATATATTCCGGTAGTACGTTTTTTCAATAGATTAACCTTCAACCATTACTTTAAAAATGAATGACAAAAGCAGATATTTAAAGAGACAAACACACGTTTGTAGCAATATATAACGGCCAATTGGAAAGAATGGAAATCCAATAGTGTCGGGGGTTTTAAAAGTGATCATAGGGAATACTGAAGACATAATTGGTGGTTAAACCACAGCTCATTACAACATTGCTTGTTGTAGGGAGAATGCGGGACTCTTATCATATAAATAGGAGACTTGAGTGGAAACGAAAGGAAGGCCTGATACCCTTTCGCTATGAAGCTAAAAGGAAGTGCTGACTCAGTGATCGAATTTTTCATGCAAGTAAATGAGGTAAGAAATAACTGATGGTGGAAATGATGTTGTTTTCTAGCAACGCAAACCGACCAACCCCAAACATGGACTCACACCTTATGTTTACACACACTCTCACCCACACACCCACACCCACACACCCACACACCCACACACCGCGCGCTCGTAGGCAAACACACACACACTATGAAATATTGAAACGAAAATAGAGTACAACAATTTGCAAGGATATTGTTATAAATGGCTAAATAATGTATCTATATTAATACAAAAAACGAGATAAAAAAGACAGAAATGCCAATTACAGTTATGGTTTATTAGCAGGCGATCAATGTTGGTATCCCACTGGCAGACTAGAAAAGAGCTAGGAAATTCCTGACAATAGCTATAACGCTTTACTCACTTTTATTATCATTTAGTTGAACTATTTGTAGGAATACAATTGTTAGTGACACATTGAAATCTATTCAGAACAGTGTTGACAGTGTCTACAAGCTGACCATCATTTCGTGTCATATCATGAACGCATAACCATAAGGTTTGTCTGTGCCAACAAAAGGAATTTATTGGCGATAGACACCATAAGTCCGGATTGTCATTCCTACTGAACACTTCACAGTATCATAATGATAACAGATCGCACAAGGGATACACATAACATACTTGCATATTTCGTATTACATTATAATTTGTTAAATTGTAGATTCAAAAATACACACTCCCATGTACAGAGTCACACCGCTGATTCTTTATATATAATTGATTCATATTATAGATTCACTTCACAAAAACACGTATTTCATATACGCATTACAAATTGACATTAGGTTTACATAAACCATGTTCATATCACATATTTGAAAGTTATTATTGATCATATCAGCAAATAACATATGTGTAAGGTACGTAATTTCAATGCTACCGTCTAATTATTACTTGCATACTTGTACTTATCTTTTATTTTCCTGTTTACAATCGTTGTCATGAGTAGACAGTCTTTATAAGTAGTGCTCACATATTTGTATATTGTGTAGTGTTGTTTAAACAGGTGCTCATTGTAAAATACTCACGTTTTGTACATTACCAAATGTCGTTTTAGTTCAATAGACAATCATTGTAATCATTGTAAACAGTGCAATTTGATTTGTATAGACGTCGGTTTGAAAGCTATTCAGTTCATTCTAACGATACGACAGATAGTGGAGACAATCTGGTGGACTTTTTAGGCTTGCTATCCCATCCAGACACTTATCTGATTAACGTAGAGATTAAAAGTCAAGAGAGCCCCGCACTATATCGATAAATACGCTCACATGCTAAGCAGAATGACATCCCATAATACTCCATAATCTCTTAATTAGTAAAGTTGATTGCAACAAATATTGTTTTCGTCAATAAATCCTCCAAATAGAACCTGAATCTAACTTGTATTAATTTCTCCCCTTCTTAGCGCCATATAACATGCTGCCATTTTACTCAAATATCTTCTGATTTACCTTTTTCTGTGTACATATGTACTTATTTTACCGATATATGATAAACTACCTTCATTTTTTTAGCGGATATATGTGACGACCTTCCGGTATGGCCTGTGAGGAAGAACTGACAACTTTACTCCTCCATATTGGAGAGGATCTTGTTGAAGGTAAAATTAAAAAATAAAACATAAGGGCAAAAACAATTCGGACTTTGGGAAAGTTCAGGTAGTTGAACGTTAACCAAGTTGATCGTTTTATGGCCAGGACCCAATATTGCCTCTTCAGCCTCAAAGCATGTAAACTGTCAATGCTTATAATACATATTGACATTATTTATACAAATTTCTTTCTCTCAGCTCTGACTGAGCGTAGTTATTTTCGGATTAAATCACAATCAGTGATGTCTGCTCTGAAAAGCTGACACAATTCAACACAGATTCGAAATACAAGATAGCCACTTAGATAGTCCTCTGGTTAGTTTCAACGTTTTTGGCATTACTTTTAACTCTACCAGATTTATTTTGATCACGGCCATACAAATATTCCTTTCATTCCTTTCAATTTTTGAGAAATCTGTAAGAGCCATCATTATCTCAATTGCCTTAATGTATTTTTCAGATAAAAACTGAAACATGGGAATAATACATGACTAACTGGTCTCTTTTTCATAATTGTAGCATCATTTTTGGGTTCCAGACATTTTTTTTGAACATTTTATATAATACATCCAGCCACTCTCCAAGGGGGAAGTATAAAGCTGTATATTTATATGTGAATTGGTCTGAGTAACTAATATTCATGAAAGGTAATCGTAAGTTCTCCTAGTCTTCATATTACATTTAGTCAGGTCTCCTTATTTTTTAAATGAAGAAGAAATAATAATGACTTTTTGACATGAGAATTAATCTGTCCCAAGAAAACATACTTTAAGATTAATCTTAATGTTGATTTTATATCGATATCAACAAAACTTACTATACAGCATATTTTTCTATCAATATGTATTCTGGGAATATAAATCGATATGTATTGACGTGCTTAGTTCCTTTTGTCTGTGGTATTTATAGGAAATGTGAGAGAACTACTTTATCTGATTGGAGACGGTATACCTAAATCTGAGAAGGAGCGGATTTCAACTGGAAGAGAGTTGATGGACATGTTAATAAAGAAGCATCTTGTCGATAGTAATCGACTGGAACGCTTAAAATCACTCTTGTCAGGTATTGATCGGGAGGATCTGAAAGTTCAGCTGGAACCTTTTGAGCAGAAAATTAAAAGCATCAATACAGGTAAAGTGGTAAATTCATAAAAAAAAAATCATGATTTTCAATCTCTGTTATGTTTACCCTCGGGGACTATCATTCAATGTTACCTTTTCCACTAATTTTAGATGATTGTAGCTAGATATCTATACCTATGTTGAATTAAAAAGAAGCCTTATATGGGTAAAAACCAGCACTACAATATCATGTTTTTCCTTTGACATAGAAAATGATGTGTGCATAAAGATTTGTTCATTACCGTACACTTTTATGTATATCAGGTAGAGCTATTTCATATTGAATAACTGTTGTTTGTAGTAAACCGTTTCCCCAACATACTTAGTTATATACATACTAAGCGTTATACATTATATAACATCGTGACATGTTCTATATAAGCACTACTGTGTGTACGGAATTTCCCTTTTCTGACAGCTAAGCACAGCTTGACACTAAATGGACTGGTACCCAACTTTATTAAGACTTCGCAATGCATTGAAGTCGAAGAACGTTTGAAAAATGAACAACTGGCCATCCTTACAGGTATATATGGATTCTTAAGCATATCTTACTTAGACAAGAATACGTTTACCGGTCAAGCGTTTTACATTTTTAATATTATATAATATAAACTTTAATTAGTTTACAACAATAATGAAACAAGCTATATAACTTATATTGATCACTCTTATTGGCCTGGATGTTAGCGCCCATAATGTGGGAGGAATCCGGAGTATCCGGAGAAAAACCCACCTGGTCGGGCAGGTGACCTCGTACCTTTTCACATCTTATCGGGGAATCGAGCCCCGGCCACCTTGGTGAAAGGCGAGTGCATTATGCACTGCGCCACCCGACCATCCTAAATTATTTTACATTTTTCTCACATTTGGCTCTTCTGTACATTAAAACACTGAGTGCATCTACGAATAAAATATCATAGTGCCTGTTCTGTACTTTTCATTCCAAACACATATATATATATATTAATTTCTTAAATATACTTGTAGGAATATCTGCTTCGGGAAAATCCCAAATCTGCATTTGGTATGCCTCAGAATTTCAAAAGAATGCTAAGCACACAGCATACAAACTCATGTGCCAGAATGAAGATGACCTGCTAACGAGCATGAGAAGTTTCCTGGAATTCTTGGGGATGAAATTTGAACGACAGAAAGAAGCAAAAGATGTCTACATTAAACACATGGCGGAAGTTGTAAAGTCGTTGACTGAAAGTGGAAACAAGACTGGGCAACACTACCTTTTCATCTTTGATGACGTCACTGAAACAACGTGTAAAGTAGTCGAACTCATCATCCATTCTTTTCGTGAAGCGCAAAACGTGAAAATAATATGCTCAACCAGCTACTCAAAGTTCTATGAGCAGTGTACTGAAAGGAATGTTTTTGTGAAAGTAAAAGGAGTTTCACAAGCTGAGGCCTTGCAGTTCTTTAAGGAGCACGTTAAGATGAACAACTCCCAAGATAACATTCAGGCCTTAGCTATCAAAATGGGATATCTTCCATATGGCTTAGTTCTCGCCAACTCCTATATTTTCACAACTGGGGTGTCAGTGAAGAAGTACGTAGAACTACTGACGAGAAAGGACTTTCTCAGAAAAGTTGAACAGTTGACAGCAGGCACGGCGCAGGAATACGACAAAGGTCTTGTATCAGCACAGATGCTGACCGTTGATAAAGTGGAATCGTCGTCAGTACATATTAAATCACTGCTGAATTTCATACCTTTTCTCCACCACAACGAAATTCCAACAAGGCTCCTGAGAAAACTACTTCCAGAAAACATTGATGACAGAGACAAAGACATTGTTATCTTAGACTTTATAGCAAACGTTAAGAAGTACTGTATTGGTGAAATTGAGTCAACTGACCAGACAGAGACCATCTCTATTCATGCAGTAACAGCTTTGGTCTTAGAACATCGGTTGCCCTTAGAAGAACAGGAATCTTCCATTAAGGCATTGCTCTGCTTCTTTTGCAAAAATATCAGTATAGATTGCAGACTTCATCTCACTTTTACAAGCAACATGGAATTCCAACCTCATGCTTCCAAAGCTGCATTACGAGCTGTTGAGATGGAATCATCCAAAACAAAGGACTGCACGTTTCTCCTATGCGCTCTTCACGCTGCCATTGGGGTGACTTTTCGAGTCGGCGGTGTAGAGAGCCTGTTAGCAGACGAGAATCTGAACAAAGCAAAGGCGCTTTGTTTTCAGCTCATCAATGAAAATGACCCCGAATCATACATGCTTACAGCAGAAGAGCGCGATTCACTGGAAAACACAGAATATGTTGATGAAAGTAAGAAAACATTTCGCCGTGAAGACTTGTTTCAAGTATTTCTTCAGGAGACAATGAAAAACGAGCAGAAGGGAATGACTAGTCGAAAAACAGAGCTAGAAAATGAACGAGAAAAATGTCGTCAAAATGCTAGAGCAAAGGATTCTAAAGCAGAAACGTTGTACAAGCGTCTTGTCGAAGTTCCGCAACAACTTACAAAGGGCTTTATAGCTGACATTGTTTTAAAAACAGAGAGAAGTGAACCTGACTTAGCGCATCTGGTAGAAGTTGCTGGTTTTACTGGAACACTGAAAGAGGTGGATGAGCGTAAGCGAGGTCGACTGAGCAAGGAACTTTATGATAAGTTACTCACACAAAACCTAGCGATAAACCGCGATCAGCTAGGCTCAATATGCGTGGTTGAATTGATGGTGATAATACTATACAATAACGGCAGACACCATTACTATCAATGTCAATCAGAGCAACAGCTATTTCTTGTGTGCTGGAATGAGCTCAGACTTGCGTATTTGCTCGGCGAGTTATTGCAAGAGCACTATTCAGACTTTCCCTCTGTTCAAAGTCTCATCACTAGGAGAAACGGCATTTTGTATCATTGTCTGCTGAGTAATCAACAGACCAATGAATCAGGAGAAGAGAGTGGTATTGTCCTGGACAAAATCATTCGCCAATATGAAAAGATGTTGGGCGCTGAAAAATCTGAAAAATACTTTGAGTACGGAATCATCAAAGTGAGTCATCACCAACGTCTACATCATGACGCCATGTGCTTGAAGCTCCTTCTCAAGTGTTACACTAACCGGATGAAAGACGGTCCCGAAAAAGATCAGCATTATGAGGATGGTAAGAAACATGCCAATAAACTGGAAGAACTTCTAAAAGATAAACGCATGTGCCGGTGGCTGGCTGTTCCAGGATTTCATGTCCAAATAGCACGATTCTTCTTTGAACATGAAATGGAAAAGGCAATCATACATTTTAAGCGTGCTGTTGAGCTGGAAGAAGAGTATAGTTTACAAAGGTTGTCACATTTCAAACTCCAAGGTCAATTCGGACTCATCGAGTGTTACCTAAGTCGTAAAGAAGGTTCTGATCTCGAGGACGCCCGAGGCATTTGTGAACTGCTAAAACGTTCCCTCCACGAATCTAACTTCCAAAGAAGTTATCATAAAGTAGTCAAGTACTTGGAAGATATCAGTAATCATCAGAGGGATATCAATACAGGCATGGGAGAGTCAACATTGACATCCAAGAGAAATTTATCCCACGAGAACCAAACCATCATATATGAGAGAGCTAGCAAGAGAAAACCGGACGCCTGGAAATATCTGCAGAAGAGCAATGATTTATAGATTCACCTAGCTATCTCATAGATATACCAAATATCGATACATAATACTGAGAAACCATTGAACACCGAGCAGGAATTGACAATTATTGTGACGAGTATTAGAGTATAAAGATAAGAACTATTTTCAAAACTATTATAACTAGCAAGTATTGGCGAATGTTTTGACGAGTATTAGAGCATAAAGATAAGAACTATTATCAAAACTGTCATAACTATCAAGAATTGACAATTGTTTGGACGAGTATTAGTGAACAAATACAAAAAACACCAAAAAGGATTAGAAAAAATGATAGGTATGGTGTGAAAAAGTCTTTACTCTTAGGGGAAATTTTGAATCAGGCCCTTTTCATCACAAGTCCTCACCACAATTGTATCTGAAATGATTATTTACTACCTATACTCATTTTTTAAGCAATTAGAGTGTGGAATTTGGCCATCGAAATTATTCTGTAATACAAAAGCGATTTTTTTTTTCGTATTGAACTGCAGAGAAGGTTAATGTGTGTGCTTGCTTCTTTCTGTTTTGTTACTTTTATACTTTGAATGCCTCACTCCCTATCAAGGTGTTAATGATACAATATTCTGCCGTTTGTAGTTTGTGCGTGCATATTTGATGAATATTTTAGTTTAATGCCATATATTGAGATTTTTGTTTAGTACAACATATTACACAACGGTACTAAATTACAACTCAATGTTGTAAAAAGCAATATAAGACTATCAAAGTTAGTTAATTGAACAATCGGTTTAAATGCTTTTTCGCGAACTAAATGTGTGAAATAATAATTCTTTATATGTAGCGTAGTCACATAATAAAATTTGATGCCATAGCATTAAATGTTCGGAAGGGTCGTAAGTGCCACCGAAATCGTTTTATATCAAATTCTGAATAAAAACACAATATTACACCTACTGACACAAATTCTGGAACTGAATACGACGTCACAGTAGTAAAAGGTCGAACTGACATATTTTTATTACGTTATGGTGCGTTATGGAAAAATGGTATTTCATGAAGTGAAAGTGGTTGTATCCGTCACTAACCACCTTTGATACAAAAAATATTTCTTAGCATTAATAAATCGTATGTAGCAAATGCGACCCACTTTTCAGCAATGAAATGAAATAATAGTTTTGTCAAATATTATAGCTGCATGCTCTTGTCATTTATAACTTTTTATGTCAATCCCATTAATTAGATTTATTCATGAGGTGGAAATTATCAAAATAATAAGTCAAAGTTGTGTGTTGTTGCTAAATACACTTATGCAGACATATCAAAATTTTGATATATAAGTGACATTCACATTATAAAAAAAACAACCACTTTCATTGAGAATATCTCAAAACAGAAAATATTGCGGTTTTAAAATGGATGTTAAAATATGTGACATATTTTCTCCTCGTTACTATTACGTAAAATAATGTCAGTGGAACGACTCCACGATGCGCTTAGTGTACATGATAAAAACTGTCGACGTTCATTTCGAACAAAAAATAATTGTTCTTATATATATATTTATCTCACTTTTAAAATTTAATATTCAATCTATAATTCCGACTTACTAACTGTGCTGATATGAACAGCTATATCTGCAAATATTTTATATATTTCAGACGCTTTTATGAAAAATAGAATGTCTAACCCCCTAGGGGAATCTCAGCCGGCTGTTTGGCAACTTCTGAATCTTTCCCCGAAGGTTTCTATTCCCAATCTCACCTGTAGGGGGGAAATGCTATTTTTTCTCTTTACCTGTTAACTCATCGTGTATCTTATACATTATGTAATGTTAACGTTACAGGCTAAATTCACGGTTGACGTGACGTTAATGTATTGTTGACGTGACGTCATTGCTTTGTTGTCTTGCATAATATCATACAATTGTTATGAATGGGGTAATCCCCCATCTCAACCATAGGGTAGAATAAGGATTTCCTTTAACCTGGACAGTTGTATCCACATTTTTAACGGTGTAAGATATCCTTTTCTCCCACCTTTCACAGTTGTGTCTCCCATTTTAGCCGGGAAAGTTCAGCTTGTCACCCCCTAGGAAGAGATAGACTTTGTGTTGATTAGCACGTGTACCACTGGTAATTGTGACGCCATTAAAACTGAATGACGATATTCATACCCCACATGTATTTTTGTTTACAAACAGACTGAAATAATAGTATGGAGAAAAATAATCTTCCCCTACCTTGCGGGTGTAACAGAGAAATCCTCAACCCTCGGGGTGATTTGTTTTGGTTGTCTTACCCTCGGCAGAGCCTCGGGTTCGACAACCAATTAACATCAACCCTCGGGTTGGCGATTTCTCTGTCACACCGTCAAAGTAAGGGAATATTCTATTAAGCTCAACCCTCTGGGAAAGATTCTTAAGTTGCCAAACATTAGTCTTACCCTGGGGTTCGGACAAGGGGAATCCCCTATTCATGACAATGGTATTACGTCACGTCAACAATCCATCAATGTAATGGCAATTTAGCCAATAACGTTAGCATTACACTATGTATATGATACATTGTGAGAACAGGGTTAGAGAAAAAGAAAAAATTACCCCTTTTAGGGTGCGATATGAGAATTTCAGCAAAACCTGTACAAAATTAATTAGCATCCCTAGTTTCCACAAGCTAATTTGCTTAAATGTCATTCAAATGTTATCAAACTTTGTATTCATGTACAATATACAAAGACTGAGCCTAACTTTGAAGTTTAGACATATATGCATATACTTGTTTAGCGTACTAATATTATGTCCAGATTTTTCTGGAACTCGGTCAATATTTTATATCATAGATAGACAAATGCTGAGTTTAAAGTTGAGCAAATCCGGTGCATAATACATAATCATACTCTTGATTCATTGGATTGAAAACCCTCTGGAATCATAATCTATTGTAGACACTGAGATCGAATGTGTGCGTTCCACACATGTCTATTGTACCAAAACATGTTATTTTGATTTTGGTCATATTTGGAACATTAAATGGATTGTTTGTATTAAAGATTTAAAAAAAAAAAAATCAAACATATTTTGAAATAATAATAAATATCAAGCTGACCTTTTTGTTTTTGGTTTTGTTTTTTATTTTCTTTATTTTGCCAATCTTAACAATAACTGATTCATTAATATTCCAAAGCATATTTGAACTTTTTGTTGTCCTCGCTATTTTTTCAAAGTATTTCACTTATATTATGTTAATTTGCACATTACAGATGTGGTGTATTGGTAGTAATTTCATCATATGCAAAATGTAATGCTTTTTTCTCTTGATTCAGTTTTTGTTATTTTCTTAAATACAATGATTTTTCAGATTAACAATTTTTCATTCTGATTTTGTATCTACAGAACTTAACTCAAGAATCTTTAAAAAGGCGGGATTTTTTACTCAATGCTATATTAGCTTATATTTATGTCAACTTTTACACTTAAATATTTTAGAATATATGTAAATTGGACTATTGAATTTTAATGCTACTCTAAATGCATGAACTTTTGTGCATTCTGTTATAATTTTAGATATGTATCTTTGATAAATGTTTCATAAGTCTTATATTTTTTTTTATTATCAACCATGTATTTTATCACTTACCATGTTTTTCTACCAAGAGGATCCGGTGGTAGATTAGCCTCGGCTAAACACGTTCTTCTATTCTCATTTAATAAACTGTATTATTATTAATATTACGTAAAATATTATAGGGTAGATTTTCTGTGTGTGTTAACTTCGCAAGTCGCGTCATCATAACCTAGCATGGTGTATCAGTATCGGTATTATAAGTAGGCCTAACATTAAATTATAGATAATATAAATGTTCTCTTACTACAATTTGATCGTTTTTGCCACTTGTCCTATACAAAGATATCCACTCCATCCTTACTCCGTGTCATAACTAATTTGCTCTCATGGTTTTGTATGTATTTTCAAAGTTTATTTTAATGAAGTTTAGTTTGAAGGTGTTTTCTCGTCTTTAACTCGTATCACCTGTTATCATGGTTATGTCAGTATAGCAGAAGAAGTGTAACAAGGTTATATATGATGGCTGAGGGGGAAATGTTTGACGCGTCAATGTGTTTTCTTGTACAACTTAGCAGTCGTCACTCTTTGTCGTGTTGTATATAAATGTCACGGAAAGCACCTGATATAGAAAAGTCTAGGGTATCACTGATTTCAAGTTAAAGAAAGAAAATACGATCACCATGATCAGTTTGTTCTGTTATTTAAAGAAAACACATCGTAGGTTTATCTAAAAGTGATATTATTTCATATTTTTAATCAATGGTTTGTCATTTAATATTACAACATTAATTTTAAATTGTTCGCATTCCTAAGTTTGCCGATTATTTGAATAAACTAAATATTTATTTAATCAAATTGTTTCATGATTATTTGAAAATTCATTCAATGCCATTGAACATTCTGTTCGTTTTATCATAACTATCATCTTTTTTTCTGTATTTCAATCGATATATTTGCCTGATAAAGGTTAAAATGTATCATCAATTTTGAAGTGTCACTAAACAGTTTATTTTTTTATTAAAAGAAGCATTGAGGACTAGGTTAATGGTTAATAAACTGTTTTTATCTTACAACAATTATGAACAAGTTATTGCAACTGATAATAATCTCTCATGTTGGCCCAGAAGTGAACGCGGAGGTCCTAATGTGGGAGAAAACTGGATTACCTAGAGAAAACTCACTTGATCGGGCACGTAACACAATACTTTTTCATTGACGATCAGGGGATTCGAACCCCGGCCGTGTTGGTTAAAGGCGAGTACGCATTCAGCTGCGCCATCCGACCACCCGGTGGATGTTATTGACAGTACAAGTATTGTAGCAGCAGAGGTAGTGGTTGAAGTTACGTGATTTATAATACAAAATTTACATACTAAGACATATATTCTATTACGAGTTTATTAAGTGCCATATAATTACTGCCTTGTCTTGAACATGGTAAGATTATGTCTAGAGGACCTAACACTCGTGTTCGTGTAATAGCGAATTAATTAAACTCTTTCATTTATTTCATATGTAAACATGCCTTCATAATTGTTCTCATAACGTCTCCTCTATTAAGGGACGACTGATGAAAGGGCGCATTACATAAATTTATTTTGGAGCTCGCTGCGTCCCCAAAAAAGTTCCAGAAGCTTCCCCTTTAGAATCTTATAAGTGAACTAATAATTCTTAGGGTTCCATTTCATTAAAATTTGGTCCGGTGTCATGGATAAATGCCACTTTTGAGTTTATGTCTTTAATGTCACTTTAGACAAGTAAATACAAAAAGTTGACATTTAATACATTTATTTAAATACCTCATGGAAGTCGCCGGGATAACAGCACTAGGCAACAATCATTGATGAAACAAACCGACACACCAATTAAATCTGACGCATTCATATTTACTTTACACAGTAAGAAAATGGTCACAATTTATTTGGGTGACATTGAAGTATAATTGAACTAAAAATAAAACGATAGGTAAGCCCAACCCCATCATCGGCGTGTCATCACTTAGAGTCAAATTTGTGATCCTCCAATGCTTACGTTGCCTTATTATATAAATTGTAGTTAAAGCTGGAGTTTGAATTGAAGTTCTGTTCTCACTTCGGTCCTCGCCTGTTCTTTTTGTTCTGTTGTTTGAATGTTTCCTTATCTAGCGAAATAGACGTGACCATTTTTGTTATTTCTTATTATGAATCTGTAATTGCAATGGCAAATGGCAAATGGTGTGACAACTTGTATCAAAGGGGTGAAATGTATGTACATGTATACAAAATACAAATGAATCCATACAACATCAGATTAAAGTGTTGGAAAAGACAAAGGAAATCAGACCAATCTATATATTTATATTATGCGGATAAAACCAAACGAATGAGTGACAGGTGCTTGAGCCCTTATGAATAAACTATAATCTAAATAGTTATGGTAAATGGAATTGATATATGTATAAACGATTTACTATGTTTATTGTGACATTTAGGACCTATGGTTCAGCAGCAGTTCTGTCTCTGTCCCTCTGTGTCTCTTTTCCTCACTCCAGCCCTTCTGTCTCTATCCCTGTCTCTCTCTCCCACACTTCAGCCCTTCTGTCTCTGTCCCTCTGTGTCCCTTTTCCTCACTCTAGCCCTTCTGTTCCTGTCCCACTGTGTCTCTTTTCCTCACTCCAGCCCTTTTGTCTCTGTCCCTGTCTCTCTCTCTCTCCCACACTCAAGCCCTTCTGTCTCTGTCCCTCTGTGTCTCTTTCCCTCACTCAAGCCCTTCTGTCTCTGTCCCTCTGTGTCTGTTTTCCTCACTCCAGCCCTTCTGTCTCTGTCCCTCTGTGTCTCTTTCCCTCACTCAAGCCCTTCTGTCTCTGTCCCTGTCTCTCTCTCCCACGCTCCAGCCCTTCTGTCTCTGTCCCTGTCTCTCTCTCTCCCCCACTCAAGCCCTTCTGTCTCTGTCCCTGTCTCTCTCTCCCACCCTCCAGCCCTTCTGTCTCTGTCCCTCTGTGTCTGTTTTCCTCACCCCAGCCCTTCTGTCTCTGTCCCTGTCTCTCTCTCTCCCACCCTCCAGCCCTTCTGTCTCTGTCCCTCTGTGTCCCTTTTCCTCACTCTAGCCCTTCTGTTCCTGTCCCACTGTGTCTCTTTTCCTCACTCCAGCCCCTCTGTCTCTATCCCTGTCTCTCTCTCTCCCACACTCAAGCCCTTCTGTCTCTGTCCCTCTGTGTCTCTTTTCCTCACTCAAGCCCTTCTGTCTTTGTCCCTCTGTGTCTCTTTTCCTCACTCCAGCCCTTTTGTCTCTGTCCCTGTCTCTCTCTCTCCCACCCTCCAGCCCTTCTGTCTCTGTCCCTGTCTCTCTCTCCCACACTCCACCCCTTCTGTCTCTGTCCCTCTGTGTCCCTTTTCCTCACTCCAGCCCCTCTGTCTCTATCCCTGTCTCTCTCTCCCACACTCAAGCCCTTCTGTCTCTGTCCCTCTGTGTCTCTTTTCCTCGCTCCAGCCCTTCTGTCTCTGTCCCACACTCCAGCCCTTCTGTCTCTGTCCCCGTCTCTCTCTCCCACACTTCAGCCCTTCTGTCTCTGTCCTTCTGTGTCCCTTTTCCTCACTCCAGCCCCTCTGGCTCTATCCCTGTCTCTCTCTCCCACACTCACGCCCTTCTGTCTCTGTCCCTCTGTGTCTCTTTTCCTCACTCCAGCCCTTCTGTCTCTGTCCCTGTCCCTCTCCCACACTCTAGCCCTTCTGTCTCTGTCCCTCTTAGTCTCTTTCTCCCTCACTCCAGCCCTTCTGTCTCTGTCCCACACTCCAGCCCTTCTGTCTGTCTGTCTGTCTCTCTCTCTCTCTCTGTCTGTCTCTCTCTCTCTCTCTGTCTCTCTGTCTCTCTCTCTCTCTCTCTCTGTCTGTCTGTCTCTCTCTCTCTCTCTCTCTCTCTGTCTCTCTGTCTCTCTCTCTCTCTCTCTCTCTCTCTCTCTCTCTCTCTTCTAAAATGACGTTTATTTGTTTTGTTTCTTGTATGATCATGTCGGATTAAAAATTGATATATTGTTATCGTACATTGTAATGGACAGTTAAAAAGAGAAAATCTGGTAGAATGCTAATATCTGATTTCTTGTTTTGTGACGCATCAAATTAACGGAATTGTTTGCATGTATTGTGTGATTAAATATGCCTCCTCTATCAGGTGGTATCCCTTAAAGGGAAACAACTCCTGCAAACCCCATCGCGATTAAAGCTAAGACCGACCTCAAAAGTTGCTACAATGTTTAAATTTCACAAAAACATTTCTTGACAATTATCGGTGCCAAACAATCTTCGTTTCCACAGGGAAAACTTTTTGTCTGAAACGTTTTTAAGGTAGTATAAGAAAAAATTCGGTCTCTAGTTAGTTTAGATCATTCACTGACGTATACACAGCATACACTACGGGTAATTTAAGCCCCATATACTGACATATGTGGGTGTATGTGCTACCCTCTGCTATGCATGGATAAAGAAAGTAAATACCACGGAATTTACTAGCCACAGGAAATCCAGGTTTCCGATTTGTCACCGAAGCTTAACTGATTTGATTGAAAAACGAAAGTAAGTGAAAACCAGGACAATGTTATACCTCTCGATAGTTTCCTGAGGCTGGGCGTGAATGATGTCGGCCAGTTTTGTGAGCATTTGGCTGGGTCAAGATGTTGTCACTCATACGTGCACACCTACATTTGACTTTATTTCTCAAACAAAACACGATTGCATTCACGAATTATGACGCTTAAACTTTTCTGGAGATTATTGCCAGGGCCGGATTAACAGATGGCGCTGCTGCTTCTGTTGATTCTGTGATCAGATAGAAGAAAGTAAAGAGGAAGTCATGGAAACAGGAAGTGGACTGGTATAATCACTGAGATACAAATCTACCATCACGTAAGTTTGTGTTTTGTACGTATATTGTAATGTTGTCCCACACGTAAGTTTGTGTTTTGTACGTGTGTACTGTAACTGGACATTACTGTTCATTATCAGCATTCATCTACAGAAGTGTGTCGGTGACAGTTTGATATAGACAACCACTCACATGGAACGTACTTATCGAATCGTGTGGTTAACGACACTCACACACAAACCAATAGCATGTACAGTCAACATAGATAATACCATTTAGTTAATACTGAGCCCCTCGCTCCTCTTCCCTTACCGACACACCCACCCATACACACATCATTTCTGAAAGCCTAAGATCTCCTGAACTATACCAGCTGTTTTATTAAGCGCAAGTGTACAACACATAAAATGCAGATACAGGTTTCTGAGGTGCCATATTGGAATTTCACAGTTAAAGTTGTGATCGCTAATTCTCAGAAAATACTGCAGGGAACTTTATAGAATCTGATACTTAGGTAGCCCTTGGTTCGTTGTGGTACACATTTCATTTTCAGCTTGGTTGGAAAGGACACGGCCACGAAGTAGACCCATTTTTACATTTTACATATAAAGCTTGAGCTGAAGAAAGTATTGGTTGCCTGAATTCAGAAATCCCTCTTTTGTTTTTATATTCTGTAGTCAATAGGTAAAACGACAATCATGTACACACTTGACATACATGATGAAAAAGTGTATTAAATCATTTCTTAATAACTGCAAACAGTATATGACACTCCGTAAAAGGCGATAAAGAGAACAATAGAGTTCTGTAGTTGTAACTTGCTATATTTGATATGAGCACAGGTAAACAAAGGTCAAAGTTTAACCTCGCGCTCGGGTAGTCTTAAAACATCTGATGTGCTCAGCATTTTTGTTATCATCGTTATATAACGACCCTATCTAATCAGAGGGAAAAGACTCTGACGCACCAGGAAGGCACACACTTTTAACACACTCTGGAGAGTGTAGATGCAGCCTTACTAAATTGCTAACCACGTAATCTCCATTGTAACATCCTTATGTGTCCATGTGTGCATATGTGTAATTGCGCAGGCTGTAGATACATACTGACTAAAGACTCATGTTGTCAACAGCTGATTTATTTTTTAAAATCATTATAACCCACCTGGCCCATATCATCTCATACAGCCTCTAACGGTTTTCCCACTCCCAACTCAATGGGTAAACATGCTAGGAGTTATTAAACATTTTTAGTTATCCACAAATAGTTAACGCCCTGATCCCAGTTACTCTAGGATTCTTTAGTGAATATTTTAAATTATGAATATTAATAGAATCATTCACCCCCTTTGGGGTGAGATAGGGGGAGATAGGGGAATCTCAACCCGAGGGGGAAGATTCTTATGTTTGACAACTTAAGAATCTTTCCCCGAGGGTTGAGATTCCCCTATCTTACCCACAAGGGGGTGAATGATTCTTTTTCTCTTACCCTGTTTTCCCCAATGTGTATCATATACACAATGTAATGATAACGTTACATGCTAAATTCAGGGTTGACGTGACGTTGATGGATTGTTGACGTGACGTCATTGTATTGTTGCAGTGACGTCATACCATTGTTATAAATAGGAGAATCCCCCCGTGTCAACCCTAGGGCGGAGACAGATAAATCTAGCACCGGCAAAACGGGAGATAAATCTGTCACGTGTGGGAGAAAGCAAAATAAACAACACCCGATATCATTACAGTGCTATAGATTGGTTTAGATAAATGAAATAGTTGTGTTTGCTTTGTAAACCATTATTTCTTATTGGTACTTATTTGATTTTTAGTTCTCTGGGCTACTTGTAATCGTATCGGTGATATAATTATGCATTTGTGGGAGGAGATACAATTGTTGTTCTATCTTCTTGAAAATGCACTCAAAGTTAATGAGTACTATTGTAATTAAATAAAATGTGAATTTTGACATGCTAAAAGTAGCACACACGCCAATTCACAGGGTGAGTATAATAACTCGTAGCAACCACTACACTGTGTAGGTATACGTGAGTCCAGAGAGGTGTATATATATACGGCTAAACAGGAAGCGGGGCATCCGTGTATTACAGGCACATAAAAATATGTCATTGTTAAATTGTATAACAGAATTGATGCAAGGTCTCTTGTTTCCGGGACCTGACAACAGGATTCTACAGGTTCAAGCACTTTAGTCATATGCCCAGAGTACTACGTGGCACTTGGCCTCTTGTTTCTATAACTAAAGAGTAAAGTGTATCAACATTTGAGGGTAAAGTGTATCAACATTTGAGGGTAAAGTGTATCAACATTTGAGCAACAGGGGCCTGGACATTATTCCAGTTTTGTGAATTATGACGTCACTTAACAAAACTATTAACAGCATATCGATGTGGATATAGAGGCAGCAATGCCTGCGTCCACTAATATCCTATAAAATCCTATTTAAAAAATAAGATCCGTCGTCTTTCTCTATTGTAAAGTAATGATTCATGTCAATTGCTTCTCTGAAACATGAATAATATATTTCCATTAAAAAGATGTTCTAGATTATCTAGATATAATACGAACATTAGATGAGAAAAGGACTTCCAAATTCATGATGGTGGGTTATAATGTTAAAACACAGTTGTGACATCATCCTTTGTTCACATTGTACATTATATATATATAGTAGAACGTACAACGAAATACCTGTAGCTGTCCGTTATTAGACCGTAGCTGTTCATTATTATGTTTAATAATGTACAACTACTGGCCTGTTGATGGACAGTTACAGGTAACGAAATTAATTATAAGCACCAGCAAATTTTAGAAAAAAAATCAACAATCTATTAACAACATATGGCTTTACTATATATATGTACATTAAAATATAATGAAATTTAACAATAGCATACAATACATTGAAATACCACAGATAGTCATATTTGATCCAGAAATAATCCAGCTGCCCAAATCACTTTTGAATTTTATTGAGCAAAAAATAAATAAATCCAACAGGATGCTGTAAAACTTACTTGAAAACGGAACACAGTAATCGAACTATTATTTTAAAATATGAATATTGATGGAATAGAAATTCAGGAAAAATCCAACAGATCTTCACACACAATGATCCATACTTGGAGGTAGAATTATTTAACGGCAACCAGTGTTGGTTTAGGTCATACTTGAGGTCTGAATCGATTTTCCCTCTGCTTCAGGAATTTTTTCTATTTTATTTTCTCATGATGCATGCAACTTAAGTGCCATTTTGATAAACTTTCACTTTTGTTCAATGTGTTGTGTAAATCAATATGTCTCGACATTAAAATTTTTGATCAAAATGATGTTGAAAGTAATATTGTCGCCTCCTGAGAAACACATGTTCCTGCTTCCAATGACTAAACTGGACTTACTGGTAAATACCCAGGATTCACTATATCTGTATTTGGACATGAAAATCATGTGCAATTCCAAATATAGTAACTCTACCTGTACCTGTCCAGTAGGTTAACAATATGCATTCATGCATAAATGACCATAGCTCATCCTGCATAAACACCAATGCCTGGTCATTGTTTACTTCATTACCGGTACATTATACACTGTATTTATTTTACAACAATTATGAAATAAGTTATTTCAACTTATATTTATCACTCATTGTTCAGTAGCTGTCCACTCTTAAATACAATGGGGTGATGTGTTTTAAGTAGAAGAAAAGCCTCAAACTGTCGATTCTGTGAGAGAATGGACAGATCTCGGTCCTACGGGCCTCGATCAGTGTATTCCCTCACAGAATGGACAGATCTCGGTCCTACGGACCTCGATCAGTGTATTCCCTCACAGAATGGACAGATCTCGGTCCTACGGGCCCCGATCAGTGTATTCCCTCACAGAAGGGACAGATCTCGGTCCTACGGACCTCGATCAGTGTATTCCCTCACAGAATGGACAGATCTCGGTCCTACAGGCCCCGATCAGTGTATTCCCTCACAGAATGGACAGATCTCGGTCCTACGGGCCCCGATCAGTGTATTCCCTCACAGAATGGACAGATCTCGGTCCTACGGGCCCCGATCAGTGTATTCCCTCACAGAATGGACAGATCTCGGTCCTACGGGCCCCGATCAGTGTATTCCCTCACAGAATGGACAGATCTCGGTCCTATGGGCCCCGATCAGTGTATTCCCTCACAGAATGGACAGATCTCGTTCCTACGGGCCTCGATCAGAGATTCCCTCACAGAATGGACAGATCTCGGTCCTACGGGCCCCGATCAGCGTATTCCCTCACAGAATGGACAGATCTCGGTCCTTCGGGCCCCGATCAGTGTATTTCCTCACAGAATGGACAGATCTCGGTCCTACGGGCCCCGATCAGTGTATTCCTCACAGAATGGACAGATCTCGGTCCTACGGGCCCCGATCAGCGTATTCCCTCACAGAATGGACAGATCTCGGTCCTACGGGCCTCGATCAGAGATTCCCTCACAGAATGGACAGATCTCGGTCCTACGGCCCCCGATCAGTGTATTCCCTCACAGAATGGACAGAACTCGGTCCTACGGGCCCCGACCAGTGTTTTCCCTCACAGAATAGACTGTTTTCGGCCTTTCTTTCTTACATGATTTAGCTGTCCTTGATTAATTTTCGAATTTTAAAAGACACTCGTCGGTAAACATCGGGTCTTTATACAATTTGAGAGTTAACTAACTTAATTGAGTTCGATAAACATGATAGGCAGCCATCACTCGTATGGGAACGTATGTATACTACAATTAGGCAAGTAAAGTATACCAGTAAGGGTTAAGTGTCTTACTCAAGTACACAACCACGCCAATCGTGTTAACACAACAAATACACGTCAGGTTTACCGCGCGCATGCTCAGTCAAAACCAGTATTTAAACCCACTTGTGCCACCAAACACTTAAACTATTGTATTAACTTGCATACCATATATAATCATATATGTTTGTCGCTGTGAGCAATTTCCACGTATGTGTTAGGTACGTAAACTTGTACAGCCTAATTATTACGCTGGTCGTACGTGTAAGGAAGGTTCGTTGCAGTCGAGTAAAGATATATTGCTGCTTTAAGCCCTCATCAGAAAGCGAAAATGATCATATGATTTTATGCGTATTGACAACATTGTAAGTCCCATTTTTTTTTTGTAATTTCAGATGAGATACAGTTAATTGATGATGTGAAAAATGGAAGTGGTTCGGCATTTATCAAAACCACTAAAAGGGGTTATATTTTTTTGACAATTCGTCTTTTTGCTAATACTTATATGACGTTCTGAAGTGAACACACTTTTTTTATGATATCGGATGTAAAAAAAAATAGATTGCTAAATATCGATAGTTGACGAATTCAGGGTGTGTAATTTCAAAAACCAAACATAGCGCATATGCCATTTAGTTTGTCTAAAGCTGTCACAGGCCAATGATCCTATTTAAGGATAATTGGTCGGCGAGGTAGGACTATCAGTTTTCCTGTTTACGCCATTTTAACATAGTTAAACTGAACGGAACATAGAGTTAAAATTGGGACAAAATGACCTGCATTTGCTTAAGGTGTTAAGATTTCTTTTAGGATAAACCTGTATGTGCAGTTCGTGACTGTAGTTGCAGGACTTTTTCTACTATGGACTTAACATAATCCGAAATTCTAATGAAAAAAAACTCTAACATAGAAAATATCCACCAGGCAGAAAACATTTTATCACCACTGAATACATTACATTAATATAACCACACATGATATTACTTCATAACATATCGAACAGCAATATATATTACAGAACAATGACACCACACTTGCTATTAAACAAGATTTTAATCTTTTTACATGTTATCATTGGAAAGACAAGTATCCAGAGATTGAAGCAGCAATATATGTCCTGCTTGTAAAAGATACAAGCGACGAAGAGAGGATATTGACAAAATGTTGACACGAAACTGTACAAATGTTGGAACGATACACATGGTTCTTTTGCAAAAACTGGATGCCTTTACTTCGGATTACAAAAACAATAGAGCAGTAATTAAAGAATACACTTGTGCGAGTTTCCAAAATACGACAACATATATCATCTCTCTATAATCCCGTTACTTAAAGTTATGGCATCAACGACTTGGCCACAACACTTCCGACTTAGCCACAACACATCAGACTTGGCCACAACACATCAGACTTGGCCACAACACGTCCGACTTGGCCACAACACATAAGATGTGGCCACAACACGTCCGACTTGGCCACAACACCTCCGACTTGACCACAACACTTCCGACTTAGCCACAACACATAAGATGTGGCCACAACCCGTCCGACTTGGCCACAACACATCAGACTTGGCCACAACACATCCTACTTCATTGCAAGTTAGTCATGGTTTTAATTTCCTTTTTTCAAGTCAAAGTCAGCTTCAGTATTTGTTTGGAGACATAGCAAATCATTTATTGTTTAACTACGGGTATGGACTTATCTCAAGAACAAATTTACTCTTGGGGACACCTTGCCACACCACTTGCACCATGACCAGCGTTATTAACCTTTACACACATTTATTGTAATATCTTATTTAGTCCTTTTTGCCATCGTAGTTATGAAGTGGATTTTATTTATAAAATAGTGCACGTATCGTAAACTCTGCAACTTGATTTGTATTTACATCGTTTTACAATGATTATACTAAGTACGTCATTTTTACAACATAGGCAGTACGTCACCAACAATAGTGGAAACAAACAGTTTAAGCAAGCACGCTTCCTCATCTTGGAAACGTATCTGATTGACTTAGATATAAACAAGTCACATGCCACTCTAATGTTGACAAGCTTGCTGATATTATTGGCAGAATAACATCCCATAATATTCCATGAAAAGTGAAATTGATATCAATATATATAACGTCCCAAACAATATTTACAACCTTTCCTATTTTTTAAATTGAGATATCCTTCAAAATCAAACATGAAATAAGTTTCTTCTTCCTAGCTCCATAAAGTATGCTGACATAATACTCAACTTTCCTATCTGTTTTGCAACATATGTGCTTATATTACTCATATTATGATTGTTTTTTATTTTAGCAATTAACTGAGGACCTTTCGATATGGCATGTGATAAGGAACTGACTTCTTTACTCTTCCGTGTTGGAAATGATCTTGTTGAAGGTAAAACAATAAAAAAAGGCAAAAATTATTTCATTATTTCCGGTATTTGACATTTTTGACATCATGTTATCAAAATTTTCTCTCATGGCTCTGACCGATCGTTGTTAATTTTCGGATCAAATTACAATCAATGATGGCTACTCTGGGAATCTGAGTTATCCTCAACGCCCAGATAGCAATCTTAATTAAAGTTGCTATGATTGAGCCCTCCTGATCAGGCGTTTTTATGCTGTTTTAAAAAAAAAAAATTAAGATGGCCGCTCTATCAGGATATTTTTTTTGGTAAATATTCAATCTTTCATATCGATGTTTACCAAGCGTCCTTTTATTGTCCTTAATAAGTGATGATTAAAAGTAAAAATTTGCGTCAATAAGAAATCTGTGACAGTCACTACTGTTTCAAGTTATTTGTAAAGTCTTGTTTAATAGCAAATGAAACATGTGAGTAAAACAGGCCCGATTCGCCTCTTTATCTTAATTGTAGCATCTTATTTAATTTCCAGACAATTTTCTGAACACTTTCTATTATCAAAACAAAATGTTCAGTCATTTTCTCCAAGAGTATAGTATGAACCTGGATGTTTTATACGTGAATGCGACACGTCTGTGTTACTATAATAAAAAGAAATCACTAAGCAAAAACCTATCTTCGTCTTCCTTTATCATTTAAGCAGGTGAGATATTCTAGTGAAATATAAAAAAAAATAAAAAAAATCTCACAATGATTATGCTTTGAACTTAGCATTGAATCGGGTTGAAGGTTCAAAATGATCGTTCCGGTCGAAATTTATAGAATCTGCCATACAGTACATTTTTCTGGAAAAAATAACAATCGTTTTGTATTGTCGAGTTAATTTAATTTTGTTTGTGGTATTTGCAGAAGATGTGAAAAACCTACTATTTTTGATTGGAGACGATATACCTAATTCTGAAAAGGAGCAGATTTCAACAGGAATAGAGTTTATGACCATGTTAAGAAAGAAGAACCCTGTCGGAAGTGATCTCCTCGAACACTTAAAATCCTTTTTGTCGCAAATTCGTCGGGAAGATCTGAAAGTTCAGCTGGAGTCTTACGGACAGAAAGTTAAAAGCATCAATACAGGTAAAGTGGTATATTGACTTCATTAGGTATTTTACATCCTTCATGAATAACAATGTCTGTTATTTAATCTTTTAATGTTTTGAACATTGTTTCCATCTCCAAAACGAATTTATGTATCAATAAACATTGGCAAGTACTTAGTCAATAATGTAAAAAAAAATGTCGCATAAGTATAGCCCTCACACACTGCGAGTGTGAATTTAAAACACAATTTTCAAACTATTGATTAAAAGCCTATATAAGTCATCTAAACACAGATATAACTGTTGTATGAGGATTACATAAATATCTTTCCGATAAATTCTTCCAACTCTTTGTACCAAAACCAGTTCAAAATTGTCTGGACTAAAAAAAACGCTATTCAGTACATAAATATACGATTTAAATTGTATAGTTGTCATTGCTCTCAATATAGCTGTACCTCATATTTTCGATATTGAAGTGTCTGTTTCGTCAATGTGAACGAGATTTTGAAACAGCCTGTCACCAAAATAATTGTTACGGTTGTCTAACGTTATTCGAGGCGAGAGGGACGCTTCCAAATGACGCTAAACAAATTGCGTCCATGGCCCTGTGAGCGCGATATCTTCTGGTAAAGCTTATAGAAGAATATGTGATTGAAATATAAATATACATGTATACCTACATTATTATGATATCTAACTGGCGTATCATTTCCCTCTTACTTTTTTAGCCAAGGCGAACGTAAATATTGCTGCTGTTCCTAACTTCGTGGAAACAGTTCAATGTCGGGAGGTAGAAGAACATCTTCAAAAGAACAGGCTCGTCATTTTGAGCGGTAAGTTAATAGCATTGTCTTGAACCGAAAGCCAAACCTATGCTGTACGGGTCTTTTTTTTTTAATGTCTGGAGTAAACGTATAAAGATCCCGTATATTGCAATGGATGCAGCAGTTTTATTTTTGTTGCATTTGTGTCCCGAAGTAAAGGACACGGAACTAAATCCCCAATTCTGCAGGGGGTTACCACATTAATTGCCTCTTACAACATGTAGTGCTTCCTCACTGACGTTGGTAACAGCAGGTATATATTTTTCTCATTCTCCGCCCTGCATGGTCAACAAGATTTTAACCACCTTCATGGATATCAATCATATTTGTTCAGGATTTAAATGTGTACAGGGGTTGAGAGGCGTGGTGTGAGTGTTTGGCTAACTGCTATTCCTATAGAATCATAAGATGGAGATCAGCCATAACTGATTAGATGGAAACATCCTGCTCCTGTAGCAGGGATTCATTTTTTTTGCAATTGAAGGGTTGACCTCTGGGGCTGAAGGGCCAGGCCAAAGATTTTATCACTTGTTGACATCCCCAACCAATAACTATATATTCGATTGCGGATTGTATAGTGGCGAAAACGCATATGCTAACAGAATTGCCTGAACGATTGGTCCCATCCTTGTAGACTTAATGGGTTATCATTTTAAAACGGTTAAAAGTCTGACCCTATAACATGTTATATATACAGTTAATAGGCATAAAGCGAGGAACACAATCCGGATATTAGATTTTATCCTGGATGTATCCCCTCCCTTGAGACTAAGTCACTGGATCAAAACTTCAAAAGGGGTTGAGATCCATAACGATACATACAACTGCTGAGAATAAAGAAATGAACACAGTCAATACATTAAATTTGAGACTTAGTTTCTGGGTCACAACTTGGAAACAGTTGTTATCCGATTCGCAAAATTTAACCAGGTATACAATTACAGGGCATGAAGTGACTAGCACATTTATGCTACCAGATTTGACCCAAACCTAGGGGAAATAGTCCTTGAAAAATAACATGGCTACTCCAGCTTACAACACCATATACTAATACTGAGCATGAAGATTTGTAAACACATATGCTAAAAGTACTGGCCCTGAGGGTTGGCCCTATTCATGGGGTCTTATTTGCAATAGATATATTCATTTGTACTGCATCTATAATTTTAATGAAAATAATTTGCCAGATGAGCCTCGTGTTTTTGTTAACAGGGATATCGGCTTCTGGAAAAACACAGCTAACTCTTTGGTGTGCCAAGCGATTTCGTTCAAATGTAACTGGACCTAACATCTGGAAACTGTCTTGCCAGGATGAAAACGACTTGATTCAATCATTGAGTGGAATATTAGAATTCTTTGAATTGAAATTTGAAAGCCAGAAGGTCGACAAATCCACTTATATAATGGAAATGGTTAGTGTTATCATACACAGAGTTACCTCAGAAGAATGGCAAACGCGACAATTTCTGTTTATCTTTGACGACATATGCAAAGTATGTTCTACAGTTGTTTCACGCATATTTTGTGAATTGCGCGCAACAACAAATGTTAAAATATTAGCTTCAACAGAGATTTCCACATTTTACAACGAGTTCAAAACGAACGATAATGAAGTATTTGTATCTGTGAAGGGTGTGACAATAGAAGATGTTGGAAAATTCTTTATATCCTCTGATCGTTTCATTGGATGTGAAGATGATCTGCTTCTTCTTGCCAAGGAGGTGGGAAGTCTCCCGTACGCTCTCATGCTGGCGAAGTCATACATGGAATCTACAGAAATGACGGTTAAAAAGTATTTGGAAATGTTGAAGTATCCGGAATTCCTTCAATCCGTGGAAAAAGTTTTAGAATCTTCAGGAAAGAAAACGTACAACAAAGGACTGGTCGGTGCTCAAATCTTAACATTAGAGAAAGTTGAAAAAAAGGTGCCTGAACTTGGAAACCGTCTGTTACAGATGATTCCTTTTTTGGACTGCGAAAATGTTCCATATACATTACTTCAGAAATTGGCAAACGATTTTAGCCCAAAAGCAGAAATGGACATAAGGGCATTAATATGTGAGCTGAAATCATATTCACTAGGGGAAATCATTCAAACAGAAGAGGAAACAGTCATCTCACTCCACGCTGTAACAAAACTGGTCATATTGCATCGCCTGACGAAGGAAGAACGCGTGCGAATCATCCAGAAACTGCTTTGGTTTTTCAGTTGTCACCTAACGTTGGATTGTAGATTAAGGTCTTCGTTGGCAGACAATTTGATTCTACAGGGCCATGCTGAATGCGTCCTTGCACAAGCAGGTAAGAACATCAGTGGTTCGAATATGAAGGACATGTGTCTGTTACAGTGCATCATACAGACAGCAATAGGTGTTTCTTTTCGTGTTTCTGGGACCGAACACGTGCTAGCAGACGAATATCTGACAAAAGCAAGAACGCAAATGTTTCAGTTGATCGAAGAGTCTCCCGAGAAGTTCAAGTTAAGTCTTGATGACAACGAATCCCAAACATACCAATCAGATGACTCGGATGAAACGACAACATGGACAGCACCGACAAGCTTTCTAATTAGAACAATTCGAATGTCACTGTCCCTCGGAGAAACAACCCAAGATGATTGCGAGGAAATAGACGGAGAAGAAAGAAGTAACGACTCAAAAGTCAAGCGACTTTATGGAAAATTGGTCCAGGTCACAAGAGATTTGTCTCCCCAGTTTATCCATGATTTTGTGATGAACTTGATTCGAAGTGAGGTCGACATACAACACTTGCAACTTGTTTCAGGAAAGAGTTATGCAGGAGGTTTGGAGACGCGTAAACAATGCTTTACAACTGCACTGTACGAGAAACTTACGACAGTGAAGGCAGCAATGCCCACAGCACAAATAAGAGAAATATTTGCGGTAGAACTGATGATCATTATTCTGTACAACAATGGTCGACACTATTATCAATGGAAGCTAGGAGAAGACAGGTCATCCGATAAATTCTGTTGCAATGAATTACTCACTGCGGTAATGCTGGGGAAACTCTTAAAAAGAGACTATCCAAACTTTGTATCAGTTCAGTATCTGATCAGTCATAGGAACGGGATGTTCTATCATCACGAAACTGATAAAAGGTTCACGCAAGACAAAGAAGTTGCCTCAGTAAAGGACGACCTGAAAGAAACCATATGCCGCTTGGAGAAAATGTCTGACAAAAAAATACGTTATTTCGAATTCGGCATTTTGAAAGTGAGTGAACATCAGTGTATGCACCAAAAGGGGATGTGTTTAAAGCTGATACTTAAATGTTACATTCATCTTTACGCCCTTTGCAAAGGCAAAGAAGAAGAAATGAACGAACAGTATACTAAAGCTAGATGCTGTGCAGAACAACTGCAACATATCACAAAGGAAATGCACGCTTGGACGGCAGTTCCCGGCTTCCATGTACAGTTAGCAAGATTCTATAAGCTGAAGACAACACAAAATCTTTTGGAAGAGGCCATAAAACATTTCCAGATAGCAGATGAATTGGAAACGCAATATAATGGGAAAGGGATTTCGCACTTTCAAATACAGGCGCGATTTGGACTTGTGAAGTGTTACAAGCTGCTGAGAGACCAGGAATCATTAGCAAAAGCACAGGGTATTTGTCAATATCTCGTCACTCGACTTGATGAAACAAACTTATTTGGGATTCAAGGAAAGGCGCAAAGGAATCTTGATGAAGTTCAAACACTTTTGGAAGCTTCATTAGTGAAAGAAGAAGTGATTGAAGAAAAGCACTAGATAGGCCCGATAATACCAGTATTTTATCTCCTCTTATGTCCACCTGTAAATGTATTACCAGTCATGACTTCCAGTAACTGTACTGTTCACAACGACTACGAACATTTAATAAATATACTAGTATTTGATTTGATAGTAATATCAACACACATCTCATCTACGAGTAACTACACTACCTATTATGTCTACAAATAGATATAATATGATCTTTGCTTGTATATAATGATAATATCTATATATATATATTGTTATTTATTTTATGACAGTAAGTTTACTTTACATTAGGGCTACACTATATATATATAAGCATAGAAGTAATAGTGACGGTGAAAGAAAGGATTTGTCTAAGCGATCGGCCCCTTTTATCAAACCACAGCAATAATATTATACAGCACAGAGAAAACCAGTTATGACTTGTAATATATGTTGATGTCAACACATATCTCTTCTGCCGGCTTGTATTCGAAGACTTTTTATTTTATCTTGAAATCGTGCTATTGCATATTCCAGTGAATTAATAAATGAAATGTAAAGTAGATCTATATATTGTTCGGTTATGTTAATAATGGAAACTTTTGCAAGGACCAAAAAGAAAAGCAAAAGAAATTGTTATAGATAATGTCCTCCGCAAAAATGCATCTCGATAAGAGTATGACCACTGAAAATATATAGAATTCTTCTTTTTAAACGTTTTCCAGGGGTAAAATTTAGGTAAGGAGTTCTGAAGTTGTTTGAGTAATATAGGAAGGACAGGTTCTACAAAAGAAATATTCTTATTTAATAAGGGTTTCTTTACTGATTAAAAGGGTATACTATGTAAGAAATCTCATTTTAGAATTTGAAATTGTTAGTATATTTTCACTTCCGTTCACTCTTAAGGTATTCGATTTTTCTTCGTTATATTTATTTTGTTCTTTGGTTTGTCGCCTCCTTACAATTTCATTCACTGCCAATGCTCCAATAATTATGTAGAGAGGGAAGGAGAATTCAATCATTCTCTGTTTTATTTTTAAATCTTTTCACTTGCTGTAAAGTATATGTACTCAATTACAGCCAGATTTTCTTTATTGCATTAATAATTCAAATTATATATACCATGCGGATATCATGTATTTATCATAAGTAATATAATAGTATCTCTCATGCCCTCACAAATACAAACACTTTACAATTGTATTTAGCGATGGATCAAAATGGGAACACCATATCTATGTCCCTTCAATATTTTGCTGGACCTTTCGAAAGACTAATTGTGCTTTTTACATTTCACTATTAATCGTTCTCGATGTACATGAGGATTTGATTTTTTTGAATTGTTTTTTTATCTTTTATTTTGGAATTTTATGTTTCATTCCATCCATAGAAACCGTTTTGCTATGAAAACGGTAAAGTTATACATGATGGATGTTATACGATATTCTGACAAAACCCCCAGCAAATCGTTAATTTTGTTACGATGAAAGACAGTGTCGTTACAGTTAAGCACGTATCTCATGCATTCTTATGCATGTTAAAACTAAAATCATGAAATTCCATTAAGTTTAGAGTTTTTTTGGTTTGACGTTTGTTTATAGCCATGCAAGGTTTGTTTCCATCACATTTTTTGCATGTGTTAAGGACTCACACAACTAAATAATTTAATATATGTTAGTATTAAGCCTTTGAACGAATAGCGTTAATACTTGAAGTTCAACACTAGTGGCAACTGTCTAGATTCACAGATACATACCTTCAAAGGCTTCAAAAGGTATTTTGTTGCGGGTTAGTGGCATATAAGAGTCTGCTTTTGACAACCGAAAAATTACAAACCAAACCGGTGAAGTGGGACGGGAGCACCCCTTGACATTTGACCCAATATCAATCCGCCATCACATATTTAAATCTACTAAATCTATAGTTTTTCTACAATTCAATATCTGTAGATGTCATTAAATGTAAAATATGTCAATAATTACCTAGTTGAATTACTCAGAGGCACTGTGTTTAACCGGAACTTTAGGTAGGGATTACAATCATATGAAACACTTGCTGCAATACTGGCTGTTTTAGTTGTGCGAGTCCTTAAGGATAACTGGAAGTTTTCTGAGAAAAAATGGAAATGAAATTGATGTAATTCAGTTTAATTTGTTCGGGGCCTTAAAGTGTATATAGCCTTCTGCTTCTGTGGCTATGAAGTATATATGTATGAGGACATGAGTCACCGCTTCGTAGGGAGAAATGGTGCGTCGTCTGCTACAAATGCAAGCTAATCTTACAATAGTCGTTGATGCTTCAGTTATATTTACCTCACACTGGTGTGTATACGTGTGTAAGATCTGTTTAAGGTTAAAAGTTCAGTTAGCTTGCAATAATTTCAAGTGTTCCGCATGTTCTGAATGTTCCGCTTATTCTCTCTTGTTATACTTTGCTTATTTATAATTATTTTAATTTCAATCGTCAATTATTTAGATGTATTTACCTTAACGTTTGTGTTGTTAAAAATATTGATTGTATGCATTTGAAATACTTAGTACTATAAGATATATTTCTAAGCAAAACTGATACATGTCGCATATTTGATCAAGCTGACGAAAACGACAGACAAAGATAGTAATCCACACATATCATTAACATCAGAGAGGTCAAAAGCTAAGATGATATGTTATTATGAACTATTATTTTAAATAAGGTAATATGCAGATGGCAGAATTCATGTTGAAGATAATTTAAAGGTAAGCATAGGTTCAAATTATTTTAACCAATTATCAAGTTGAAGGAGAAAATGCTACGTTGATAAGAAAATGATTTATGAAGGTTAAGATTATGTATTTCAGCTTATATTTATAAAAACATATACAACATATGATAGTACTTGGAACATTAATGAATGCCTTGGTGTTTGATCTTGACACGAAAAAAACTTTTTTTTTTAGGTTTTGATAACACTCACATAAATTATTTTTTGCCAAATTCAATGAAGGAATTTCGTTGAAATAATGAATTTCGATAATAGATTATATGTTTTTTTTCTGGATTTCAAATCTTTTCATACGAATTATCCCCCATTTTGAAAACAAAGTTCAAATCAAAAATAGAAAAGGTATACTCAGGTGAACAAGAATAAAAAATTTGGTTTAATTATATCAGTAGTCCACAGCGTTGAATACTATTTCATCGAGGATCCCACTTGCAAGGCATACAGAAAAGAACTGGTTTCTACATTTTGCACTAATGTAACGCAATTTATCTGTGTTCCATTTAAGGTCAAGAGCAATTGACAAAACATCCAATTTTGTTGCGGAGCACTTCTACATGTAATTTACCTAACTTGCTACGCTGTAGGACCCAAAGAAAATTTAGAGAAATTTACAATTTTTGGATATCCCTTTCAAAAATGATTAAAAATAAGCATTTTTTAAATAATAATCGCTGAAATTCCACACAAGCTTAATTTTAACGTTGCGAGTCATTCTACGTTTTCCATGGTCAAAGAATCATAGTTATTGATCTTTAATAATTAAGGCTACTGTTTGTTTTGATAGAATACTATGCGTATACAATCAATTTTGCAATCATTTGCTTATGTAGTAAAAGAAATATACGGCATGGACGAATCATAATGATAAACTTCATCGCATGAATAGTATGGAGTTAAGGTCTTCATCATTCATAGGAAGTTCAAGTGCCATAATGATCTGTTTATCGCTTTATCGCAATGTACCTTTATTATAGCGTATCTTTATCCTAATGTATATTTCAATTGTCTTAATGTGCATTAATCATGATAAAATTTTATCAAAACATGCCTTTATCATACTTAAATTCATTATAGTGTAACTTTGTGCAATATACCTTATCGTATAGCATAGATACGTAATCACATTAAACTTTTAATGTAATGTACGTTTATCGTAATGTTTATTTATCAAAATTTGTCTTAATCATAAAGTATCTTGCTAGTAATGTAACATTATTATAATGCACAATGCATGTGATATAATCATAATGTACATCATTATAACGTACAATTGGACCATTGTGGATTTATCGTACTGTACATTTCCTGGTATCCGTTCAACAGAAACAGTGAGGAATAAATTAAAGATTAATCATCAAGTGAAGAAAATGCTTTAATTACTTTTATCATTCTTATGCGTACAAAAAGCCTCTGGTAAATAAGCACATGTTGCAATTTCAGGAAGGCAGTTACGCTTATCTACAACAAGCTAAGTATAGCACATGTTAACTACAATAGAACAAATATATATTTGAATGCGAAGAAACATAGATAATTTGAATACAAAACAAAATAGCATATTGCAGTTTTGGCTTTTGAAATCCTTAACGTCAATTTTGAACAAATTTGTGTCGTTAAAATATGTTTTACATTAAAAACCGCGATAGAACGGAATCTAACGCAGGAAATATTTACAGACTACAGTTATAATTACATATTGCAATATTCATAAAAATGAATAAGAAAGAAACATGACATAATAAATGTAATATACATTTTGTTTGTAAATTGTTGAAGTTAGAACAAACAAAATAAAACTTTTTTTAACATTACTATTCTGTATCTATTATTTATGCACCATTGAAGATATGGAAAAATTGTGAACAGGTCACATTTTCTGCAACAAAAATAATGTATTGGTAAGGGAAAGAAGCAGTTTTATTTGTAATCCGAAATTATGAAAAAGAAAATATATCTATAAAGCGTTTATACATTAAATTCCACTAACAGTTAGGATTTTTTGTTATAGTTTATACAGTCTATTTATTTACATTGTTTACATTGGCACCCATCGATCGTTGGATACGCTGTAGACTGTACTACACTTCGTGGGTATCCGATGAGGACTTGACACCAAAAACGTACACGAGTGTTTCATTAGTCACAATCTGCATCAATAAACGGTAACAAAACAGTAAGTTTTCAAAAGCAAAATTGACAACACATCGAGTGTAATAAATCATGTATACAACCAAACTTCGATGTTACGAATCCAAATGAATATCGTATCCTTTGCTACGCAATTGGGTTTTTTAATATCCCCGTTCAACATATTATTCCATTGTCCAAATCTTCTCGGTTAGTTCGAGTGATCATTTGAGTCCATATAAATGTGTGATTCTTTATTAATGCCACTTAATGTATCATGTCCAACTCCCAACAGAACGGTTTAGAATATCTTATATCGAAGTTAAAAAGTTAAATTATGAGAACAAATCTAGCAGCGGGCAAATGCAATCTGATTAAAATCAGCTGTTAGGCCCCGTTAACTTCGTACTACGTCTGAACCATGTAACAGATGATTTTAATCAGATCGAGGGTAAAAGATGATTTTGAGCTATTTTAATTAATAAGCGAAATATGTGTTATTCATTTTTCTATTGTTCGTCGAATATATGTGTTATATGTAAAACTTTACTTTGATACATTAAATACTTCTTCAATCAAACACAAAACGTGTTGCATATTAGGGGATTTGTACATTCTTGTACAAATATGGCACACCTGTCTCTCCGTCGCCTACTTAACGCGTACGCTTTAGTGTCAATATTGTAACACTGTGATAATACATAGTTAATTTGTCGACAAAAGAAAAAAACAAAAACCGAATCAATTGATTGAACAACGTCAATAAACTTAACAATAACAATTTAATATATGTTTTTTCTTCTATCTGTATAAAAATTGAAAAATAAAGACTGAACGTATTATTTTTTTACACACAATAGGTATTTAAGAATGAGTTATTTAAAATAACAATTATGTATTTTTATTACATGAGGGGTATTTTGTATACGGTTATAAACAATCAAATTTAAAACTATCACCACGTGAACACTTTTATTAAAAAAGGGCGGGAACATTCTCGTAAAAAGTAATAAAGGAGTGTGGTCTGTGCAAATGTAAACATGTTTGCATCATAACTAAATGGATATATACATAATACCGAAAAGAAATATTCAATTGTTTATAAAAGGGGTAAAATAGAAAAGAAAAAAGACTAACATTAAAAACTGATTTAATACATGCGTGTAGACTATAGTATACAGAAGCTGTGTGACCTTTGTAAAAATGACAAAGGGTCATTGGTATTGCCCTTTTCTCTTCAATTTCTGTCGTGGTATGCGAAGCGAATCTCTTAGCAGCCATGCCTAAGCAGACGTCACTGCAAGTAACCTCCCTTTGACCACACGCAGAAGACGGTAGCAGGGATATACAACAATATTTCAACTTGCAACTGACCGACAAAAAAGTGATTCTATTCAGTATGGTGAAAGTATAAGAAATAATACGTTCCCTTGTTGTTGGGAAGTTTTTGTCTCCGATAACAGTGATGATGATAAAGTTGACGCGCTATTGTTGTCGCCAGCTTCAATCACTTGGAACTCCGGCGTGGTGCTTCATACTTTTTTCTCTCTCGAGAAGATCCGAATTAGGGAAAAAAGACCGATGAACTCGAGGGCGAGAGGAACCACCACGCTTTATTTCCCCGTCATGTTATCAATATGATCTAATCTTGCAAAGCTATTTAACCTGATATATTTATTCCTAAGGTTGTGTCAGTCTGACTTCTGGTGTGATTTCCATCAATGTCTTTACTACACTTTCATCTGAAATAAAACGATCACCTCATTTTACTCATTAAATTGTATTCGGTTTTTAAACTAATATACTATTAATATATAGCAAGTTATAAATTATATTATCAATTGATAGCCTTTTGAGATTGCATCTCTTACAATAATCGATTACATGATGGCTTGATTTTTTTCAACATGAAAACTTTATATGCAATCAACAACATTTCGGCGAATTGTAATCGAGGCAAAATGTTATTCCAAAGCTATTTTGTAAAACAAAAGCCGAATACTTGTCATTATTACCTGCTTCATTTCTTTAGTTTCAATTCCGGCAGTTTGCTGTTCGGTGAATCTATATGCAAATCGGGCCAACACCGCAATAAGGAATACCTCTATGATAAGCATAAAGTTGTGGATACCTGAAACAGGGCAATATTGACTTACAAATGTGATGTGGTATAGAGAATTGAACTGTTATAATTTAAGTACTCACACAAGAATAATATCAGGTATTTCACGTCAATAGTAAGATGCTGAATTTTAATTTATCCTATGAGTTGAGAAAAAAAATGAAATAATAGAGCAGAGAGAAAAAGAACTATAAGTAATGATAGAAATAAATGGCTGACAAATTGAAATTAACACGAAAGCTCTAAACATAATTTGGAACACATAATATGAGCATATTGAAAGCATCTTATGCAACGAATGTTCATATATGTCAACATTTCAGTAAGTATTTGATACAGTACTCACTTATTGACCTTACAAAGGAACCTCGACTTCCCTCACACGTAATCTTCTCGTATCTAGCCAGGGCTAGGAGGATGGTTAGTTGCATATCAAACACAAGAAGCGTGAGTTTGAGAGTGGCGGCTTTTAGGTGAAACCTGGGCAACGACAACTTCCGCCTTGCTGCGAAGAATGTCACGACAAGTCCGTATATAGCAAACAAAGTAGATATCGTCGAAATGACTTTCAACCATAGATAAATCTGTGATGGTTCAGACTAAAAAAGAAAACATTTAGGTATATTGGTATCGATTTAAGGCCTTGCTAAATACATTTGACTTTCTTTGACGTAATATATGACTACCAGGCACAAACATGGTGTTTTCTTTTTAATTTTACTTTTTAGCTAATAAACTGTATAGAAAGAGCTATAAATTTACATTAAACCTCGTTATCAGTTGAGAATATCAAATAAACGCATGATTCATTATCGGTATTGTTTTTCTACATTTCTGATACATATATAAGGGGCATATCGCTCTTAACATCCGAAAGTTCCTTAATAATTGCACCAAATGTGTAATCATAGATATATTAAAGCGTACAAAAATGTAGGTAATAATAAACCCTCCATGACTTGAAGGCGTCTAAAAGCAAAGGGGTGTGATCGGTGTTGCTTACACTCTGATCCAGATGGTACCGGCCATCACTGTGGAGAATGCTCAACACGTACAAGATCCCTGGACGGACGAACGACAGCTGTAGTACGATGATCTTTATGAACTTCAACGTTTTACTGTAAAATAATTTGTATTACTACATCATTTAAATGTCCATTTGACATATTGATAATAATTGGATATAGATGCTTATAACAAAACGAAAAGATCGAAGTTAGAGAATGAAACCTGAAATTATGTTCTCCTCTGGAACAGATAACAGCCAAAATGAGCCGCAAGAAAATCTATCAAAATACCACAAAAAAAGTAACCACACAAAGCAGCGTATTGGAATTTTTTTTCCCATGAAGCATGTATAATTTGTACGAAAGGAATTTCTAAATCTTTCCTTACAGATTTGTTCCTCATTATATCTTAATATGAACATGGAGTTAAAAATAAATGCCATCCTCACATCACATCGTTTTAAAATTGATACGAAAAGCCAGTAACATTAATTTAAGGTAAATCAAAACAGAAAGAAAGGAAACCCTCAGCAAGAGCTTCATGGTTCATGAAACGCTCACATGTTCCTTAATTATGCTTTAAAGCTAAATTGTTGTATAGTCATTGGGTTTGAAACAAAAAAACTGTTTATCTGACTCTTGAAAACGTTTTATGGTTTGTTTTTTCATAACTCGATGATTCTACATATATAAAGTTTGCATCAATCATAAGTTTTAAAGTGATGGATCAGAACTGTTGTTTACCGTTTAAATTATTTGAAGCGTAATTTATTCAATTGTTCAATCAACAGGCGAAATAAAGTCATAGTCCGTTGCTATGCAATTGTATAATGATGTAGCGGTAAAATTTTCTGTGGAATTCTTATGGTTTTATTTTCATAAAAATAAAAATAATTTCGACCATTAAGATATGTAATTATTTGGTATGATAACAAAGAACAAATGATGTATTTATATGAATATAAGACATGCATGGAACTGCATTATTATAAGTATTAGCCAATCATGAAGATGATCAAGCTTGAATATGAAAAATAGTTTGAAATTCAATGCGTTTGACCTTATACTTTTCGTTATATGAAATCCAATGAAAAATATTTCACCTCATGTCGGCCAAGGTAATGTATGTGATATGTGAACCAACTGAAGCCTTTCTTTGTAGCTACATATTAATTATGACCATGTTAAATAATACTGTTGAATTATGCCTAGAAGACGGATGCCGTACCATGGACATAAGATCACTTCGCGTCAGGTGAGGTTAAAAAAGGGTGCGAATATAAGTGTTCCGTACTATGACAGTTTCTTGTTCTACGCGTTACAGCTGTCCTGTGAGAATCATCATGTGACATTCATCAAGTGAAATATTGGTATTGTCAGAGATTATTACACAATAGAACATATATAATTGTTTAGACGTCAACAGCACAATTATCTCAATTACCAGAACGTAAGAGATAATTCTGTGTATGTAAGCTCTCATTAACATGCTGTAATAATTGACTGCCGTCACTGTACCAAATCGGGACTGTACCCAAAACGGGACACTTATGAGAAAACGGTACAAGAATCTGTCCTTCAATGCAAAGAAGCAGTTTTATATATACAGTTTTCATTTGATAATACTTTTATGACAATTTAACTGTATGTAAGCTTTATTGGCTGCTGATTATCGTTACATGGACAATTTAATGGTAATAATAATGACCAAAACTAAATTTTCCCGATTTCCGTGCCGTGCGACGCTATTTATTTGAATATCATTTTCAAAAGTCTATTTTATTAAAACTAGTTTGAAGAAGAAATTTCATCATAACCCTGATTGACTCTAAAATATTTGAAATATGCCTTCTTTTCTGCTGATATTGATCGTTTATTCCCAAACTTTCAGGGTACAGTTACGCCGGTTCAAGGGCCTATGTAACCCTGGTGGTATTTCGCGTTTTATTTATAGAACCACGCGCCCGAAATATCAACTTGTAATAGAAATGAAAAAGTGTATAGTATCTTTTTATGAAAAATGAACAAAAAAAATTGGAACTGATAGTATGGAATAAAGAACATTGATATTTATCTAAAAAGTGTCCCGATTTGGGTACAGTGACGATAAATGATGCTTAGATCCAACTTCATTTAGTGCACATCCATGTATCCTATCATTGTATAGTTACCGAGTTAGTTTAACTTGGGTGAGACAGCAGCAACAACAACAACACGGCGGCGTCCGGAATGTTACTGTTTCGCCTTCAAAAGCTTGGACCATGGCGTTGGTGCCGCCAAAATAATCGGCCACAAGTCTGATGAACTGCAGTACGCAAAAGGACAGGAACCTGCAGGAAAAGTGAAGGGAATATATATCTTAACATTCACAAATTTAATACTCCTTAGCAAGATACGTATATAGCATATTGGTCAATAAAAATAGGTTTCAATCACGATTTCTCTAATGGGGATAATGATGATAATCAATTACCTAAGTTACCTCATTTTTATCAATTCAATATGGTATGCATATTGATTCACAATAAAATGATGTATTTGATTCTAGAACGAAACAACATGTTTTGATTTTAGTATCTTTATGTCAGATTTTTGTTTTTAAACGAAATTTAATTTAAAAAAAAACCACAACATTTGCTGTTGTTTCATTGCATATACTTACAATGCACTTAAGAACTCAGCTATGGGCGTGGCTTTTGGGATCAAAAGGCTCAGCAGTGCATTGCAAGACACGATCTGAAAGCAGGGAATCAAATCGATAAGAACTTTAATACGAAGCGAAATAACAATGCATGCAAGGATATGTGATGATTATGTGATTTTCAGTAGAGTTATTCCCCTTTGAACAAACGTTAAGTTAACGTTTCTTGGAATCTCAATTTGTATTGGTTTTCTTTAATTACTAATGATAAGCGAAGAATGATCAAAACCAATATTACCAGAATCTTTGATTAACTACTTGGAATGGATATGACATAAGTTCTGAATGTATGTTGCAGGATACTTATTGATAATTGAATAAATGTGATGATTATGCACATGACCTGGTACCTGGAGATCCTGAAAATGGTTTCCACATAAAAGCAGGCTAATGCTAGTGGTCAGGTTGATAACCTACAGGAGGTATCGAGTGGCGTTCCATACAGCAGAAGAAGGTAAGGACACCTCTGCAAAATACTATACCAGAAACTCCTGCTAAGGCTACTCTGGTGGCTATTTTGTACGTTGTGTTCAGTGACAAGTACGATACCAGTGAGTGAACAGCTTGGAGACGCCAGAAGCTCCTGCGTAAGGGGTCGCCTGAGAAGGCTACTCTGGTAATCCAAGCCCGCAGCTGATCTGGTACCGGTGTGCTGTGGTGGGGAGTGTGGAAGGTTACCCCGGGAGCTGCCAGGGATCAGCTCGGGGACAGGGTACCTCGGAGCTGCCAGGGATCAGCTCGGTGACAGGGTACCTCGGAGCTGCCAGGGATCAGATCAGGGATAGGTTACCTCGGGAGCTGCCAGGGATCAGCTCAGGGACAGGGTACCTTGGAGCTGCCAGGGATCAGATCAGGGACAGGTTACCTCGGAGCTGCCAGGGATCAGCTCGGTGACAGGGTGCCTCGGAGCTACCCGGGATCGGCTAGGTGACGGGCGTATATCGGGACTGTTAGCGGGTAGCAAGGCCATACCTGGAGCTAGGAGTGTCAGCATTCCGATTTGCTGGTTGTCGTGTGGTTGGAGAGGTTGTGTATGTCAAGGCGACGTGTGTCGTGGTTCGACAGCACGGGTTGATGGGGACAGAGGTACTATCCTGGCCCACAATTGTCTTCATTTGTAAATATAGTTGATATTTTTAAGAGTTATTGCTCAACTGCTCGGCCAGGAAGCCGAGGATCCCAATCGCTTCTAGAGCAGGTAGCTCGGTCATAATTGAGATTCACACAGTGCACACACGCTACCAGGGGTTGCACGTTACAGATATATTAGTAAAATAGTATTTGTAGAAAATAATACAGATATTAGATGTTTTGTCCGCCAGCACATTCCACAAACTTGTAGTTTATACATCCTGGTCAAGGAATATAGACTCGTCTCTGTTTTTATTTTAGATTTCAAGCTCACCATTCGTTTTTGAATGATACACGTGATAGACGGAACCCACTCTGAAAGTGAATCATATGTGGTATGCCCTCTTATTGCCACTCGTTTTGCCCATTGTCTAGAGCAGTCTTTTACAGGATCCATTAATATCTTGAAAATCACATGTAGTGAACACTACATTGAGCAAATACATGGAGACAGTGTGTATCAAACTGTGACGTAAGTATCACCGATATTGCAGCTCGTGTAGTTGAATTAGAAATCCAGAAAACTGAAAACTAATCCAGCATGTTCTTCAGTAGAGCAATACGACAAACCCTTTTGTGAACTGTCTAATTATTTTTTTTAAATATATCACGGTTTATCAATATCGATCTGCCCCTATAGAAAATCTACATTAAAAGTTCAACTCTATTCAAACATTTTACCTGACAGTATTGACCCTATAACACGATTTGAATGTTCCCGACGTCACATACTCTTCCAATATTTGCTCTGCTTAAAGTACTTTCAAACTTTACGGTTCTACACTCATGAACTGATGTCTGCAAATTTGAATATGTATTTTGTATTCGAACTGATAGATGTGCGATGAATATAAATTAAATGATGATTGCATAATCACATCATTAATATGTACATGTCATTGGTACGGGTAGACGAGAAATCTAATTAAAATCAGATCTCTCATTACACTACGTTATGGAGTAACGTAGTGTAATGAGAGATCTGATTTTAATTAGATTTGGTAGACGAGGTACAGGTAAACGTGTATGGCTTTACAAGTAGCATAACATGATAACCATATCATTACACGTGTATCATTAATATTTAGAGTCTTACAGTGTACATATGCGGACACCAGTTACAGGAACCGACATTGGTTTGGTTTGGTTTGGTTTTACCGACATTGGTTTGGTTTGGTTTTTTAATAACTATATAAACTTTATAATAATACTGAAAATTAAAATATTTTTTTTTCTGAATGTTGAGAAATAAAATGTATTACCGATCTACCCTAATTGTTTTAGACATGCAACAGAACCAAGTAACGGTACGTTGGTGCATTTGCCTGCTCGCGATAGCGCGTATCTGATACCGAATTTAGAGTGCTACCTCACTAAAATACCATGCCGAATGCCACCAGCACAGTATTCCTTCCGGTCACGTTATACTGATAACGGGTAAACCGATATGGGTCTACCAGTAATACATTACCGACAATTTATGTTAATGAAGTAATAGTAACATATATATGGTACGTGTATTCGTGTATGGTAGCTCCAGTCACATATACATCCTACTTATATGGTGATACATGCTAGTAACGTGTACACCCACGTGTAAGGTATATGGCTGTATTAGCAAAATGCTACTTTATTGCAGTGAAGATTGTTAACAAAACATGATAAACGATTTCAAAATGATTATTTTTATTCCTCAAAGCTACCAATTCAAGTTCAATTTCAGTATATAATGGATTATTTCTTCATTAAAAAAATGAGGTTGTCCGATAATGGGGCTCATTATGAAGCTTGAAAGCGAGTACATTGTACTTGAACTCGATCACCGTAACGCAAAGCGACACTGGAAAATATCAATATTGATCTACTTCTGAAGCACGTTTGTGACTAACTAGGGTATTGGAGTTCCTATTCACAATCATGAGAGGTGAGTTTGAGGCTACAGAACCAGTACGTTAATACATTTTTAAACAATACTTAAATAAAGACTTTAAACTTATTTGTATGATATTCATATTTGTTATGCACTGCCTTGTCGCTATGCATTGTGACGAATCATGGAACAGTAGTCCAATCAATCGCGGCCTGATTTAATAAATATGAAAATATTAAACTCCAGACTGGAATGGATTGTATGGAGCCAGCTGCATACGTAACGGATACACAGACCAAAACGCAGAGAACCTTATGTCATTTATTTAAACTTCCTTCTAAAATGGTCACAAGGCGAAAAACCTTACCATAATATTTACATACATGGCCAGAGGTTACAGAACTTAACAATTAACTATTGTTATACATGATCGTTAAATGGTCAGAAGGCAAAAAGTTACCATCGCTATTTGCATACTACATGCATAGCCAAGAGGCACCGAACATTATCAGTGACTTTATGAGTTACTTACCGGATAAAGTGCCAAAAGGCACAGAATCTTGGGTCGGGTTTGTTTGTCGTCATAATGTTTTGAAAAGAACCAAACCTCTTCAAGGAAATTGATGAGTGTAAGAAAAGAAAGGACACCAGCTATTACTGTAATAGCTATTGTTCCTGTCTCTCCACCCAGCTCTGGAAAGAAATATACTCATTTTTTAAGAATAGTTTACCTTCTCCGGAATGGCCAATTAAAATGTGTTACGTTGAAAAAGAATGATAATTTTCTACAACCTGTAATCGAACACATGTATATGCTTATAAATTATGTCAAATATTTTACAGTAAGTGTGTCCATCGACTCTTTAAAGACAAAGTCCAATAAATAGGGGATACATTTTCTTCCCACCTTGAACATCTTTTTACGATATATGTTTTATATCCAGTCAACTTTAAAATATTGGAGTGTACTATCCATATATTGGTGTAGGTAAAATTAAAACAACTAATAACCAATCAATTTCTGTTAAAGCGTATGAGAATAACAAAAATTTAAAATATTTTACCTGAATACAAGACAGACGTATAGGGGAAATCCTGCGAACAGCTCATGATGGCGTCGTGTCTCTACGACCACGCCTGCTGAGGATTGGGACCCTTTTCGTGATTGGTTTTACTACAAAAAAACGTTATGTTGAAAGAGAATTGATTGAATTTGATGTTTGCCTTAAAAGTGATATGCCGAAATTGCTTTAGGAAGGTTGTGTATTTTTGGCACTATATTTATTGTTGTTAAACAAAGGAGAAGAGCGTTACACTTGTATAATTTACATTGTGTCTTCTCTCTTTCAAACCTCCGTATTTTTCCTCTAAGGATAGGAGTTTTATTTGTATATATTTATGTTGGCCTCATCCTTATTGTTTTACATTTTATCAAATTTAAAATTCATGTGTTCACCAGGGAATCTAAGATAAAAAATAAATCTACGAAAAAAGCAACAACAGTACTTGGTTTGTCTTGTTTTTATGACGATTTTTCTGTCAATGTCGTGTAAGCGAAAAGACCTTATATCACGAAAGAAGAAAACCCTTCTATTAAATTTAGTAACAGGAAGGTCAAACTGGTTGTGACGACATGTATTTGACGGGCAAGTCATCAAGTCTCGATGAATGGATCGCATGTTCTATATATAACAAAAGGAAGGTCTAGCTCTATAAACCGTGTCCATTCCCACAGTACTTGTGACAAGCATCCCGGGTAGACGATTCTTTGTCCACATGATAATACTTATTTCACGTCACTGTGATAATGGTTCTCGGTCGATTTCCAACACAGGCAATTATCTACCTGAACTGTATAAGAAGTCTAAACTGTTAACTTTTAAAATAACAGGTACGGCTCTGCTGTAGATAGCGTTAGAAGCATGAGAAATGATCGTAACACACACAAAGGTAATTGTACCTTAAGATTTGATAATGGATACGGTATGCAAAAATGAATGTATAACAAAATTATAGCAATACACTTGTATATCCAAACCATACCTATATATTATAAGTGTAGAAAGTAAAGATAATAATTAAACTATTGTAAAAACAACACTTGAATGACGGTCTATGTAAACTTTACACTGTGGCTTAAGAAAAAAACCTGGTTATATGCTGTTTAGTCGAAAAAAATGCTATAGAGAGCAGATAAATAACGATAAATGTAAACATTCGCACGGCGATTCAGATAGGACCTATGGATTCCCAGCATTCACGTCAATATTTTTGTATTTCCAATTCAAAACAAACTGTTCAACAGAAACGAATCCAGTCTACACACTTACGCTCGTTGTGAGCTTAATATATTGAGGTAAACAACACATCCGTCAAGATTTAACACACATACACTAATAAGAACCGTATTAGAGAGAAATCGTGCCGTGTATCTGGCGGGTTCAAATAAATGTACCTATCCGTATTAATGTCGGGTGATTCACTATCGGGCATAACTTGTTCAGAAATGGTTACAATAACCATTGTATTTAACAGATTTACAAACGCATATCAATAGAGAATGCCTTCAAAACAAGAACAAAAAACAATGTCATCTAATTGCTTTTTGAGCAGACCCAAACACACAATATATAATATGACATACATACATCACAATCTATTGGTAAACATCTGAAAATAAAGATTTGATTAGGACAGAATCGTTTTAACCACCAAAGTATATATCTGTCATGGAAAAATGTGGACTTCACCTACCTGTGTCTGAAACCAGCCTGCGGTGATGAGCTGTACCCGAGCTGTCTGACTAAGTCACGCCGTGACACTTTGTTATGGTCGTCTTGGTACGTCTATACATTTGTACGTACAAAACACACACCGGGTCAATATATAGTACATAGCTGTAAGCAGTGCAGAATCGATCAAGCGGAACGCTTGTTTAACTGCGGCAATCATGTCAAGCTGTATTAAGGATTTCGAAATACATAAATGACATGAAATGATATTGGCAATGCGTTTCTTTCTATGTATTCCTATCTCTGGTACGTTCAATAAGGAACTGTATTGCCATTCAATACAATTCTGTATAGTTCTATATGGAAAAGAGCAAAACTATTTACAATTAAGCATGCACGCATACAATAGCCTACATTCGAGAGAGTTTAGTAACAGTACTGACTCACACTTTGAGCAGCTCTCCTCTCATTTCTAAAAACTATTGCATGAAGAAACCTAAAGTTAAATGATATTGATGAGGTTTCATTTATTAGATGTATTGGTGTTAAATAAGTTTGTTATGTTCAAATGCGGCACAGTTTTCTTTACCGAGTATTTGTCACAAGTAGCTTTTTAAGTTCACATAAGATACATGTAGTTTTCGCGAGAAGAAAAAAAATTCAGACATAATCCAGTCAGGTCAGACAATTATTGAATAAAAATATAAATCCTTGCACATATATTTACAATGATTGAATACAAATATAAAATACTGTACATATATTTACAATTATTGAATACAAATATAAAATACTGTACATATATTTACAATTATTGAATAATAATATAAAATTTCGAACATAAATATGAAATTATTGAATATTGCAACGCTTGACACGCCATATTCGTTATTAGAAATGTCCCCGTTGAAGATTTCGGTATTTACTTCATTCAGTGTCTTTTATCCTGGCGTTTTTCTTTCAGTTTGGTATGGGGTGTACACATGTGGTAGTGTACAGAGTGGAAAAGTCAAATGTTCCGATAAAAAAATGGAAAGTGAAAGATGAACATAAAACAAACATAACATTACACATATAAAATTTGATTAAAAAACCATTGTGTCACAAATAAAAAACTCAATCAAACAGTCGTTTCGTCCTTCTAAGACTCGTCAGTAATGTAATGGGTGGAAATCCAAATCGGTCTAAACTACTAGTGTTGAAACAGAAAGGGGGTGCATAACACCACGTAATTACATGAATTTGAAAAGTTGGAAAAGTAGTGGTTAATTACAAGTTATTAATGAGTAAAGTGTTCATTAGGAAGCACGGTAGTCTAGGGGTAGGGCGCCGGGCTCTTGACCGAATGGTTTGGGGTTCGAGTCACGGCACTGTGTTGGTTCTTTGAGCAAGATACTTTACTCCGTTTGTTCCATTCTACTCAGCTGTAAATGAATACGTGGTTGGGCTGTGCTATAATTGTTGAATTCTAGGTGTGAGCGCCGAAATATTTATTCAAGATATTGGCTTGTTGCAAAGGAACTATAACCACTGATAATAATTTGTGAATCGCTTTGAGACGACCTACGAACTAGGTAATGATAAAGCGGTATATAAGCACCTCGAATTATTATTATTTTATTATTATATTATGAACCGTGCCACTATCCAAAAAGAGATAACTGTAGCTTTCAAGGTTACGGCAAACATCGAGAACTGTAACAGCCAACAGCATTAGTGTCCACCACCTTTTATATTGAATGATGAACGAAAGACACGTGATTGCATCTATACAATTTGGTAGTAGATACAGTATGCCAAACGTACACTGCACAATATAGCCCGAGTTTGTTCTGGCCCCGACACCAGACTTGGACATTTTGACAGCTAGATGTCCCACACCTGACATCTATCTGTCACAAGGTCTAAAGTCTGGTGTCAGGGCCAGAGCAAACTCGGGCTATGCACAATACAGCTGCTTCGTTTTTCTAGAAGTCATCCATGATGCTAGAGGCCAAAAAGGTGGAAATACATATTGGTCAAAACTACTGCTCAAATTCAGGGGATGTGCATAAAACCACATGATTATTTGAGCATTGATTAAACATCAGAGGAGTTCCGGTTAGTTACAAATTATTAATGAGTCAATTGTATATAGTATGAGCCTTGCCTTTGCTCAAAGACATCATCGTTGTCATCAAGATTACGGCAAAACCTCTGGTGCTAACAAAGTCATCAGCAGAGTCTACCACTGATGAATAGGAAATGGGGGTTCTGCATAAAATCCGCCCCTCCCTCTATATTGATAGTAAATCCCTCCCTTACGTCAAGTAGTCACCGCCGCCGCCACCACCGCGGTGGTGGTGGCGGCGTCATCGCAAGTGACACGGTCGCGGCGGCGGCGGTGGGGCGGCGGGTGACTACTTTACGTAAGGTACTCCCTCGTCCCTCAATGTTCCCTATGGGGTATTCAATCTATTTTGAGAGGGAATTCCTATGAAAGGTCATGGGATCAGTCCCTCATCCCTCACTGATCCATCCCGATAGGGAGGGACTTACTATAAATATAGAGGGAGGGGAGGATTTTATGCAGAACCCCCATTTCCTATTCATCATACCACCCTGTATCTTGGAAGATAAACGTATGATACACACATGTGATTGCAGATATAAATTTTGGTAATTGATACAGTGATACCAAAAGTGAATTACACTGAATTTAAAGGACCTTTAAATATATCCTCCTTTGGCATGTTCTTGTTCTACATCCTCAAACAACGATATGGTCCAGCTGGACTCGTATAAATGTTATCATGATGAAGAGCTATGACAGCTTTTCATGAAGAGACCAAAGTATCGAGAGACTCCTACTATCAACTGGGAAGTAAATGTTAAGATGCTGATGGTTATTGTGAAAGTCTACGCGTAACAATTGGCAAACTGACAACATGCTGCATTGGATTTGCTTTCAGAGTGGATTGAATCTATCAGGCCATTATAATCCAAAATGAAAACAAAACATTTTTCGACTCCGATGTCCAAACCACACTCAACGATCTTCATAGTAAGTTTGTAGTTTTCAATCTAGAACATCCTCTCCTGAAATATGTTTCTCCAGTCCGAATATATGACGTCTCCACTATATACAAGACCCATGCATCATACTAAAATGAAGGAACGCATTAGTTCTCTTTTATTTACGGGAACCTAATTTTGTAAAAACCGCGACTTATGCTAACATGAATTGATTGAGTTCCTGATTGACAATATCTTTTCTGATTTTGGTGGCAAAATTTCCCAGCACTGTTGGCATCCCCATGGAAAAATACAGTGCCCCTCGTCTGGTCGACATGTTTTTGTTTTCATACATGACTGAATTTATTGAAAAACAAATTTTTTGACAAATTCTTCTATTTGACTTTTAGATATGTCGACGATGTGGTATTTTTTAGTTACAAGAAATATATTGACAAAGTCAATCGTAGTACCACCTCGGACTTTATATCTTAGACACTGAAGGCATTCATCAGCCGCTCACCTTGATTTACCTACAACATGCCCAACACTGTCGGCTTACTATAATATGATAAGCCGTCTTATAAGTGATTTAGTTTGCCCTTTCTTGCTAGTAACATCCTTGTTTTACGCCTCCCACCAAAGGTGTTTACATGTTGCAGTTTATTAGATACTCACATGCTTTCTCGTAATATCACGATTTATGTGAAAGATTTTGAATGCTGACGGACAAACTTTCGTTTCATTGACAACCATTTCGCTATTCTTAGGTCTACAGTTATATGGTACGATAACGTTGATAGTCTTCATGACATTCTTTTTACTTATCAAAATATGGAGCAATGTCTTTGGTAGCCAATTTGACGTATTGATATTGACATGTTAATATTCTTGGATCTGTAATAGGAACTATAATGTTGATAGGACTTTATGGGTCCTACAACCTGGTATTATGTCCTTATAATTAGTAGGAGTTTTTAAACGTGGTGATATTCTTGGTTAAACGAAACCCTTACACAATGACAATTGTAGTATATTCTGGGCTCCAAAACAATGGCATTAAAATCTGTTTAATATATATTGTTGATATTAGCCACCCACCCTTCATAAAAGACACCATAAAATGACAATAATGACAGCCATCTTGAATTGGTGATATATGTGTAAAATACCCAAAGTGGGATTTTCTCGAATCTTTTATACATGTAGTTTGATACAATATTATGGGTAGTCATCTGTAAGTCTGTTCTACTTATTTATAGGGGGATAGCAATACTTGTTATTCATTACACAGATCTATACCCCTCTCTGGCAATAAATCAGCTGTCACATTAATGCCTATTGGGACTTAAACAGCTCAGAAAAAGGATTTTTTTTGAAGTAACAAAAATAATCTATTTTTATGAGAAAAATAATAATTTCACTGCATAAAATATTAACTAAGCTATCATCAATAACAATACCACCCTTTATTTGTTCATCTATGTGCACATTGCGACAATTATCTGCTTGCTTAAAGGAATATATAAGTGATTGTAAGCCTTTGTTTTTGTTTCACAATTATAACTAATACTATTATCCATATGTTGTATAGCGCTTTAGAGTAATTTCACAAATTACATAGGGCGCTATATAAATGTTATATATTATTATTATTAACAAATGCAGAGATTTCATTTTCAAGCAACAAATGTTCTTCTTGGAGTAGTTGTATATGAATACTAAAGAAACTCTTGAAGTAAAACAGAGTGCTTTTGGAAGATATTTTTTATTCTACGGATTTCTGTTTTACATGTTATAGCTACGTGTCACTGGACTCGTCTGTGTTATCTGAATCACTGTAGCTACACACAAGTCCAAGTCCTACGGTACTGGTACAAACCGGCCGAGTCGAGCTGCTACTCTCATTGTCCATAACAACGTCCACGCGAGACTGGTCAACTCTCGTCAAACGGTCACTTTGGCTGGAGTCGACACCATTGTTATTATCACAGTTGCTCTGTCCACTCTGGTCAACATCACAAGTGGTTTTATCAGTTATGTCTGTCAGTTCTCCATCCCGCTGTGTTTCAACTGAGTCTGACATCTCCGATTTTCCTGGAGAGTTAACTCTGTCCCGGTCACTTGTTGACAATCTTTTACGTACCCCCAACGACTGTTTTAAATTCTGCTTCTCTGTTTTTGACAGAAGGACAGGAGAATTGAAAACATTGGCTTTACTTGTGCCAATTTTGCCAGCAAACTTTTGTTTTATTAATTCAATTTTTATGTCTTTCGAGGATGTTGGTTTGGATTCATTTGTCACAGGCAACCTTTTGAATAGTGGTTTCTTTTCTATTTCTTTTCTTTTCTGTAGCTGTTTTTCGTCAAAAGCTGAAATTCAAAAAGAATTGTTTAGTCAAAAATTACTTGATAGAAAGAAACCATTCATCTTTCCATTTCTATTTCATCTTATGATTTTGAGGAAAAATAATTTTCTTATTTATTATATTTTGTGTACACACAGTTATAGATATGGGTCAAAGAAGTAATATAGACGGTAAAATCCCATATAACACTGGATCCTAATGGAGGTATGTCCGTAGGATACGAATTACTTAAAATACTATATGGGGCAAAGAAGTAATTCCAACAGTGTGGATATTTTAGGTTGTCAAATTTTGGAGCGATCCGCTTAATTGTTGTGTATCATCCTTGTTATTGTTTTGTATTGTCTTTGCTGTCAATTCTTGTATCTTCTTATATAATAGCTATATTTTCAATTATAGTATATCAATTCTATCTTCTTGTAATATGATGTATATGTACATGTAATTTTTCTGTTTCACTGTGTCTTGAAAAAGGAGCGGATCGCTCCGAAAATTTGACAACCTAAACTTGTCCACCCTGTTGGAATTACTTCTTTGCCCCATACAGTTATAGATATATAGATGTTATAGAGTCTTACGATTTTGAGGAAAAATAATTTTCTTATTTATCATATTTAGTGTACATACAGTCAAAGATATATAGATGTTATAGTGTGATGCTCAGCAACTTACATTCTGTGGCAGTGTACTTGAGCAGTCCAGCCAGTCGTACATCCTCTTCATCCTCCTCCACCAGTGGAATATCTAGAGAAGACTTTTCCAGGAGTCGGTCATCTATAGCCTTGGCTTCCTTCAATTGCTTTTTCTCCGTCTATTAGGAGGCGAAATGAGCAAAATCAATAGAGTGTTTTGGAGTATTTTCAGTTTTGTCTTTATGAAGACAATCATGAAGAAAACTTGAAATTCAGTACCTGTCACTGACAACCTAGGCTTAATTTCTTCTGAATCTGACAAATTCATGTAGTCTTGGATGATATATGCATTAAGGGAGATAACTCTATATAATTCAAAGTACATGTGTTGTGCATAGCCTTAGGCCAAAAACATAATGTATGCTTCAGGTAACATGACTTAAACAAGAGGCCCAATGGGCCTGCATCGCTCACCTGTTATTAATCTAACACTTGTAATCTTAAGATTTCATAAGAACCTATTAAAAGATTTAAACATGTGACGCCTCTGACCTTGATTGTTGAACAAGGACATCTGGTTGAAAGTGGATCAAGGTCATTCATTTGTACTAACATGGTAGTCCTTCATCCCAGCATGCTACAGGCCCAATATCAGTACCCTGGGCCTTTTGGTTATTGAGAAGAAGTCGCTTGAAGATTTTACAACATTTGACCCCTGTGACCTTGAAAGTGGGTCTAGGTCATTCATTTGAACAAACTTGGTAGTCCTTCATCCCAGCATGCTACAGGCCTAATTTCAGTACCCTGGCCCTTTTGGTTATTGTGAAGAAGTTGTTTGAAGATTTTACGACATTTGACCCCTGTGACCTTGAAAGTGGGTCTAGGTCATTCATTTGAACAAACTTGGTAGTCCTTCATCCCAGCATGCTACAGGCCTAATTTCAGTACCCTGGCCCTTTTGGTTATTGTGAAGAAGTTGTTTGAAGATTTTACGACATTTGACCCCTGTGACCTTGAAAGTGGGTCTAGGACATTCATTTGAACAAACTTGGTAGCCCTTCATCCCAGCATGCTACAGGCCCAATATCAGTACACTGGGCCTTTTGGTTATTGAGAAGAAGTTGTTTGAAGATTTAACACATCTGCTCCAAGTGACCTTGAAAGTGGGTCAAGGTCATTTATTTGAACAAACTTGGTAGCCCTTCATCCCGGCATGCTACAGGCCCAATATCAGTACCCTGGGCCTTTTGGTTATTGAGAAGAAGTTGTTTGAAGATTTTAACATATTTGACCCCTGTGACCTAGTTTCTATTAATGCCTATGAAGTAGACAGGGTGTATATATAGTTGCCTTGTTTGTTTGTCCATCAATTTGTTTGCATCCAGTGGACAAGATATCCCAACACTGGCCATGCGGTTGAGTGAGATAAAATTGTACGAGTCGGAGTTAAAATCTAGGGTCGGTCGGGGTACCAGAAACATATATATTTTCCCCCCTGCCTTACCACTGTATATCCCGGAGCTGAAGGAAAAGTGTGACATGCATACCCTGAATTTTTCCCTTGCCAGTTTGTTGATCATGTAGTCGTCTTTCCAATGCTCCCTCTGGCCCTCTATCTGGCCCAGGTTCATCACCCGAGATTTACCAGCATCCTTGTCATCTGACCCATGCTCCAGTTTATACATGGCGTCAGTTGCCATCTTCTTCTGGGTGGCCTTGTCTGTACAAATTAAACATCAATAGTCAGCATACGTTCAATTATACTGTTGAAATGTTGGCGGTCTTGAAATTAAGCTTTCTGTTTATTACATCATCTGAGAGGCTCTATCAATGGCCACAAGTGTTTAGATATATAAGGAATGAGATTCCACATATTAGGAGAAATCAAATTCCATTTAAGAAAAGTGATGGCGCTAGTGTCGAAAATGCAATTCTACATTAAGCTTACACTGTAGTTTACTTGATCCCCTAGACACCTGTATTACCTAACGCATGTGTCAAAAACGAAAAGTGAAATAAACCAGATTATCTATCAATTACAAAAGTAGCCAAGTAAATTAATTTAAATATAATTGCACCAGTGTAGAATGATTTCAGAAATAAAGTTTAATTTAAACATTATGATGACATAATTTTTTTCTATAAAATATTGAGGACTTTGTAAGAGTAACTAACAGTGTTATCATACCAACCTTCTGGTACAATTTGTTCATTGTCCTTAGGGTCCCACCTTTGTTCCTTCCGGCGGGCTCCATTCATGATCACATAGTCATGGTTCTTGGAAAAAGGAATACAAATCCTTTAGTCCTCTATAGCAAATATTAATGTATCGTTATTTCTTTAGTTCCATATATAATTATCATGTGCCAATCATTGGATATAATTCATCATTGAAACCTTTATAAACATCATTTCATGTTGAAATAAAAATAATGTCCAGTAAGTAAAAGCCTGTGAAGATTTTTGACATTTTTTTTTTAAATGAAGAGAAAATATTCAACTTAACCATATATAATTTTAAATGCATTAAAAACAGGATGTAATGGTTATATGGTAGCTTTATATAGCTTTTAAAGAATGATGATGAAATTCATGTTCCCAGTGATATGGACTTTGAATAGAACTTTTGTACATTGAATTAAGTCGAAAAAGAGTACAGATTTTGCATACTTTTCACTATAGAGTTGTGTTGTTTAACGTGTAATCATTATTATGTACCACATTCTAGTTGACTCCTTAATGAACCTTTTGGTTACCTTTGGGTCTGTCTGTATCTCAAAGTAGTTATCACACAAGTGACACTTCATGCGAAACTTGTAGATGGGTGTTGTGTAGTAGTTCCCCACTTTGGACTTCTCAGCGTTGTACCTCACTCCCATGGCTACAGGCTTACTACAACCGCCACACCAGATGTTGTACGGCAGCTCAAACCTGTAGAACAAAAATGTCTATGACTACTCGGCTGTTACAGCGGGTCATTTAAAGCGTGATGCAAAACAATGTTATTATATAAATGTGAGATTTATTTTGGTACATTGTATATGATCAAAAGTTGTATCCTATTTTTCTTAATTACATCATCTCATGAATAAGGCAATAAATAGATACCCTAGTACTCAAACACCTAATACAGTAACGTGAATGGCAAAGGGATAAAAACACATTCAATTTTCAGATTTGCGGACATATATATATATACTTACCCAGTATGGGCGGACATACTGTGTTAGTATCATATTAGAAAAACACCATTTAATATTTCAATGAATAATCTTATGCTTTTACTTAAGACTTTTATCATGTTTGGCGTAAATAAAACCCAAATATTCCTGTTTGAATTTGCAAATTGGTCATATGAAATCATGTTGCTCATGGACACATTAAGAAAAAGTCAAAACAAGCGGGGTGTCAGAAGTTGTTTAAGACTGTTTACATGGCAGAATATGAAATACTACCCCTTCATGGTGCATTTAGGTTTCAATCTACTGTACCGGGAAACTTTAGCCCAGTCAAATATTCACTGGTAAAATCTCTATTCACCCTATGTAAATTTCGCCCTTCAAGTGTAATTACTATATAGGGTATAATGTGTACTAATATTCGCCCTTATTGCAGAGGTAAAAAAAAAAGAGCGAAAATTAAACTGAACATTTCTCCGTTTACAGTAGCTGTCTCAGCGATGTTCCAGAATGCCTTTTTGAAGTAGGAAGTGTCAGGTTATTTTCAGACTTTCTTTACTCATATTACATGTTTTATGTGCATACTTACCTAATGACAAGAATTCCCTGCTTGAGTTTTTTGGCCCTCTCTCTCAGTGGGTGCTGACCGAAGTGTTTGTTGACTGACCCTTTACTTGGCTCCCAGTCCGGTGGGTAATATTTGTTCACTGATTTTCTTTCTGCCTATAAAGAGATTACAGGATCACGTACATGATTTAAAAAGTTATAAGATTTTTTTCACTGAAATACATTAGCATTTGTCATATATAAATTCTGGAAAAAATTGCTGGTTTTGAGTTCATATAATAAATAGCAGCTTTTAATGAGAACGTTGTATCAAGTTGCCATATATGCCGTGAATCTGCAGGTGATGATCTTGACAACAATAACTGATCATGATTGAAAAGAAAAACAGAAAAAAATCACCTGGTTTCAGCTTAAAAATCTGTTTTGTAAAATAGCTGTTTTAATACATTATTTCTCAATAACCATTTTTTTTATGTGTTTGTGGCCTTGAAGGGTTGAATGGTCCTTTTACAATGCATTGACTAGCACATATACACTCTTATAGGGCGATTCCTTCCGTTTGCACTCATCAAACACTAGTTGGCACTATCAACTGGAGGATGGTGGCAACAATGTTTCACACTAAGGGACATAATTCCCCCTCGAGCTCCCACCCAAAAAGTAACTGGACCAAAACATTCATTGAAGGTGCACAACTTATATATAATTAAGAGTGTGTTGACCTCATGCCTCATTGAAGCTTCATGAAATTCATCTGAAAATTGTAGGAGGAGTTATACGGACAAGACAGACGGACAGACAACCCGATTCCAGAACCCCCACCTTCATTGCGGGGAGTTTAATGAAATTTCTATTTGATAACTTTAATGTATTAGAAACAGCCTGGCAAGTTGGTTTTTCCCTTCCCTGATAAATACATTAGTCATGCGATCAGCTAGGTCACATGAGTTTGGGTTTGATCATCTGCATCTACAAAATATTGACCACCTTCGTTAAGTTGAAGATTATGTCAAAGTGAGGGTGAGAGGGTCAATTAAACGCTAATATAAGAAGAGAAGAAAAGAAAGAGAGGGAGAGATGGAAAGATAGAGAAGAAATGGCTTAGTGATGCAATGTCAGGTGGCACGGATAATTCCAGTCAATTATTTTTCTTGGAAAGCTGTAAGGAGTATTTACGTGCCTAATCGTAAATAACGTGTATTGTAAGGCGGGTTGGAAGGACAAGGAGATCTTTTCTGATGTTGATGTGATTGTATGTTACTTTGTATAGTGTGGTTATAATTAGCCACCTGTTTGTTGTTTGTAATGGAGAGGATGTTACATTTGTCTGGGTGGAATGACATTTCCCAAGACTTCTCCCATGTTTACTTATTCAGGTCTTCTTGTAGTCGAAGAGCATCAAGAAGGGCATGTAATAGTTATAGATACGCAATGCCAATGGCGCCATCTGCGAAAAGGCATACAGTGGAATTTAGACCGACTGCAGGGATGACATTGCAAAATAGGAATAGATCAATAGATAAAAGGCTCATGCTATTCGAATATTATCATGTATTCTTGCATACTAGACTGAGATATCCGAATTTCCGGCGGTGCTGGAAATTTTATCCGGCCCACGGGTCTGGATCGCTTAGACGCGCAGACAGGCGGAGGAATTACAGTGACCTTTCAGGGTCACGCTATGTCGTGACGTCATTTTGTAACGTTTTGGGGTCAGTCAGGGTCATTGATGTCATTAACAAATGCCTCCTGGCTTCATACGCAAATTAGAATGCACATACAGTTTACAACTTTACTAGAAGAGCAGCAGGTTTTAGGTAACAAGCAAGAAATAGAATCCATCCCTGAATCGAGGTATAGATAAGGTAATTTAAACCCAAGGGATAAAATATAGAGCAGCTGACCCTCGGCAAAGCCTCGGGTCTCCTGCTCAATATTTTATCCCTTGGGTTTAAATTACCTTATCCATAACTCACATCAGGCATGGATTCTATTATGACAACATTTAGTCCGCTAAATCTGACAATTATTGCTGTCAGAATTAAAGAGACTGTGATTATGGTCAGTTTTAGTGGGCTAATTATATAATCAAAGGCAACAATCTACACAGGGTCATACGCTTGTCACTGCCCCACTAGCCAGAGTTTCCCCTGGCCCTAAACACCAGACTTCGACATTTATATGTCAAAATGTCTAAGTCTGGTGTTAGAGCCAGTGGAAACTCGGTCTGATACAGCCCCACCTCCATTCAAACCAATTTTTACAGCTTTTAAACTTTTCTTTGGTTTAGTTTGCCATTTTTACAAATGTCTTAATAATAGCATGTGTACCTGAGGTAAGTTGTTGTCATACGATACAATATCATAAACTTTTTTACTTATTGAAATTATAAGTTCAAGTTATTGTTATCTGCTGAGCGAAACAAACTCCTGTGCATGGTCAGGTTTGTCTAAAAAGCCAATATATGAGGTAATAACATTGGTGCTCCAGTTTCCGATAGGTGTATCAAAACGTTGATCATTCTAACCAGAGATTTATAATAAATACCTCTGCTCTGACCGGCCCGATCTGACCATATTCTCTCAGCCACAGCAGCTCGGTTTCGGGATACTTTCGGTTAATAATAAACCTATACACAGCCGTTAATAACAGCAACACTTTTTATCCGGTGGTATCCCGAAACCGAGCCACGCTATAACATCCATTCTGCTAAACAAAATGACTGTAAAAACGACAACGTACCATTTTGTTTGTCTAACCTGGACCTACTGGCTACTCGTTGGCAAATTGATGCTAGGTAAATATGGACGAAGTGATATCTTCATAAATTCCATTGAACGGTGCAACCCTACGTTCAACGACGTTGTGTGATCACGTTGTTTGGGTTATTCAGGTTGTACACTTTTGTACGGAGCTAGCTTTTATTTTGACTGCTTTAAATGAACTCTAAATGTTGCTATGGACATGTTTCTTTTTCCAGTTTGGTACGAATTCAATCACATTTTTATTTCATTTTTAATAAATAATCATATGTGGACAAAATCTTTATATAAACTCAAGGTCACTGTAATTTTCGCATTTTCGAAGTTGACCTTGAAAGGTTACGACGTGCCCGGTTCCTTCAATTTTCAGATCTGTCGACTGTCAACAAACTGAACGTCTCTAATGACAGGACCTCTCTGAGAAGAAATTGGCAGTCGTGGAGGTAACTACAAGCAGAGGAACAATTGTATCTTTTGATAAACGTTTCTAAAGATGACCAGGCCACATATTTTCCTTTTCAAGTCATGTGCAAAACTGATGCATCGTTGCAGTGCATGCACTGCATATCGCCATTGGTGCATTTACTGCAATGCAAATCCAAAATTCTCAAAATGCGAATTTTCGACTCTACCAAAAACACTTTTTGGACTAAAAAATAAATGCATACGATACCAGTCAACACTGATTTAATATTTATAGCAGAGACTTTTTAACAGGAAGTAATATTTATAACAGGAAAAGGAAAATGCACAGCCAGAGCTACAGTACAGTACTGATCTCAACCAATGTACCTACTAAAGAGGCAGTACCCAAATCGGATCACTTTTTGCAAAAAATACAAATAAATAAATAAATGTGTCAACAAATCAGTTAAAACAATTATGTAGTCTTAGAATAGATAGCCATTGTCCATTTTTGTGTAGCCTGCAAAAATCTGGTGACACATATAGGTATTGCTTTGTCAGCAGTGTCGATGTCATCGTCCGCACAGAGGTTTTCGTGCGATAACTTGAGTTTCCTTGGGCTGATCAAACTCAAACTTCATGCAGTGCTTCCTTACCAAAAGTGCTTGCTTGGCATTGCTTTTCAGTTCCGAAGGTCAAAGGTCAAGGTCACTGTTATTATAAGTAGAGTTTCCTTCAGCCAATCAAACTCAAACTTCATGCAGTCCTTCCTTACCAAAAGTGCTTGCTTGGGATTGCTTTTCAGGTTCGAAAGTCAAAGGTCAAGATAAATAGAAAATCTGTTTTCGTGCGATAACTTGAGTTTCCTTGGGCCGATCAACACAAACTTCATGCAGTGCTTCCTTACCAAAAGTGCTTGCTTGTGATTGCTTTTCAGGTCCAAAGGTCAAGGTCACTGTTACTATAAATAGAAAATCTGTTTTCGTGCGATAACGTGAGTTTCCTTGGGCCGATCAAACTCAAACTTCATGCAGTGCTAAGGCAAACTTGCATTTTCAAGATTTTTTTTATGGAAACCAATGAGGCGATGCTGGTCTTGCCTGTGGACACCATATTGTATCGATTTCTTCATAATCTCCCAGCTTCCTGTGCAGGTGACACATCCACTTCCATGGAATTCTTGTTTGTCTACAGATGATTAGTTTGTGTCAGTGTTCAATTGTACATAGGATTAAGGTCGCCTTCGAGCTTCGGGCTAGAGGGAATTTCCCTTTAGCTCTGTGGTAGAGTGTCCAACTAGGAACCTGGAGATCAAGGGTTTGATCCCCGGTGGAAGCACACTATTCTCTTTCCTGTTACAAATGGTGTCCAAGGCCCTCCCTGTGGTGACAGGGAGTTAGAACATGGGTTTTGGTGTTCGAGGATGGACACATTTAAAAAGTGGGGAGTAGTGTGGCAGTGTTCAATTGTACATAGGATTAAGGTCGCCTTCTAGCTTCAAGCTAGAGGAACTTTCCCTAAATAGCTCGGTGGTAGAGCGTCCGACAAGGAACTTGGAGATTGAGGGTTCGATCCCCGGTGGAAGCACACTATTCTCTTTCCTGTTACATGTTTTTTAAGTTTAATAGCATAAGAACATGTAATTCAAACTCGAATGTCAGTGTTTTGATTACGTTTTTAAAAAATTGCGCATGCGACAACTATGCATTCTGTTTTGGACTATAGGAATAAATTCACACTATATAGAAATACTTTTTGTCATATGAATTTTAAAGGTCATCATAAAATGTTAATATGCTGACAAAAAATATTCATTTGAAGCGTAAGATACTGCAAAATGTAGCCTTGATCCGATTTGGGTCCTGACTTTCGCAAAAACTGGAGACGCTGATTAGTGTCTTCAGAGCATTCTATAAATATCTCAAGGGTGCTAATTTCCTTTGTAAGAACACTCATCGATATTCTTCCTTTGATACAACCATAAGTGAATATAATTCCTCCTCAGATCTTTCATTGATTTAATAAAATGATGGTTTGGTGATCCGATTTGGGTACTGTCACTTTAACTATAATTATAAAGGCCGGGATTCAAACTAGTAATTAACTCTTAGTTCTGTACAGTAGATGGTCCGTTAATTACCAATTGAGGTACATTTGTACCTGGTCGGCGCCGACAAAAAGAAATGTGACGTATTCTTGATCCCCACCCCCCCCCACCCCTAAATGGTGGCTTATGGCTTATTGTTGTGGGTTTCTGATTTATAATTGATACAACACAAATTCGACCACCTGGACAGAAACAAGATTTTAACCAGACTAAATCATGGCTTTAGGGCCAGTTTCTCTTTTGAAACGAAGCTCATCACAACAATGCATGACCTAAAGAATCATGATGAAGGCACACCAACAGATGTTATAGTCTTAGACTTCTCGAAAGCCTTCGGCACCATGCCCACAGAAAAATGCTTTGGAAACAGTGACATGAGAGTAGCTGTTGACAGTAAACACTCTCGGAAATCATCGGTATCATCCGAAGTTCCACAGGGGACAGTCATTGGCCCCCTGCTATTTCTCTACCATATATCAAAGATCTCCCTTATTCAGTCTCCTCACAAGTGCGTCTGTTTGCAGACGACTGCCTTTTTAAAGGAAGATAAAATCACTAACAAGAAGATCTAGATCTAGACCTTATTAAATTCGAAGAATGGGCTAAAGCATGGGGGATGTCATTCAATGCTAAGAAGTGTACCGTTCTGCGTAAAGACAGCAAAAAAACTCATTTTTTTCAAATTAAGAGAACACATCCTACAACAGACGTCTGTAAGTTCTTATCTTGGCATCACAAAATCTGATCATCTAAAATGGAACTCAAACAACAACCAAACCGTCAAGAAAGCGAACTGCTCGCTCAGTTTTATTATCAGAAACCTCAAACGTTGCCCAGCCGAATGTTGTAGAACAGCCTACCTCTGCCTTGATAGGTTCATTCTTGAGTATGGGTCAGCCGTCTGGGACCCCTACATACATACAACAAGAGATAAACGGTGTTTCAAAGTCCAGAATTGTAAAATGGAACAATTTAAAAACTCTTTCTTCAACAAGACCACTTTTGACTGGAACCATCTGACCGACATCTCCACGCATAGTACCACGGTACTAGATCACCTAGCAGTACTCCTCCCCCGACGCAATACATGTCCTGAGGGACTCTGCGCCGTATATCCACATGTACACAGATATAGATACATACTCATTTTGCTGTCAAAAATGTTTGGTTAGTGAGCAAGGGGAGGGAACTCCAAACTATTGTAAAAGATGTGCATTGATTAGGTTGCCTTACAGGCGTCAGCTGTAGGGAATTTCCCTTTAGCTTAGCGGTAGAGCAACAGGCTGGAGAGCCAAGGGTTGCAGGTTCGAGCCCCAGCGACGGCTCCATTTGTATCACTATTCCTTGTCTTTCTACAAACTGGTGCAGTTGACAATTCCTTTTCAAGGTAGGGAGAACCTTCGGCGGGATTCAAAGAATCTGGGTTGGTGATTGAAAAAAGGGGGGATTAATGTAAAAGATGTGCATTGATAAGGTTGCCTTACAAGTGTCAGCTGAAGGGAATTTTCCTGTAGCTCAGTGGTAGAGCATCTGGCTGAAGTGCCAAGAGTTCCGGGTTTGAGCCCCAGCGACGGATTTTCTTTACACTATTCCTCGTCCTACTACACAAGGTCATCATTTGGTTTGATATGGACAAAAGGATTTCCAGCTCTGAATTGGTAGCTGCTTGATGATAGAAAAATGTCTCGACATTTTAAGTCTTATCTGAAAAATAAAACAAAACACAAAAAAAATCCAAAGGGATTACAAAATTTACTGATGCTTTCAAGCTGAAGACTCCTGCCAAGCCCAGTTTAACGGTGACTAACATAGAGACAAGGCTACTCCACCAGTTTGAATAGATTCATCTTTTCCTGTTGCTATCTCCACCTACATGTAGCACTAAACAGCTTGACATGATCATGAGCATCCCTTCATCCACTGCAGTAGTGGAAGGGTCTTTCAGTTTCAGGCCAATGATAAACATTTTTACTATGAAATGGAAAACGCTGTCACAGGGCCAGGTAGAAACTGGGGACAGGGGAGGAGGAATCGGGCTTTACCCGAGAGCTATACTACCTATAGCACAGGAACAGGTACTTGTGAAACGGTAGTAAAAGAAAACACTGCATTGAAGTCAGTGGTGAAATTCATTGTCTGGGCCACAATTTCTACAGATTTTGAAGATAACCCATTGATGTATAGCTTTAAGGGACCTATGATTATGTAAAATGGCCAAAGAAGTGTGTCCTGAACTTCTATATTTGTTTCGTATGCCCATGTTGAAAATCACATTGACGTTAAAGGTCAAGTTCATTTTCTGGCTCATAACTTAATTCTGAACGGCTGAATACAACTCCATGAAATTTTCGGGATATATAGTGTGTTGCATATCACTATTGGGTCTGTACACCCAATAGGTCAAGGTCACTTTGAGGTCAAAGGTCAAATTCATCATCTTGGCTGTAACTTTTGAAGTGCTAAATAAACAACTCATTGACATTTTAGGAATATATGTAGGATTTCAAGGCGGTGTATTATGAACAAATATTTTGTCTGTATGCCCAAGATCAAGGTCACATATAGGTCAGTGGTCAAATTCATCATCTTGGCCATAACTTCTGATGTGCAGAATATAACTTGATGAAATTTTGGGATTGCAAGGAAGTTTGTAGCGTACCACTATTGTATCTGTACGCCTAAGGTCAAGGTCACATTGTGGTCAAATATCAAATTTATTGTCTGGGCCATAACTCATGAAGAATTGAAAATAGCTCAATGTAATTTTATTAATAGATTTAGGATGGCAAAGGTGACCCGGATGTGGTGCAAACTACAATAAGGTCTGTGTGCCAAAGGTCAAGATTTGGCTAGTAACTTGCTGGTCGAATGCCTATAAAGCTTGTTAAAATGTATGAATGAAACTTACTTTCAATGTCACAGAGGTCAAACGTGTTTGAAATATTTGAGAGACATTTTCTAATGATCAGTACAGTCCAGCGTTTATAATTTAAATACAAAAATGGGCAGTAAACCTCATCTGCTGGTATACATGCTGAAGACACAGGTTTAATCATTAATATGTTGGTGTGTTTTAGTTGTGCATTTGTAATTAGGTAAGATAACAAAGAGTGCCACAACTAATTATTTACATGATTTTGAATGCTGTTTACATATAAACTTATGAAATTGAACTCATGAAATTGTGAAATTGAACTCATGTAATTGTTTTGGAAATATAATATACACTTGAATATTAAACATTAGTCTGGTATACACCTACATATATGTGATAGCTATCATGCTGTGAGTGAGTGGAAAAACATTAATATAAAATGTGAACGCCATTAAACTCATTATAGAAGGACGCATTTAAGTGTTTCCTGGTACACCCTTGTACCAGCCAATGACATTTAAAGGTTTCACCTCAAAGGATATGTGTTTAAAGTGCTGATACAAGTTTACTCTACACGTGTATCAACATATTTTATGAGTTGAGTAAATTAAGTATTTTAGGTACATTGATGTATATTTATCTATATATGTTACAATAATTGTACTGATGCTGGTGCAAATCACTTTCCTACCAACAGGGCTTGGATGTGTATTTCATACTGCACTGTAGTTACCAATCTATTCAGATTGATCTGTGCAGATATCAAGCTACATATGCTGTGAATGAAAAAAGAATTGTATGCATTTTGTGCATAAAGCGGTATGTCAATGTTGCATTTGTACAAAAAGGGATATATATATATAGGACTTATTTACTGCTGAACAGATTATAATAGTTTATACTATATTTTTTACTGTAGTGGGAGTCAGTCCCTTATGTGCTGGACTTCGTCGGTGTGAGTTGGTGCCACAGATACAGACATGCCTATCCAGCAGGTTCGAGTGCTGACACTACATGGGGGAGAGGACTTGTCCCATACTCTCTTTAGGCTGGAGAAAGGTAAGTCCTGTTTATAAGAGTATTACTTTACAGTGACAACACTTCTAAACAATCAATTACTGTAATTTGGAATAATCCTTCATGAACCAGTCTTGTTACCCTGTATTCACATGAACTAGAAAGACTTAACTTGAAATTGAATACAAAAGTGTATTGTACATGTTTTAGGATGGGTGCTGAGGTTTGTGATGGGCCCGTCCCTCCACGCAAGCCCTGTACGTGTGTTTTGCAACCATCCCCCATCAAAAGACGTGGCTTATGACAGGGAGGAGTACTATGAGTTAAAATGGCGGTCACCATCCGGCTCACGGATAGACAGACATGATGTGTACGCTGAGATCAATATCCACATAGCAGGCTCCTTCAATTACTACTTCACTGTAGATGAAAGGTATTGTAATTTTGAAATACCGTTTTATATTCATGACTATCATAATCGTAATATTTTCACATAAGTTCACTGGCAGGTGGAGCTGATAGTTCCTTCATTACTTTAATTTTAGCTCATTAACCCCTGAAGACACATTTGAACTCTTCCAATTCAAATGATGGAATAGTTCATTATGAAATTTCAGGGGTGAATGAGTTAAACTGCTGCATGAAAGTGCATTAAGTTAAAGATATTTTCCTTTTCCAATGAAGTATTAATTAAAATGGTCAATAATTTACTTCACTGAGTAAAATTACTTTCTATCTTGTTCCCACGTTTTACTTGCTACAGTGAAACCTGTCTTATCTGACCCCTTAGCACTCTGATATTCAACATAATGCTATAATCATATTTGTAGTGAAAACTCCCTAATACGACTTGTGTATCATGGTATCCTTTTTCTACTTTCTCTGAGGTCAAAGGTCAATTGTCAATATTTTTGTTAATTCCTCGTTTTTATATAGATACTGAAATGAAAATCAATGCACATTGACTTTTAACCCTTTCACCACTGTAGACCACAATGGACTCATTCAAATAAAGCTATGGTAGAGTCTACTAAAGTTACCTAGGGGTGAAAGGGTTAATACCACTTGACTTGTTCATCTAATAATATAAGGTTAATCTACAAAAGTGCTATAGGTACAGTGTTATTATATGCTAATGCAGTCATTAATTGTCCTTTTAGATACAATAATTTGTAAAACTTATTTGCGATTTGCAGTTCTTCCCATGAAAATCCCAGTGGGAAAGGGTACTTCCTGGTGGATCCTACTCTTACATTTGATGATGAAGACGATATTGATAATGATATTACACTCGACTGTATACAGTGCCTGACTGTCATATCAAAAAGTCTTGGGCCTTTCAATGAATGGGAAGGCAGACTCCGGGTTGCCAAGGAAACCAGTTACAACATGGTACACTTCACTCCCGTACAGGAACTTGGCCAGTCCAACTCGGCATACTCCATCCGCAACCACCATGTGTTCAGTCCCGTGTACAGCCCTAGTGATGTCAAGTACACCTACACTGACCTGGAAAAACTTGTCAAAAAAATGTGGAGTGAATGGAAGATGTTTTCTTTGACCGACCTTGTACTGAATCACGCAGCCAACGACTCTAAGTGGCTGCAGGAACACCCTGAGTGTGCGTACAACCTGGTGAACTCCCCTCACCTGAAGCCAGCTTACCTGGTCGACAGAATCCTGCATCACTTTAGCAGTGAGGTTGCTGAGAACAAGTGGGAGGACAAGGGTGTGCCAGCCAAGCTCTGTGAGAACTACCACCTGGAGGTATGCTCACAGATATATATAATTTTTCTACTTTTAAACAGAAATTTAGCTCAGTTTACACCAGTAACAATTTAGTTGAATAAGGATTTAAAGTTAACAATCTTGTACTAATGGTGCATTTTGCCTACATGTAATTAGTGTCTACCATGGTGCCTTAAAAATTTCAATTGAAGAAGTGAGGGAGGAGAGGGGAGGGGTGGGAGGGCATAATGAGAATGATAAATAAGTGAGTATGGTTTTAACAGCTTATAATTATGACATGACTGATATTTGTCATTGAAACGAGATTTGACTTTTTTTTTTTGCTTCATAATGTCTACGATATTCACAGCAGCAGAAAGGGTGACTGGGCCCATATTGGAATATGGACACAGATGAGGCCGAATACAATATGGCTGCATATTTATAACTAGGCATCGCCAGTTATTTCTCTGGGAAATAGATTGTTTTGTTCTTTGTCTCCATAACTGTTAGGTTTTCTTTTTAACTGATCACAGATACAATGCAGTTCCCACTATAATGGAAGATTACTGATCTGCAAATGATCGTCAGGAAAATTAGACTGAAGACAGTAGTATAGTGTAACTGATCATCTTACAAATGGTATGAATTCTTTTGATTTGCCTTTTTTCAAAAATTAAAAGTCTATTCTAACAAGGTCCCTTGTATGTTTTTGTACTCATTACAGGCCACGAAACACCTGCTGATGACTGAGATTATCCCTCCCCAAAAGTTACACGAGTTCTATACTGTGGATGTGGAAGATTATCTCCAGAAATTTAGGAAAGCTATGGAAGGTGAGTTTGACACTGTTAGGAATTATGTGTACAACTAAAACACTTCCATGTTTATGTCAATCTTTAAGGAAAGCTGAGGAACAATACGGCAAAACATATTTAAAAATAGTTTCAGTTTAATTTTTCCTAGTTATGAAAGAATATATAAAATGTATTCATAAAAGTATGTTTGATCTCTGTGTAGAAGGAAAGGAGGTGATGACTTGTAAGCCCAAGCTAGAGATTATCCAGGATCCTGAATTCTGTCGACTTGGCTCTACTGTAGACATGAACACAGCCTTAAGGCTATACCACACCAGCAGGTCAGTGAAACCCTGTATCATAAACTACACATCAGCATAGTTAGTGTCATAAACTACATATCAGCATTATACACTGTTTCATGAACTACACATAAGCATAACGCACTGTATCATAAACTACACATCAGCATAATATACTGTTTCATGAACTACACATAAGCATAATATACTGTATCATGAACTACACATAAGCATAATTAGTGTGTCATAAACTACACATCAGCAAAGTTAGTGTGTCATAAACTACATATCAGCATAATATACTGTATCATAAACTACATATCAGCATAATTAGTGTCATAAACTACACATCAGCATAATTAGTGTCATAAACTACATATCAGCATAATTAGTGTCATAAACTACACATCAGCATAATTAGTGTGTCATAAACTACATATCAGNGTTTCATAAACTACATATCAGCATAACGCACTGTATCATAAACTACACATCGGCATAATACACTGTATCACAAACTACATATCAGCATAATATACTGTTTCATAAACTACACATCGGCATAATATACAGTTTCATAAACTACATATCAGCATAACGCACTGTATCATAAACTACACATCGGCATAATACACTGTATCACAAACTACATATCAGCATAAAGCACTGTATCATAAACTACATATCAGTATAACACACTGTATCATAAACTACATATCAGCATAATACACTGGATCCTAAACTACATATCAGCATAATACACTATCATAAACTACATATCAGCATAATACACTGGATCCTAAACTACATATCAGCATAATACACTGGATCCTAAACTACATATCAGCATAATACACTGGATCCTAAACTACATATCAGCATAATACACTGTATCATAAACTACATATCAGCATAATACACTGGATCCTAAACTACATATCAGCATAATACACTATCATAAACTACATATCAGCATAATACACTGTATCATAAACTACATATCAGCATAATACACTGTATCATAAACTACATCTCAGTATATTACACTGTATCATTAGTGTGACTCAGTGTATTATTAACTACAGGTCAATGTAGCCAATTGCATCATAAGCTCCATACATTTGTATCAGTAAATTCGGAGTGATACATGATGTTAAACGTACTGACGTCTGTGATATATGATGTTACAAGTGTAGGTGTTTGTGATATCAGATCATATCTGTGTAACTCAATGTATCATAAACTACAGGGGTACATGTCAGTGTAGTCACAGACATATTATGATAAACTACATGTCAGTGTATCCCTCTGTATATAAAACTAAAAATTAATGTAGCCTATTGTACAATATTCTCCATATCAGCCGAGTATATCAAATCTCATCGGTGTAGTCCAGAGTACATTGTACATATATATAAAAATCTACACATTAATGTAGCCTAGTGTATCATAAACTACATAATTATATAATCCCCACTTAGTGAGGGGCTATATAGTAATAGCTTTGTCAGTACTAGTGCATCTATCTGTGTGTGTTCGCATGTCTGTCTATGTAGTAAAAACCTTTATGTACAAGATATCTCACAAACTCCTCAACAAATTTTGTTTACCAGGTATATTTACACTATAGTATGGTAATATTGAGTTTTACACCTGATTTTTGGAGGTCATCAGTCAAGGTTAAGGGTCAAAGGTCATACGAAAAGATTACACTTTACCACTTTAGAAGTAAAAAGCTTGTATTCACAAATGAGCCAACTGATTAAAGATGATCTTGTACACCATTTCCTTATGAGTGGGGGAGGGGGGGCGGGGGGGAGGGCGAGGTGTAGGGTATATTTATGTGAGCCTCCATTCACTTTGTTTTAATTTTTTGTAAGAGTAGCCAAATGTATCATAAACTGACCACACAAAGCAGATAATATATCTACTTTTATTTTGTCCAATAACAAAGTAACGTATAGATAATAGCTATAAGAAAATACTGATACTGTACATTCTAATCTATGACATTTCGGAGGTGCTTATGTTAGAATTTAGAAAAGCCTATCAAAATACCTACCGTTTTCAGGCATGACGTCAGTGAAAATGAGAGAGTGGACGCTTGTTGTGCTGCACTTGAAAATAAATTGCATGAACTGAATGGTGAGAAGATGAGAGAAATGGAGGACCATATTAATGCCATTGTGAACAACTTCCTGGCCAATGCCAGGTGGAGATTTCTGGCTGGTGATGGCCCGAAGCTTGGAGCCGTTACGGAGAAGGAACCAATGATGCACAAGTAAGATACGACATTGGGTATAGTGTAATGGAGATTTTAGGAGTCACACAAACTTTAAACAGAGAACATATTTCTTACTATGAACAATTCTAGATAAAGTAATTCATATTGGTGTCTGTCTGTAGAGGCCCTGAGCGAAAGAACGAGTTGAGTCCTTGTAAAGTAATTCATATTGGTGTCTGTCTGTAGAGGCCCTGAGCGAAAGAACGAGTTGAGTCCTTGTAAAGTAGTTCATATTGGTGTCTGTCTGTAGAGGCCCTGAGCGAAAGAACGAATTGAGTCCTAGTAAAGTAATTCATATTGGTGTCTGAAGAGGCCCTGAGTAAAAGAACGAGTTGAGTCTTTGTAAAGTAATACTGTATAATTTGAAGTGTTCATTGTGTGTAAATGTTTGTTGTTTTTAAGGGTTATGGAACAACGCTAATAGATACATTAAAATTAGTCTGTATAATTTCAGCTACTGTTTGATTTACATGTGATCTCCATGAATTTTGTACCATGACATGATCTAAGTAGCTTCAAAAGATGAAAGAAAGAACTCATGATTTATAATGTTTTTTCCCCCTTAATTTTCAAGCAAAAACTGTCTGCTTTCTCTTGCCGAAATGCATATATGTGTATTATTTCTCCCAAAATGAAGGAAGAAAATCAGGAATATTTTCCCAATTTTTATGAAAAGGCAAAGTCTGCTTTAATATGCAGATGGAAAAAAAGGTTTTAAAATGTCATTTTATGAGTTCGAAATAGAAAATATTACATGTATTTACATTTGTTCATATTATGATGGTAAAATATGAAAAAACATTCATTTTCCTTACTATTGTTTTCAGTTACTTTATCCAGCCAGATTCCTACATAGCATCACTGGATAAAGAGAAGGCAAGGATAGATACTGATGCTGCCAAGCTCATAATGGCGTCCAATGGCTGGGTCATAGGTGATGACCCCCTGAGGAATTTTGCTGAGCCAGGTAGCCATTCCAAGCATTCCAACGTTACAATATTTTATCAAAGATTTGGCAAGTTTTACAGAACTGTTGAATCTGGAAGTAAAGATTCATTTCTAGTACATTGTACTTTAATTGTCTCTCCTTTCAGAGGACCATGTCGACGCCTATCACTGGTCTTATATCTAGGCCCCAGGACTTACACTGCCTAGTTAAATTTTCACCTTTCGACAGTAAAATCCATTTTTGCCCAATATTGAATTCTCCCTTCACATTTGATAATTCGCCCTCATTACGGAAAGAGAAAAAGGCGAAAATTAACTGCAGCGAAAATTTCCCGGTATACAGTATCACAGACAATGAAACATTTGAATGATGAATTCAAAAAACATCCTTATGAAATGAAATTAGGTGTTATCTGATGGTTTGATACCAATCAAAATATTCACAAGTACAATGAGAGGGTGTTACAAAATGAGTATAACAACCAACTTGTGACATCTTTTTCTTGAATTCTAGGAACCTATTGCTTCACTGAAATAAGATGCTTTAAACTGATATACTTTTTAAGTTTTTATTTTGTAAGTACATAACAATTTTGACATTTTGTAATACAGGTGACCATTGGGAAGTACAAAAAGGTTAGATATGAACGATATCTAGCTACTCAATATGTTATGTATTACACTGTCATCTTAAAGTTGTGTAGGATATTTATTTGATTATTTTTCCCCTGAATCTTACTGAATACAAATGTTATATTTCTACAAACGAACCTTTAAGTTTATATCCTTTTGTTTACTATATACCAGTATAGAATGTATTTCTTAAGATTTTTGTATTGTTATATACATGTATGTATGTATGTATTAAATGTAAAAGCATGCTACTTTAACACATTCACCCCTACAGTCACATTTGAACCTTACAGATCAAAGACTGGGCAAGTCCAGTTTAAGTATGTAGGGGTGAATGAGTTAAGCTATCTACTCTGCATTATTTCAATTACTAGTAAATAACAGCCAAAATTACAACAAAAGTTTCTGATATAGTTTTACAACTCAGCAAAGTCAATAGCCATGCATCTTAAGCAGTTTTCTTGCACAACATAACTTGCTGGATTTCCCAATTTTGGAGGAAGAGTCCCGATTTTTGTCTATAAATTTAGTATCTTCAACCAGTAAATTTGCTAAATTATTTCTTAGATTTGATGATTCCATCTGAAAGAACAACTAACACTAATGTCATGAGGTACATTGTACTATATTATCTCTCCTTTGGGCTTTCTGATCAATAATCAATAATGCCATTTTAAAATATTATTTTCCCAAGGGGGGGTATACCTACATTTAATTTATGCTTTTAATTTTGAACATGCAGAAATTACCAATAATATACTGATAATTTCAAAAGGTTGGCAACTTTTACACCCAGTTACTGAAATGCACCTATCAGAAAAACCAGGTCAATTGCATAATTTTAGGTGTTGATAGAAATTTTAATTAATTAATTTTCAGAATACATTTTTGGCTTGAATTGTATTTTAGATGTACATGTATTTCTAAATACACCAACAAGTATACTAATACACCAGCACTTACGTGAGTGGAGTGTATACGAAGCGAGCACTTGGCTAGCGAAGATGAGTTTGCCTATGATTAATTTTATTTTTCTTGGGAGGGGGAGTTCAGCTTGGTTGTTTTAAATATCATGAAGCATGTAAGGTATACACTACCTGAAAATCCAAGATAACAGAATCTAGTTAGTTTCATCTCCAGTTAACTCTAAACTATTAGTCCCTCATTTACACATGTACTTGTACTGCAGGCTCGAACATTTACCTGCGGCGGGAGTTGGTGGCCTGGGGTGACAGTGCCAAGCTGCGGTATGGGAAGAAGGAGTCTGACTGCCCATTCTTGTGGCAGTACATGAAAGAGTACACCGAGAGGACGGTGAAGATATTCCACGGTGTCCGACTGGACAACTGTCACAGCACGCCACTACACGTAGCTGAGGTACGCTAATGGTTCTATCTTGTCTTTGATTTATTTCTTCTATATACCAGGAGATGTTCACCCAGTCAAACTTTCGCCCTTTAATTGCCAGAATAATTCATATTCGCCCAGTGTTAATTTTGCCTTTCACATTTAATTTCTAGGCATGTGATGTTGTTAACTAAATATTTGCTGTATTGATAAATTCACCATAAGTACGGCAGGCAAAAAAGGTGAAAATTTAACTGCAGCAGAAATTTCCTGGTATACCGTGTTCTGTTCTGTCATCTTTTTGCCATTGTTATTTGGTGGTACAATTGTACCAACAAAAGTATAGTTTGCAGAATGGAATAATTTGAGTACACAGTTCAATCTGTATTTCATTCAATAGCATTAGCAATACTAACTTTTTTATTTTCACTGTTTTGTACTTTCTCTATCTGGAAGGTGAGTTTATGAAAGTTAAGCCTCAATAACTTATAACTAGTCATGATTCTTAAATATTTTCTACAGTACATGCTTGATGCTGCTAGGAAGATCCGGCCTGATCTGTATGTGGTAGCCGAGCTGTTCACTGGCAATGAGGGGCTGGATAACTATTTCCTTAACAAGCTCGGCATCAACTCCCTCATTAGAGGTAGGACTTGATACAATACCGTACTCGTTAATATCAAAATTCATGCTTTTCAAAGGAAAACTATGTTCTCAGTTACAGTGTAATATATAAGTGGACATTTTTGTTCAATAAATATTTTTGCTAGTTTCCTGTTTACTGACTTATAGTGCAAAAATAGACGCATAAATTAAAAAATGCAGCAGCATCATGAACACAAAAATGATTATGAACAGTGTTTACAGTATTGGACTACACACGTATATATAACCATTGTGTTAGAGATGTTAATGAAAAATACACTTCAGTAGGGAGTGCCAATTAACTTAAAAGATAAGGAGGATTTTCTGTAATTCATGCAGGTGTCCGAGAGGCCCTGAGTAAAAGAACTTGTTGAGTCCTAGTAAAGTAATTCACATTGGTGTCCGAGAGGCCCTGAGTAAAAGAACTTGTTGAGTCCTAGTAAAGTAATTCATATTGGTGTCCATGAGGCCCTGAGTAAAAGAACTTGTTGAGTCCTAGTAAAGTAATTCATATGGGTGTCCGAGAGGCCCTGAGTAAAAGAACTTGTTGAGTCCTAGTAAAGTAATTCATATTGGTGTCCGTGAGGCCCTGAGTCAATCTAATTAAAATTATATCTTCACATCGCTCCTGTTTACTGATATGTCGCGTTGAAGATCTAACAACATCCTGANCAAAGACTGGGCAAGTCCAGTTTAAGTATGTAGGGGTGAATGAGTTAAGCTATCTACTCTGCATTATTTCAATTACTAGTAAATAACAGCCAAAATTACAACAAAAGTTTCTGATATAGTTTTACAACTCAGCAAAGTCAATAGCCATGCATCTTAAGCAGTTTTCTTGCACAACATAACTTGCTGGATTTCCCAATTTTGGAGGAAGAGTCCCGATTTTTGTCTATAAATTTAGTATCTTCAACCAGTAAATTTGCTAAATTATTTCTTAGATTTGATGATTCCATCTGAAAGAACAACTAACACTAATGTCATGAGGTACATTGTACTATATTATCTCTCCTTTGGGCTTTCTGATCAATAATCAATAATGCCATTTTAAAATATTATTTTCCCAAGGGGGGGTATACCTACATTTAATTTATGCTTTTAATTTTGAACATGCAGAAATTACCAATAATATACTGATAATTTCAAAAGGTTGGCAACTTTTACACCCAGTTACTGAAATGCACCTATCAGAAAAACCAGGTCAATTGCATAATTTTAGGTGTTGATAGAAATTTTAATTAATTAATTTTCAGAATACATTTTTGGCTTGAATTGTATTTTAGATGTACATGTATTTCTAAATACACCAACAAGTATACTAATACACCAGCACCAAGTTTGCCTCATCTTCGCTAGCCAAGTGTTTGCTTCGTATATACTCCACTTATGTGAGTGGAGTGTATACGAAGCGAGCACTTGGCTAGCGAAGATGAGTTTGCCTATGATTAATTTTATTTTTCTTGGGAGGGGGAGTTCAGCTTGGTTGTTTTAAATATCATGAAGCATGTAAGGTATACACTACCTGAAAATCCAAGATAACAGAATCTAGTTAGTTTCATCTCCAGTTAACTCTAAACTATTAGTCCCTCATTTACACATGTACTTGTACTGCAGGCTCGAACATTTACCTGCGGCGGGAGTTGGTGGCCTGGGGTGACAGTGCCAAGCTGCGGTATGGGAAGAAGGAGTCGGACTGCCCATTCTTGTGGCAGTACATGAAAGAGTACACCGAGAGGACGGTGAAGATATTCCACGGTGTCCGACTGGACAACTGTCACAGCACGCCACTACACGTAGCTGAGGTACGCTAATGGTTCTATCTTGTCTTTGATTTATTTCTTCTATATACCAGGAAATGTTCACCCAGTCAAACTTTCGCCCTTTAATTGCCAGAATAATTCATATTCGCCTAGTGTTAATTTTGCCTTTCACATTTAATTTCTAGGCATGTGATGGTGTTAACTAAATATTTGCTGTATTGATAAATTCACCATAAGTACGGCAGGCAAAAAAGGTGAAAATTTAACTGCAGCAGAAATTTCCTGGTATACCGTGTTCTGTTCTGTCATCTTTTTGCCATTGTTATTTGGTGGTACAATTGTACCAACAAAAGTATAGTTTGCAGAATGGAATAATTTGAGTACACAGTTCAATCTGTATTTCATTCAATAGCATTAGCAATACTAACTTTTTTATTTTCACTGTTTTGTACTTTCTCTATCTTGAAGGTGAGTTTATGAAAGTTAAGCCTCGATAACTTATAACTAGTCATGATTCTTATATCTTTCCTACAGTACATGCTTGATGCTGCCAGGAAGATCCGGCCTGACCTGTATGTGGTAGCCGAGCTGTTTACTGGCAATGAGGGGCTGGATAACTACTTCCTCAACAAGCTCGGCATCAACTCCCTCATTAGAGGTAGGACTTGATACAATACCGTACTCGTTAATATCAAAATTCATGCTTTTCGAAGTAAAATTATGTTCCCAGTTACAGTGCAATACATAAGTGGACATTTTTGCTAGTTTCCTGTGTACTGACTTATAGTGCAAAAATAGACGCATAAATTAAAAATTGCAGCAGCATCATGAACACAAAAAATTCTATATTATGAACAGTGTTTACAGTATTGGACTATACACGTATATATAACCATTGTGTTAGAGACGTTAACGAAAAATACACTTCAGTAGGGAGTGCCAATTAACTTAAAAGATAAGGAGGATTTTCTGTAATTCATGCANAACACACTTGCTATGATAAAAGACCGAGAGGTGTCAAATGAGCATCGAAAATGGCGGCGCCCATGACACCACGCCGTGTCTATCTACAAGACAACGTTTGTACAATTTGTGGATTTTGCTTTGAAATAAGAGAGACTTCCTCTTCTGGTGATGTTGTCGTTTAAAAGTTTAACAACCTGAAACTAAAATTAACCAATGACAGGCTTCGCAATATTCAGACTATCACTTGACCAGACGAAAAATTGGATTTTTGGCTACGAGGTGTCTGCATTAAATGCTACAGGTCCTGCTTTCTGATTGGTTAAAAGAAAGAGTTATGTCGCGCTTTGATTGGCTTGTTATAAATACGATAATTCATTCATGTTGACCTCTGACGTGACCCTCTACGGGGTGTTGTTAGATCTTCAACGCGACATATCAGTAAACGGGAGCGATGTGAAGATATAATTTTAATCAGATTGGCCCTGAGTAAAAGAACTTGTTGAGTCCTAGTAAAGTGATTCATACGGGTGTCCGAGAGGCCCCGAGTAAAAGAACTTGTTGAGACCTAGTAAAGTAATTCATATTGGTGTCTGTTTGTAGAGGCCCTGAGTGCCAATACAGGTCGAGACTTAGGAGGACTGGTGTACAGGTACGGAGGTCAAGCTGTCGGCTCCTTCATACAGCCCAGGGTTCGCCCTATGATACCCACGGTGGCACATGCTCTCTTCTTTGACCAGACACATGACAACCAAGGTCCTGTTCAGGTGAGCACCTCTCAGCTTCGTTCCTACATGGATTTTGATGAAACTTCATAGATTGGTAAAGTATGAGAAAACCTCAAATTTTGTTTGTGTTCCAGGTGCCAAAGTCAAGATTATTATTTCTAGAGTTTTTTTGTCAAATAACAAATTGATACAATAATGTTTCGGAGGATATGTTCTCATCTTTACAAATTCAACTAAATGTCGACATTTGAATACAGGTATATGTGTTGGTAACTCCTATAAATCTTTGTATGTAATTTTCTGTGGCCAATATTACAGGTGTTACTTGTATTTATGGTGGAAACTGTGCTTTCTATATTGTTTTAATAAATGGAAAAAATATACAGACATATTATCAAAGGCTAGTGTGAGATGTAACAAGGTATTAACTTAAACACATATGAAGAGATTGGTGTCATTTGCAATGCTTCATTTGATACTGTTAACATTCTATGAAAAATAAGTTTAAATACCTGATTGGCAAAATATTGCATTTTGAAATAAGTTGCGAAAAATCTTCGAATCTATAGTTATACAGTGTACTGATTATAACTCTTACCAGTACATGTACAAATATTCAAAAGCTTTTGGGAAGGCAAATGTAATGTAGAAAGATCACATAGGTGTCAACCTCCGAGACCTCAATGAGGAAGATCCCCCTCATTCCACATTTCCAATGAGGAAGATCCCCCTCATTCCACATTTCCAATGAGGAAGATCCCCCTCATTCCACATTTCCAATGAGGAAGATCCCCCTCATTCCACATTTCCAATGAGGAAGATCCCCCTCATTCCACATTTCCAATGAGGAAGATCCCCCTCATTCCACATTTCCAATGAGGAAGATCCCCCTCATTCCACATTTCCAATGAGGAAGATCCCCCTCATTCCACATTTCCAATGAGGAAGATCCCCCTCATTCCACATTTCCAATGAGGAAGAAATTAGTGTATGAAACGCGACTGAACCTGCTTTGCTCAATTTAACTTCACCTTTTTATGTATCAAAATAACCCCAAAAACCATTGATTTGATTCAGACACACCTGTTATAGTCATTGCACCCACCCTGCAGTAAGGAGGAGATCATTTCACCACAGGATGTAGATTTTGAGTTTGCGTGAGTTTGGATGTGGAAGTTTAGAGGGAGATTGGTAAATTTTTCGTCAAAATGGGGAGGTCTCCCTCCTAATGAGATAGCTAGGTTTGACAGCTATGAGATCGATGTCTTAATTCCAGGGACTCCATGTGATCTTCACAATAGTACGATATGCAACATTTAATGTACATATTAACCTTTTTCCTTTATTTTTGACTACAGCTGAGATCAGCCTATGACCTGTTTCCCAATGCAGCTCTGGTCTCTATGGCATGCTGTGCTTCTGGAAGTAACCGTGGGTATGATCAGATCATTCCTCATCATGTGAGTTACATTGACGTTTTTGTAATGTTATAATTTACCAGACTTGGATTTTATTATGAAATCTTGATAGGAAAAATATCTTGCTGCATGATGATATTGTATCATTCAACTGAAACAAGAGTGTAAATTTTGAAAACAAAGAAATAATTTTGGTATTAAAAATATCTTATTCTAATATCAAATAATGACAATTATATTCATTGAATGATTTCTGATGCCAGTTGTTAAAAAGCTTGTGACAAACGATAATATTTGAAGTTTACTTTGTAAATCGTATATTAGATGAATATCCATGTAAGTTATATTTAGTTTGAAATTCTAAAATGTTCATCACCATCCCCTTTTTGTCACGTGTGTTTACCAGATCCATGTGGTTACGGAAGAGAGACTGTACACCTCCTGGAGTGACAGTCAGACTCCTAATCGTTCCCAAATCAATCAATTCTCCGGCATTACTGCAGGCAAGACTGTGCTCAACAGACTGCATGGAGAGCTGGGCAAGAGGGGATTCTCCGAGGTTAGCATGTTCGTGCAATGGAAAAAAATCCGTTAGAAAGTGCCAGAAGATTTATTTTGCTTGTTATACGAGTTATAAAAGCTATAGCAAAGTTGAAATTCAAATAATAATTGAATTTATATGGGATAATGATGTTTCTAATGTTGTGTACATCAATATAGAATATCTTGATCAACTTGTGTCTCAGAATTCATGGTTTATTAAGACAAAACTTAGAAAATACATAGTCATTTAGTAGACTCATGGACTTATTAATGATGTGCATTTTTATATACTGTATGCACTTACTACTGCCAGGAGTAACTTGCTAGGTATAATCGGCTGAGAATGAGCTTTGTTTGTATTTGTAGGTGTTTGTAGACCACGTACGGGATGATGTAATATCGATCACCAGACACAACCCCCACACCCATGACTCTGTCGTCCTGGTAGCTAGGACGGCTTTTCATCACCCAAATCAACCCCAGGACACCGGCTTCATTCCACCTGTCATCATTCAGGGTACATTGTACAGCATGATAAACACCCAAGTGTTTGTTCTAAAAATCAACTCCTAAAAGTTTAGATTCTTCATAGTAATTGAAAAATAGATTTGACTGCTGATTTGTATAACAATACGCTTTATTCAATGACAGGAAATATTCAATTCGGGAAAAGAAATTTTACAACTGACCTCAATAACAAACTCTTCGAAGCTGTGTTTCTTCTGTAAAGTATTCATAGAGTTGAGGGTCAGACTCAGCTTCAGTCATGGTCAGACCCAAAGTGTTTTCAATACATGACTTTTGACTCACCGCCACGAAGTGGAAGCGAGACCTCGGTGTTACTTTTCTGGCAATGGCGGCGGCGCGTCAACATTAATTTTTTGTGTTTAAGTTAGTTTCACTGAAAGTATAAGTGCTACATCAACCAAACTTGAACCATATATGCATCTGAGGTAGTACATCTCAGCCCATGCATCAAATGCTAGATGCGGCCTACCTTTCATGGTCCATTGACTTTGTCAGCATCTCCATCAACATGAAGTTTTTGTGTTTAAGTAAATATCTCTGATATGTGCATTGATGGTCAAAGAGGAGACACATCAATCCGAATGGCTTGTTATAATTTGATTAAATAAAATGTTAAATCATAACATGACAATACATCCATAAACTGTCAGTGAATGTTGGGTTCTGTTGCAGGCATTGTGACCCGGGTTCTGTTTGAGGGGCGACCGGTCCACACGGAGGAGTCGCAGTATAAGAAGGACAAGGACTACATCAATGGACTGCCTGACTACCTCCTGGAGCTAGAGAAAGACGTGGATGTAGGGGAGAGTCGCATGGCTAGGGTGGTCGTGTCCAACGACACCCCCACCTCCGAGGTTCATCTTCACATGTTCACACCCGGCAGTGTCATAGCATTCAGGTACCGTAGTATTTCTAATATTACAATTGTAAGATTTATCAAGTTAACATTTTTGTCAATTCTAAAAACTAGTACATTGTAAAAGATCATGTTAAAATTAAAAACTAAAAAACTTAATTCAATGTTTTACTATTTTTGATTAATGGTCCAGAGTTTAGATCAAGCAAGTGTACAACTTATCCTATACCAGTAGTTTGTCACGTTTTTAACCGGTTTCTGTATATTAAGTATGGCTGTTCAGGTTATATTGTCCAAGGTGTCTACTGCAGAGGTTAACATCAGAATAGAAGATAACATATCCATGGTATGTTGGCTAAGGTGTCTTATAAACCGAAACCTCAAAATAGAACATAGGTAAGATTTAACTGAAAACACAAGCATCATTTAGACAATATCGACTTAATCGGAGGTGAAAATCCGTGGGATTTTGCCTCACGCTGTGAGATCTGGCATGTAACCGACATCCAGGTCTTACACTCACCTCGCTTTCTGCACCCCTGGAATATGACATAGCGAAAATCGAAGGCTCAGTGTGCACCACCTTGTGGATGTGACAAGAAGACTAGTTTCATTGTTTGATGTACATCAAAAGAATCTTGCGGTAACGTAACACTAACATTGACTGTCTTTTAAAGTTGAGTGTCTCTTCTTTGTAATCTTCAAAAGACATGTATCAGTAAATTTTACCCGAGACCAATCAAATAGCTAGCCTTGTGCATTCGATTTTGCTATGACATATTCCAGGGGTGCAGAGAGCAAAAGTGAGCGTAACCCCTTGAGTATCTAGGATGCTGTATATATACAGGTTATTGACCTTGAATTTTTTATTTCAGGTGTGAATTTCCCAAACAGCCGAAAAATGCTATTCTAGAGATACGGCGTGGAATTGGTCAGTTTGGCTACCTGATGAGGTCCTACAGCGGCCGGACTATGTTTGATGAGACGTGGGACAAGTCCAACTTCCAGGCGATTGTTGGACAATTGACCTTGTCTGACCTCAACAGAGTGCTCTACCGATGTGACCCTGAGGAGAAGGATGATGGGAAGGGCTTTGGAGCCTATGACATTCCACAATGTGGGCCTATGGTGTACTGTGGTCTGAGAGGTGAGGACAAACCTAATGGGGAAACAGGGTTACAAATTGAATCAAGAATAGAATATTTTCAATTTATCTATTTCCCTACTGTTGCTACATTGTAAAAGAAAGTTGTTCATCCACCCTTTTTTGTTTGGAGTAAATCAAATCAGACTTGGAAGAAGGTCTGGCAAGCCATGGCCAAAGTCTTCCTGAAAATATTAACAGACCACCAGGTCAATTCCTATATCGGCTATTTAAGATATGAATATATAGGAGGGCAAGAAGACGTTTTTTATTGAAAATATATGTGTGGGTATATGCGTGGTACATGTAATTGTGGGTTGTGGCAGTGGATGTCACAAAAATAGGTCATCCTTGCCCTCCTACATGATATAACCAGACAAAATGGCCGAACTGTTCTGTCTTCTAAAAAAAGCTTTGTGTCGGTACAGTTTGTCTTTTATAATATGTGTTTGATTTAAATCTGACTCGATTATGATGTCAGGTTTGATGGCTGTGCTGTCTTCCATACGCTCAAAGAACGATCTTGGTCATCCTCTGTGTAACAACCTTCGTGATGGGGACTGGCTCCCTAGCTACGTGGCCAGCAGACTCCTTGTTCACGAGAGTACGCAGGATGTAAGTGTTCCTTCACTTAGTCATTAACTAGTTCATATTTCTGGCAAGTTTTACACAATACCTCCTATCAACATGTACCAAGTGAGTTCTACAAACTCTGAAAGCAATGCTTGTCACACCTTTTGTTACAGTATTATAGTTACCAATAATACTTTTTCTATAAGAGGCATTTTTAGAATTTTTAGCCACCCTTTTTTTTTTTTTTTTTTATTACAACAGAAAGAGTAATCTGACATGTTTAAAGATAATGATTGCAGACATTTGAACTAAATATTTGATATATTTGTTCCCAATATTAAAGATAATTCAGCTGTATTGTATTCCAGCTTGGTAACTGGTTCATGGGAATATTCCACCACCTCAGTGAGATTCCTCGCTTTCTTGTTCCGTGTTATTTTGATGCAGTGATCACAGGAGCGTATGTTGTCCTGCGGGATCTCGCTATCAAGCTGATGTCTGAGTAAGTCGCTGTAATACAGTATTCATGTTACAGTAGTTACCTATCATACTTAGGTACAGTTTAACAGAAACTATATATCGTATTGTATCATATCATTTCGTGATACTTCCTTCTGTGTATCGTATCAAATTGTTTTGTTTCCCTGTATCGTGATACACTAACAGTACTGAAATTATCAATCAATTTTTATTTTCAATTCTTCAGTACTAAAGATGTGGCCCACTGTAGGGTCATACCCAAATATACTAAATGTCAAACAAAAATATATGCAATATTTGTTAAAATGTCATTTGTATTTTTGCAGTTTCGTCAAGGATGGGTCTACATTTGTTCAAGCTGTGGCCTTAGGGTCGATCCAGTTTTGTGGATTTGTCCAGACAGCCAAGTTACCTCCCTTGTCACCAAATTTGGCAGACCCAGTACCACCTAGTTACTTTGACAAAGATACCAACAAAACAATACAAACGACTCTGTCACTTGCTGCAGGTAAACATCTCAATATTTATATACCAACATCTTGTCACTTGCTGCAGTAAACATCTCAATATTTATATACCAACACCTTGTCACTTGCTGCAGTAAACATCTCATTATGTATATACCAACACCTTGTCACTTGCTGCAGGTAAACATCTCAATGTTCATATACCAACACCTTGTCTCTTGCTGCAGGTAAACATGTCAATGTTCATATACCAACACCTTGTAACTTGCTGCAGGTAAACATCTCAATATTTATATATAAACACCTTGTCACTTGCTGCAGGTAAACATCTCAATGTTCATATACCAACTCCTTGTCACTTGCTGCAGGTAAACATCTCATTGTGTATGTACTAACACCTTGTCACTTGCTGCAGGTAAACATCTCATTGTGTATATACCAACACCTTGTCATTTGCTGCAGGTAAACATCTCATTGTGTATAAACCAACACCTTGTCACTTGCTGCAGGTAAACATCTCATTGTGTATGTACTAACACCTTGTCACTTGCTGCAGGTAAACATCTCAATATTCATATACCAACACATTGTCACTTGCTGTAGGTAAACATCTCAATGTTTATATACCATAACCCGTTTTACAGACATCTGTCACAATATACAGTAGCTTGTAAATAAAATGAATACATTGTAGATTAATCTGTTTAGATTATGTGTCTTTCTGTAGATGGCTATTTTTGCTGTAGATAGATATTTCTTGTATGTATCACTGTTGAGAAATTCAACACAAAAAGAAAGAGAACTGTATCACATATTTAGAGCTTCACAATGTGATTATGGTCGTGGAAATTTATTGAAGATTTCAGATTTCTGGTATTGTTTACAGGGTTTTCTCACTTCGCTAGTGGCTACATGAGGAACTGGGGAAGAGACACGTTCATAGCTTTACGGGGCCTGCTACTGCTGACTGGTAGATACACCGAGGCAAGGTACACATTGTTACTGGTAGTTACACCGAGGCAAGGTACACATTGTTACTGGTAGATACACCGAGGCAAGGTACACATTGTTTCTTGGGTATCATGCAGTCAAACTCTCCATGGAGACTGCTTGGTTGTAATGGCTTCCTGTCTACAGTGACCAGTTAAAGATATCTCTCAACCATGTCTACAAAACCCCCTTAAACGTTAGGCCGTTATAATGGCTTCCTGTCTATAGTGACCAGTTAAAGATATCTCTCAGACATGTCCACAAAACCCCCTTTATTGTTAGACAACTTTATTGTTAGACAACTTTATTGTAAGACAACTTTATTGTTAGTCAACTTTATTGTTAGACAACTTTATTGTAAGACAACTTTATTGTTAGACAAATTTGTGATCAACATATATGTGAGATTTATTTTTAGAATTTAAGGTTTAATTATATGCTATACATGTATATCCTGAGTATCAAGTGGTCAAGAACTTTTCCCTTGATTGAACAATTTTTTTTTTTTTTCATGTACAGGTACATAATTCTCTCATTTGGTGGCTGCTTGCGTCATGGCCTCATTCCAAACCTTCTAAATGAGGGGAGTGGTGCACGGTATAACTGCCGGGATGCTGTGTGGTGGTGGCTACAGTCCATCCAGGATTACTGTACCCTCGTCAAGGGAGGCCACTCCATCTTACAGGACAAGGTATCGCGGTTGTACCCCACGGATGACTCACCTTGTCAACAGCCAGGAACGTATGTAAGTACTACAATTGTCTAGATAGAACTAATTTTCATAACCGCGGAGCTTTTACCTAAACCTGTTGCTTTCACAATAAAATTTTAAATCTTGGCTTTATATTTTATGTAACTTTTATACAAAATTTTATTCAGAAAGCTGGTTTATTAATCCTTTAAGTATTTACATAAAAGGGATTTCAAAGGGTCAAGATTTATTGAAGAAAAAAAAATCATCTATGAAAATTATCTAACATAGTTTTTATTTGACTACATATAATTATTGAGGGAAAAACAGTGACCGTTTATTTCCCTTCTTGGTAATTGAAAGTTTTGATGGCTGTTTCATATGAATTAAGAAGTTGAATCTTCATAAAGCTCTGTCACTTAACTACGTCATTTAGAGTTTCTCATCTGATAAGATATTATTAAGCACATCAAATAAAAGTAGCCTTTATTACAAAAACCCATACCATTTAGTACGATTACAGCAAGGTGTCCTTTAATGTGAATTCAATGGCAGTTCTTGTCATATCTGTATATTCATATTGGAAGTGAAAACACATGATAACATCCTACTACCTTTTTCTACTGCATCACAGGACCAAAGCCTATGTGATGTGATACAAGAAGCTCTCCAACGACATGCCGAGGGGCTAAAATACCGCGAGAGGAATGCAGGGAAAAGCATAGACGAGAACATGTCTGATGAAGGTTTCTTATCAAAGTTTAATTTCCTTCTGTAATTTCAACTTAAAAATATTTAAGCCTACATAACAAGCAATTACAATTATAAATTAATACTGTAACTTTTGAAATTGTATACCGGAACATTTTTGCCTGTCAAAATTTTGCCGTTTGCCGGTAAAATCCATATTGATCATTCGCCAAGTTTTAATTTCGCCCTTCATATCAATTACTATGTTTATCATGTTGTTTACTTATATTTGCTGAAAAGATAAATTCATCCTCATTACAGAAGGCGAAAATTAAACTGTAGTAAACATTTCCCAGTATAAAGTATAAAGTATCAGGTTATTAGTTATTAATTAAGACTTGAATTAATTGAGGTGACATCTGATCTAGATTCACATAAAAATGATTCTAAAATTGATACTTCAGTTAATGACTAAAAGAAGATTCTTTAGGTTATCTTAACCTGTTAGAGACGATTCATTAATACCTTGTTTGCTTGACTGCGGAATGTTGAGGAGTGCAATAATATTCGTTGAACGCCAATTCTATTTACATTGTCTAGGTTTCGATAATGAGATCGGAGTGAAGTGGGACGAAGGTTTTGTATTTGGTGGCAATGAGTGGAACTGTGGTACATGGATGGATAAAATGGGAGGATCTGACAAGGCAGGCAACCGGGGCAAGCCAGCCACACCCAGGTATGTTAATTATAATGGTGACTGAACACCCAGGTATGTTAATTATAATGGAGACTCTGAACACCCAGGTATGTTAATTAAAATGGAGACTCTGAACATCTAGGTATGTTAATTAAAATGGAGACTGAACACCTAGGTATGATAAAATGGAGACTGAACACCTAGGTATGTTAATTATAATGGTGACTCTGAACATCTAGGTATGTTAATTATAATGGTGACTGAACACCCAGGTATGTTAATTAAAATGGAGACTCTGAACACCTAGGTATGATAAAATGGAGACTGAAAACCTAGGTATGTTAAAATGGAGACTCTGAACCCCTAGGTATGATAAAATGGAGACTGAACACCTAGGTATGTTAAAATGCAGACTCTGAACACCTAGGTATGTTACAATGGAGACTCTGAACCCCTAGATACTTGGCCTGGCCTAGATGTTCCAGTATGTGTCCATGTAAAGTATAATTATGGACTATTTGATTTTTGTTTTTATTCACCGTCAACACATTGCATTTGTTTGGGTGGGAGATCATTTTCCATGTATTTTCCCAGAGCGCTAGTTTGTCAAGATCTTTTTGAAGTGTTTCAGCATCAGTGTTTGACTTGATAACTAGATATGCAATAGTGGTAGGTCTGTGTAAATCATACTGTTCTGGTTTACAGGAGTTGGTCGGCTGTGAAGTTGGTAGGTCTGTGTAAATCATACTATTTCGGTTTACAGGAGTGGGTCGGCTGTGGAGTTGGTAGGTCTGTGTAAATCATTCTATTTCGGTTTATAGGTGTGGGTCGGCTGTGGAGTTGGTAGGTCTGTGTAAATCATACTGTTCTGGTTTACAGGAGTGGGTCGGCTGTGGAGTTGGTAGGTCTGTGTAAATCATACTATTTTAGTTTACTGGAGTGGGTCAGCTTTGGAGTTGGTAGGTCTGTGTAAATCATACAATTTTGGTTTACAGGAGTGAGTCGGCTGTGGAGTTGGTAGGTCTGTGTAAATCATACTATTTTGGTTTACAGGAGTGGGTTGGTTGTTGTGTTAATGGGTGTTGTATAAATCATACTATTTCGGTTTACAGGTGTGGGTCGGCTGTGGAGTTGGTAGGTCTGTGTAAATCAGCTGTACGTTGGCTTGCTGAGATGCACACGCAGGGATTCTATCCATACGACTCGGTCAACGCGATCGTAAATTGTAAGTTAATTTGATTGCATGCATTTCGCGAATGAACTGTAAATTTATTGAAACAGGATTACTAGTTATAATGGATTTATACTGAAACACATGAAAAAACAGACTAGAGAAAAATAAAAGTGTATTGATGCAAAATTGTTGTTGTAGGTCAGATGAAGAAAGTAACATTCAAGGAGTGGGACAGTAAAATACAGGCCAATTTTGAGAAACGTTTTTGGATCAACTCGACTCCCATTCCAGAAAATGAGCCTCATCCTGAACTGATCAACAGGAGAGGCATGTACAAAGACTCCTACCTTTCCAAACCCTTCTGGACCGACTTTCAACTCAGACCAAACTTTCCAGTGGCCATGGTTGTTGTAAGTAAAGGATGTTTATATTGTGAGATTATGCAACCAAGAGTATTTTTATGTGGGAGCTTACACAGTTGCCAGTTTTGTTGCACAAGTTATTTATGGAGATAAGATATCTGGCATTTCTCTTTGAGATCGACAAAAATGGTTCAGGTCACGCTCTTTTTCTTTAACAATGATTTGAATTACAGTCCTGTTGGATTTGGAATCAAAGGACAATGTTGAAAATGTAACAAATTCAAGGGTGATACTGTGTACTTTGTATGTCAAATCAAACAGAACCCTGTTTGTAGAAATTTAATATAATTGGTCTCTCCTGAGTACCTCTTCTATACACATATAGGTGTATAAAACTACAAATTAACACATATTGTGAGATACATAAACAATTGTCTACATATTGATTTGTGTGTACAGGCCCCGGAACTGTTTACTCCTGAGAACGCGTGGACCGCTCTACTGGAGGCCGATGATGTACTGGTCGGCCCTCTTGGTATGAAGACACTGGACCCAAGGTAGGACACAGTAATGTTTGGTCAACCTGTTCAGTTGTAGATGTAGATGTCCCATTAGATGTCCCTTTCTTGACCTCATATTTGATAGGTGTCTTTTTACTTGTATTATGAAATAGGACCTGCAGCTATTAGTATACAGTTATTGAATGGTTTTCGCCTTGGGAAAAGAGTTAGTGTCAAGGGGGACAATAAAAATGCTATTTCCCGAAAAACCCATACAATTACTGTTTGATTATACCAACAACAAAATTGTTTTATTTTTCTTTACTGGTTGTTTCGTAAAGTAAGTCTGCTTCGTCTGGGTCTCGGAAACGCTTACAGACTTTATCATATTGTATGAGATGGAAGTAGAGATGTTCAGAAGGAACATGAACGAACGAAGCCAAAAATTCCGTGAAAAATTTGAATGCAGGTTAAATAGCTCATTCCTGGAAAATAGCTCTAATGACTATTTACCTAGTAAATAGTTTCTTGAAAGAGGTTATTTTGAATAGCATTTCTATTTTCTACTTTTATATAGTGTAAAAATGAAGAAAGGTTTAATAATCCTATGTATCCTATAGAAATTTCTCATAAAAAGCCCACAAGAGCTGTGGTTTGAAGTTAATATACCATTTATAAACAACCATAACAATATGATACAGTTTAATAAATGCTATTTATTAACTGTAGAGCTCGAGGTATGCAATGTTATCATGACCAACATTGTTGTATATGTTTTATAAATCAGCATACACATGTTTATACATATAACAGAAGAAATCAACAATACACAAATATATACATTTCATGATGATCTACATTTAGGTTTGGCCTTGGAGGCTATATCATACTACACATATATAAGCTATGGAAATCTCACGGATTACTGAAGTTATCCTACCAGGAGTGAACTGTCGCCCCTTGTCCAAGGATAACTGCCGATATATCCCCCCAGGAGCGAAACGGTCGCCCCTGGTCCCAACGGCTGGATGAGATTTCCCATTATCAAAAACGGACCCTAATGAGAGGACATTCTGACAATCCTGGATCCAGACATGATGAGTAGCTCATATACCTGGATCCCATGAGAGGATATCTGATCAGGAATTTCCTGGGTCCGCATGATGTCTAGGTCTAATTTCCTGGATATAGATCCCATGAGAGGATATTTCCTGAATCCTGGATTGGCCACATGGGCCCCGTTAGCCCAAGTTTGTACCAATCCCATGAGAGGATTCATCATTGTTGGAAATTCCTGGATCTATAGGATACCTAATTATAACTTATAGGCACCTTATTATGTAGGTATAACTGTATATTAACATGGGGGCTGAACACAACAACATATGTGTTGTGTACCTCCTGCCCCTGTCATAGTCTATACCTCTGATCTGATTCCCTATATCCCTACCATGATATAGCCCCAGTACTATTACATTTGAATAAATATACAAGTACATGTTCATCTGTATTTGACTTCACTCTATGTGACTTGTGTCTGCTCTGTCATCATTCAATAAATGTACATGTAACAACACAAATTGTTCCGATTACTTATGCTTCTGTATTCCTTTGGTATACTTGTAGATGTATTTAAATAATGTACTCAAGAAACTGATGCTGCAGTATACATGTATACACTAATAATTATAAGGTGGAGGTTGGGGTGGATGGCGGTAAGCTGATGTAAAAAATTTCGTCCGGCTGCTCCGATAGTTTGTTAAAACAGTGCGGGGTGACGCTGACCTTTGTTGGTCATCTCATTAATTATGTATGGCTACACCGCTTGACCAATGATAATTAACCTTGACCTGCCTAGTGATAACTTAAGCCAATCAGCATCCTCCCTAATCTAATTGTTACCATATTATCACGTGTAAGAAGAGTGTAGGAGACTGTTGAGCTATGTTCTTTGTTCTGTATCTATAAATATAACATGACAGCATTACGTATACCTAAATGTTGGTACACATGATGGTACTACTACAATATATATATATATGATAGTTATCCACATGTATCTCTATATACATGTATATATATAGCTAAAAAACATAAATAATTAGAAATCAACAATGTTGCACATGACATATAAACAAATGGCTGTTTACAAACAAAGTTTATTATAAATAATAAACTACAAGTCATTTTGAAGTCAGATGGTATACCAGAAGTCAGTTGGTATACCAGAAGTTGGTTGGTATACCAGAGGTCAATTGGAAGTCAGTTGGTATACCAGAATTCAGTTGGTATACCAAAAGACAGTTGGAAGTCAGTTGGTATACCAGAAGTCGGTTGGTATACCAGAAATTGGTTGGTATACCAGAAGTCAGTTGGTATATCAGAAGTTGGTTGGTATACCAGAAGTCGGTTCGTATACCAGATGTCAATTGGTGTACTAGAAGTCAATTGGTATACCAGAATTCAGTTGGTATACCAGAAGTCGGTTGGTATGCCAGATGTCAATTGGTGTACCAGAAGTCAATTGGTATGACAGAAATCAATTGATATGACAGAAGTCAATTGGAAGTCAGATGGTTTACCAGAAGTCAATTGGTATACCAGAAGTGAATTGGTATGACAGAAGTCAATTGATATACCAGAAGTCAGTTGGTAGTCAGTTGGTTCACTAGAAGTCAATTGGTATACCAGATGTCAACTTCTGGTCTTCTTAGTAGAAAGCGGATGGCTGAACGACTGAACTAATCCACACATTATATGACTTCCTTGTACCTTTTCATACACAACTGAGTCATTTAAAATACCTTTGATTTGCAAAACTATTATTTTTTCTTTTCTTTATCAGCTTGTTATACTCTTGAACTCTTGGGGAACATGTTGAATCTTGAAAAGTAATTGCATGTATATTGGAGAGATATGTAGTAAGTTTTGCTTGTTTGTGACTGTTTAGTGACTGGAGCTATATTGGGGACTACGATAACTCCAATGATTCCTCCGATCCAAAGGTGGCACATGGCTTTAACTACCACCAGGGGCCGGTATGTACACTAGTCAGTTACGATAAATCACCACTAACACGAAGATGTAGGGTCCAGATCATTAGTTCCAGGAATAATTGGTATCCAACAAGTTTGAAGTTGGTCAGATTTTAAAACTTTTACTGTTGCTTGTTACTTTTGTACTTTTCAATGCATATTGCACTAATATTTCAAGTCCACCTGTATCTATTGTAAAAATAGAAGGATGCCAAATGTTTTATTTTTTTATATAAAGTACTACAAATGTATGGGTATGACCTTTAACAAGAATTGTGTTTGTTTCGCTAAGGAATGGGTGTGGCCTCTTGGCTATTACCTACGTGCCAGACTACATTTTGCCCGTATCTTGAACAAGAAAATTCCAGGACTTTTGAAGACAACGGTTGGCTATGTCAAATCCAAGCTGACGACCCATTACCAGGAGATAATGTCCTCACCTTGGCAGTCCCTCCCGGAACTCACCAACTCCAACGGCAAGGTACAACCACCTATCACGTGTTGGGGTCATGTATGATATACATCACATGTACAACAATCCGACACATCACATATAAACAAAACTCCCTTCCACACCTCACTAATTCCTCTGGCAAGGTACGACCACTTATGCACAAAACACGTAACATTCATAATAGATCTATACATGTCACATATACAACATACCGACATTTTATAAACATAACAAACCTGTACAGTATAGGAATAACAGTCCCTCCTGTCACATACCTACAAAGTGTGTGTAGTGTTTTTATGTTCTTTATACTAGGTTAAAATTTCGTCTTTTCCGCCAGCCGTATTAATTGAAGGCACATTTATCATAACAATGAATATAGTTATCAATATGATATGCATCGTAATTAAATGTGAAGGCGAAATCAACATTTGGCAATTATGGATTATTCTGGCGAAGGGCAAAAGTTTTACTGCATGAAAACTTCCCTATACATTGTGTATACAGTAAATACCTTTAAAGTGTTATTTTTTGTATTGTATTTATGAGACAACAGTGATGTATAGGTACGTATGAAGTGTATTTGTATTGTTTAGAAACATTGTACATGTGGCCTCCGTGTACTAACAGTACTGATATGCTGTTTCAGTTCTGCAAGGACAGCTGTCGGGCCCAGGCTTGGAGCGTAGGATGTGTATTGGAAGTCCTGTATGACCTCGAACAGCTGGAGGAAAGTGTCGAGCTCGCAGACACAACGAAAATACTTGCTCAGGATATGAGGACAATTACAGTCTAGTGACAGTAAAGAGATCTAAATCCTGAGTCTAAGAATTGACATTAGCATTAACATGCTCACAGTTAGCAGGTCCAGTACACTCTGTCGTTTGAGCTTAATATCTGTAAAGACCTTAGCCCAAGTTTCCTCTGGCCCTCACACCAGACTTAGACATTTCGACAGAAAGTCGTTTGGTGTGGGACATCTATCTGTCAAAATGACAAGTCTGGTGGCAGGGCCAGAGGAAGCTTAGACTATAAAGACTATATATATATAATATAAAAACTGTATCAAAACTATCTGAAATAGCTTTTTTTAGCTATTCTCACATGATTTTCTTCCCCCCCAAACAAAAAATCGACAACAATTTGCATTTAAAAGATTCTGTCACTAATTTGATAGCAAAAGACATTAAATAAAAGTATTCTTTTTAAAAGTTGCTGATGCGAAAAAATTGGAAATTTTACATTTTTGAAAAATAAAGATATACAGTACCTCTAACTGTATGGTTTTCCTATTAAACATTACCATAAAATCTATATGTTAAAGCGACATTGCTTTATTTTTATAAAAACTAAAATAATAGCTCAATAACGCTATAAATTACCGGTATAATACAGCTATTTAAGGTCTTTAGAGATATACAGCTCAATCAACACTAAGTACTGGACCTGGTCAAGTCAAGCATTTATATAGAACCTTCATAAGGACAAGAACTTATCACAGTTGATAAAAGTTGATAGATAAATATCGACACACTTTATCAAAACATGAAGTTGGTCACAATCAATGAATAGATAAAGATCAAAGTGTTTCATCAGGGTATGAACACAGCCACAGTCTTCAAAATCGATTAATAGGTAAAGATCGAAGTGTTTCATCAGGGTATAAACACAGTCACAGTCAAGTGACAGATATATATATACAGGAAATAAATGTCCTTCATCAGCAGATGGATAGTTTCTGTCAAAATTTGCTTAATATCAAGAGATTTTGATTTTAGATCCTGAATTGGAACACAAAATGACTTTAGTTTGTAGTGTTTGCCAGCTAGCCTTGCCAAGGTGGAATCGGGCCACAGAAGTCGTTACAGTGGCTACTCACAATCGGTACGTCTGGTCAGGGTATCTCGGGGACTAGGAAGTTACAGTGGCTATTCACAATCGGTACGTCTGGTCAGGGTATCTCGGGGACTAGGAAGTTACAGTGGCTATTCACAATCGGTACGTCTGGTCAGGGTATCTCGGGGACTAGGAAGTTACAGTGGCTATTCACAATCGGTACGTCTGGTCAGGGTATCTCGGGGACTAGGAAGTTACAGTGGCTATTCACAATCGGTACGTCTGGTCAGGGTATCTCGGGGACTAGGAAGTTACAGTGGCTATTCACAATCGGTACGTCTGGTCAGGGTATCTCGGGGACTAGGAAGTTACAGTGGCTATTCACAATCGGTACGTCTGGTCAGGGTATCTCGGGGACTAGGAAGTTACAGTGGCTATTCACAATCGGTACGTCTGGTCAGGGTATCTCGGGGACTAGGAAGTTACAGTGGCTATTCACAATCGGTACGTCTGGTCAGGGTATCTCGGGGACTAGGAAGTTACAGTGGCTATTCACAATCGGTACGTCTGGTCAGGGTATCTCGGGGACTAGGAAGTTACAGTGGCTATTCACAATCGGTACGTCTGGTCAGGGTATCTCGGGGACTAGGAAGTTACAGTGGCTATTCACAATCGGTACGTCTGGTCAGGGTATCTCGGGGACTAGGAAGTTACAGTGGCTATTCACAATCGGTACGTCTGGTCAGGGTATCTCGGGGACTAGGAAGTTACAGTGGCTATTCACAATCGGTACGTCTGGTCAGGGTATCTCGGGGACTAGGAAGTTACAGTGGCTATTCACAATCGGTACGTCTGGTCAGGGTATCTCGGGGACTAGGAAGTTACAGTGGCTATTCACAATCGGTACGTCTGGTCAGGGTATCTCGGGGACTAGGAAGTTACAGTGGCTATTCACAATCGGTACGTCTGGTCAGGGTATCTCGGGGACTAGGAAGTTACAGTGGCTATTCACAATCGGTACGTCTGGTCAGGGTATCTCGGGGACTAGGAAGTTACAGTGGCTATTCACAATCGGTACGTCTGGTCAGGGTATCTCGGGGACTAGGAAGTTACAGTGGCTATTCACAATCGGTACGTCTGGTCAGGGTATCTCGGGGACTAGGAAGTTACAGTGGCTATTCACAATCGGTACGTCTGGTCAGGGTATCTCGGGGACTAGGAAGTTACAGTGGCTATTCACAATCGGTACGTCTGGTCAGGGTATCTCGGGGACTAGGAAGTTACAGTGGCTATTCACAATCGGTACGTCTGGTCAGGGTATCTCGGGGACTAGGAAGTTACAGTGGCTATTCACAATCGGTACGTCTGGTCAGGGTATCTCGGGGACTAGGAAGTTACAGTGGCTATTCACAATCGGTACGTCTGGTCAGGGTATCTCGGGGACTAGGAAGTTACAGTGGCTATTCACAATCGGTACGTCTGGTCAGGGTATCTCGGGGACTAGGAAGTTACAGTGGCTATTCACAATCGGTACGTCTGGTCAGGGTATCTCGGGGACTAGGAAGTTACAGTGGCTATTCACAATCGGTACGTCTGGTCAGGGTATCTCGGGGACTAGGAAGTTACAGTGGCTATTCACAATCGGTACGTCTGGTCAGGGTATCTCGGGGACTAGGAAGTTACAGTGGCTATTCACAATCGGTACGTCTGGTCAGGGTATCTCGGGGACTAGGAAGTTACAGTGGCTATTCACAATCGGTACGTCTGGTCAGGGTATCTCGGGGACTAGGAAGTTACAGTGGCTATTCACAATCGGTACGTCTGGTCAGGGTATCTCGGGGACTAGGAAGTTACAGTGGCTATTCACAATCGGTACGTCTGGTCAGGGTATCTCGGGGACTAGGAAGTTACAGTGGCTATTCACAATCAGTACGTCTGGTCAGGGTATCTCGGGGACTAGGAAGTTACAGTGGCTATTCACAATCAGTACGTCTGGTCAGGGTATCTCGGGGACTAGGAAGTAACACAATGTACACCCTCACTGTTATACCTCAATGTACAGATAAGGAATATATCTTTATATAAGTAACCAAAGAATGGCATATTTAAATCTAGATACTCATTTTTAGTGCAAGGATATTAAGTTGGGCTCACTGCAATTGGAGGTTTACAGTTTATTGATGTAGTTAAACTCATTCACCCCCGAAGACGCATTTGAACTCTTCCAATTCAAAGGTTAGAATAGTTCATTATGAAGTTGCAGGGTTGACTGAGTTAATGCAACATTTCGACATTGCTCTTCAAAGTATAAGAAAGTTTTAATGTGTTTCTGATTCACTGGGATTGATTGTTTTTAACAAATCCTAATTCTTAGGGCCATGGATAAATGGTATTTATTAAGAAAATGTATCGCTGAAATCTGTATATTATAAAAGGAAAGTGCTTGGCTATAGCTGCTTGGCCTTTCAGATTGTTTTATCTTAGCAAGATATTGAATGTTGGAGGAATGTGTTGAATATTGTCAATTATAACCAAAAAGTAAGAATCAACTGTAACAGAGAGTAAGTTTAGCATGTATTAAATATAACCACAGAAGGTATATAGATTGTTCGTGTTAGAAATTCCTGATCTCTACAGCAATAATTCTGTTTTCTGAATTTCTGTTGTAATATCACAGTATGATAGTGCCCTACAGAACTTGTTAGTTGATAAATAAATGTAGAATGTGCTTATGTTATCGTGCCGGCTTAGTTAATGGCGATCGAGGATAAAACTTCTCTCTGCTCTATCAACACTGGTAGATTTAGCGTTTGTTAATAATATTTTATAATCATTTTAAGCATATATATATATCACTGTGTTATTTTATTGGTTATATTGTTTTTTTCTGCTGGTGCTAATGTAGTCCTTGATCTGTTTGATATTATAAGGTTTGTATATCAGAAACAGCCGCCATTCCCAAAATCCAGCTTTGTGTAAATACAGTATTTCTGTGATATCAAGCTTAAGCTGCGTCTGCTGAATGGAAGATAGAAGGTACTTTGGTAGTTGAGCATGTTGTGTTACCCAAAGTAATAGTAGTTGAGCATGTTGTTTTACCCAAGGGAAGATAGAAGGTACTTTGGTAGTTGAGCATGTTATGTACCCAAAGTAATAGTAGTTGAGCATGTTGTTTTACCCAAGGGAAGATAGAAGGTACTTTGGTAGTTGAGCATGTTATGTACCCAAAGTAATAGTAGTTGAGCATGTTGTTTTACCCAAGGGAAGATAGAAGGTACTTTGGTAGTTGAGCATGTTATGTACCCAAAGTAATAGTAGTTGAGCATGTTGTTTTACCCAAGGGAAGATAGAAGGTACTTTGGTAGTTGAGCATGTTATGTACCCAAAGTAATAGTAGTTGAGCATGTTGTTTTACCCAAGGGAAGATAGAAGGTACTTTGGTAGTTGAGCATGGTTGTGTTACCCAAGGGAAGATAGAAGGTACTTTGGTAGTTGAGCATGTTGTGTTACCCAATGGAAGATAGAAGGTACTTTGGTAGTTGAGCATGTTGTGTTACCCAATGGAAGATAGAAGGTACTTTGGTAGTTGAGCATGTTATGTTTCCCAAAGTAATAGTAGTTGAGCATGTTGTTTTACCCAATGGAAGATAGAAGTTACTTTGGTAGTTGAGCATGTTGTGTTACCCAATGGGAGATAGAAGGTAATTTGGTAGTTGAGCATGTTATGTTACCCAATGGAAGATAGAAGGTAATTTGGTAGTTGAGCATGTTGTTTTACCCAAGGGAAGATAGAAGGTACTTTGGTAGTTGAGCATGTTGTGTTACCCAATGGGAGATAGAAGGTAATTTGGTAGTTGATCATGTTATGTTACCCAATGGAAGATAGAAGGTAATTTGGTAGTTGAGCATGTTATGTTACCCAAAGTAATAGTAGTTGAGCATGTTGTTTTACCCAAGGGAAGATAGAGGGTACTTGAGTGTGAGTGTGTTGCATTGGAAAACCTGGTCTGCAGAAAAATGGATCATTTTGATGAGTATGACCTGTAAAATATCATGGATCTTGCCGTTTTTTGTTATGTTTTTTTCAGTTTAATTTGAAATGTACCCCAAGCATAATCAATGATTTTTTTATACCTTGTTTACCAGCCTAACCCATTATCCATTATGAAAAGTTGGTTTGTGCATTTTACACTTTTTTATTATTTTGTTCCATTATAAAACCAATTTATATAATCCAGAGATGTAATATTTTAGTTATATTTTATACCTAACATCCTCAATATCTTGTTGTTTTATCCCTCGTTTTGATGTTTGCTCCTCACACAGGCTACCATTATTACTACAGTACTGATGGTATAGGTATAACAGAGGACTGCTCACAAGTCATGGTGATATATAACCATGGACTGCAATTTAGTAATGCAGCTGGAATGAATGTCAGAATAGGATATTAAACGTTGTTATCAATTATGAATGACTTTGAGTTATCTTTTCTTGTTTGAGTTATCTGCCCTTGCCCCTCAATAGATTGTTACAGCTTGAACATTTACTGTAAAGTTTGAAATTAACTTGGGCCCTTTTCGTTTTAAAAAAAACAGTTGAACCAGTCGGACCACAGTTGTTCGTTTATTAAATTAAGGTCAGACCTAGTAATCTGATGCTGCCTTCAGGCGAGCTTTGACAATGCCTTGCAAGGCCTGCATAAAACATGAATGTTACATTTAACAAGAATTCCACGGAAGTGGATGTGTCGCCTGCGCAGGAAGCTGGGAGATGGTGATTAGCACTGCATGAAGTTTGAGTTTGATCGGCCCAAGGAAACTCAAGTTATCACACGAAAACAGATTTTCTATTTATAGTAACAGTGACCTTGACCTTTGACCTTCGGACCTGAAAAGCAATCCCAAGCAAGCGCTTTTGGTAAGGAAGCACTGCATGAAGTTTGAGTTTGATCGGCCCAAGGAAACACAATTTATCACACGAAAAACCTCTGTGCTGACGACGACGCCGACATAGCAATACGTATGTGTCACCGGCTTTTCGCAGGCGACACAAAAACGGACAAACCGGTTGTTCCGCATTTTTGCTTGAATAATTTTACATAATAATTATAGTGTGGACATTTTTCAGTTGGTTACACTTCAGAATATTACATAGTGTACTTTCAGTTACATCAGTGTGTTACATAGGGTGTTAGCATATTACTCTGTGCACTGTCGGTATATTAAACAATGTGCTTAAAAAGTATTTTGGCATATTACATACCAGTGGTGTATCAACATATTACATACAGTGTTTCGGTATGTTACACAATATATTACATCGTGTATTACAAATGAAGCGGAACTGGACAAAGTCGATTGTCGGTAGAGCGTCCGTCTAGATTTCAGAAGGTCCCGGGTTCGAACCCCGTTCTGGCCTTGCATTTTTCCTCTCCTGTTTCATGAGTTAAGGTGTATTACATAGCGAGTGTAGAGGTCCCAAGTTCAAATCCTAGTCAGGCATGTCTCTTATTGTTACAGTATTGCTGAAACCCAACCTGGGTTCTAAGTAGTGTGTGCTGAAACCCAACCAGGGTTCTACATAGTGTGTGCTAAAACCCAACCGCTGTTCTAAGTAGTGTGTGCTGAAACCCAACCGCTGTTCTAAGTAGTGTGTGCTGAAACCCAACCGCTGTTCTAAGTAGTGTGTGCTGAAACCCAACCGCTGTTCTAAGTAGTGTGTGCTGAAACCCAACCGCTGTTCTAAGAAGTGTGTGCTGAAACCCAACCGCTGTTCTAAGTAGTGTGTGCTGAAACCCAACCGCTGTTCTAAGTAGTGTGTGCTGAAACCCAACCGCTGTTCTAAGTAGTGTGTGCTGAAACCCAACCGCTGTTCTAAGTAGTGTGTGCTGAAACCCAACCGCTGTTCTAAGTAGTGTGTGCTGAAACCCAACCGCTGTTCTAAGTAGTGTGTGCTGAAACCCAACCGCTGTTCTAAGTAGTGTGTGCTGAAACCCAACCGCTGTTCTAAGTAGTGTGTGCTGAAACCCAACCGTTGTTCTAAGTAGTGTGCATGCTTGGCAAGGGGAACACTAAAACCTGGGTTGTACATGTACTATTGCCTATTGTCTTCAGAGATGAAGAATAAGGGAAATGAGAAGAGATACACTGTAGGTAGCAGGGCTGGTTATTACTGGTAAACAAGTAACTCAATTAGTTAAAGAATGTTTGTCAAAGAGTTCAAGTTCAAAGGATCAACTCCTGGTCTGTCAATGTCAAAGAGTTCAAAGTTCAAAGGATCAACTCCTGGCCTGTCAATGTCAAAGAGTTCAAAGTTCAAAGGATCAACTCCTGGTCTGTCAATTTCTCTATCCTGTTACTTGTGTATATTGCAGATTGGGGAAAATTCCACCCTCAATGTGTAAAACACTCGGCAAGTGCTAGGGTTTTTCTCCAACTGATCACCTTGGCAAAGACTTGCATGTTACTTCTTGGCCAACTGACAACCCCTAGGTGGGATATCCTTATCTTACACACATTATCCTTACACCTCTTGCATAAGACATTTCTGACATACAGGTACCAAGACTACCTATAAATCACCAAGGAAACACATCAACACCTGAAGTTTGCTTAATAGTTTTAATAACAAATTAAAGTGATACTGTTACTAGCTACACAGTACTAGTGTGTAAAATAACAGCATAAAGACTAAGTAATGTACTTTTAGTACATTAACATTCTAACTGTCAAATACATCCACATAAATTATACACAATATCAACCAATCATGGGGTGCTTGCACCAAAGTCTGAAAATTATGTCTGATGTATCGGTATACTGTATTTGGTGATTAATATACATTGTTCCGAGTTTAATTTCAACCTAATCTTTGTTTATCATGACCTTTATGAAATCTATGCGCTCAATATGGAGTAATATTTTGATAGATGTGAAATGATACTTATTTATTACAAATACATAACTCAAATTTAATAAATAAGATGAAAAATGTTTGAAAATGAGATGAGTAGCAGTTAAATACAGCAATAGTCTTCAGATGACAATATAACAAAGCATACATAGATATGATTGTACACAGTTTTCTTCAAATTGTGAATAACATAAGCATGTGTAGAGATTGAAATTTTAAACTTCAAACTTCTCATATCAAATCAAAAACAATCAAACAGCTGCTAAAATGCCTAATACATGTACATTTATGAAAATAATGTAATAAGCAGAACATGTAGAAATATTTTGATAATCTGTTCTATGGAATTTGATGAGGATTAAACATTGTCAAACACCTTATATCAGCATAAATATATTTGAACATTGTTCAATGTTGATTGTGCATGAACAGTTCATCAATAACGTAAATTATTGTGAATCTTAAATACTTGGTCCCATATCATACTTTGCCAATACCCGTTAATTAAAATTAAATAAAACAGCATATAAAGATATTATGTGACTACACCAGTTCAATCTATATAGGCTTAATAGAGACTTGTGTCAAGGAAGTAGCCGTATGCGTCAGCCAGAAGTCAACCTAATATCTTATTAATATCATTTCATTTTTTTCTTGCAAGGCAAATTTCAAGATACATTGTTAATTCTCTCTGGTCATGCTGAACACTGGGGGTTGAGAAACCATTCAGTTGGGGCCTATAAGATCATGTCCGACATTATAGGATGAACTTACTGTCAGGGATTGGTTGGCATCACATATTGTGGGACATCCTTAATGTAGGTGTCATATATTACATTCTGCCCTTAATGTCGGTGACAGATACCATATAGGTTTCCTTAACGTCAGAGGCTGGTGTTGGACTTAATAGGCCGTCCTTAACGTAAGTGTTTGATATTATAAGATGTATGTCCTTAATTTCAGAGGTTTGTGTTTGACTTTGCAAGACATCTTTACTCAGTAATGTTAGGTCGGTGTTAGATTTAATAGAATATCTGTAACGTTAGGTCAGAGTTTGACATAATAGCACATCCTTCGTGTCAGAGATTGGAGGATGTTATAGAATGTCCGTAACATTAGGTCAGTGTAAGACATTATAGCACATCCTTCTTGTCAGAGGTTGGAGGATGCTATAGAATGTCCGTAACGTTAGGTCGGTGTAAGACATTATAGCACATCCTTAATGTCAGAGATTAGTGGACGTTACAGGATGTTTGTAATGTCAGGGTCTGGTAAAGGCAGCTCTCATAAGAAGTCGACAATAGTAATTTATTCTGTGGACTCGTATTTATATAGAAGCAAGTGAAAATTGCAAAGCTAGGTTCACAAAGCTAACAGTAATATGTGTAGTATAGCAAGGAATAGTAAGATACTTGTAAGCATTATAATGTACACTAAACATCAGGTATTGATCACATCAATCCACAACTTCCCCAGACCCACCACACCATTTATATACTCCAGTCAACGTACTACAGAAGATTCTTCTCTCAACTTCCCTGGTACATACATAGCTATGTAGATTTTGAATCATTTACAATTTTTTTCTGTAGTTTTTACAATTTTACTTGCACATGTACATTTCCCAAATCATTTAAAATTATGTTAATATCACAATTATGCAATCCAAAGTATGTTTGATATTTGACAAAAACTGTCTCACTTTTCACCAACAAACAAAATTTACATTCTTCGATGCTATAGATAAACACGTTATCCTTCCAAGAAGATCACCATCAGGTACACAGTTATTTGTTTAAGATTCTTATTTGGAATTTATTCTGACTCCGAATTTCTTATTTAAGAAAATGAGAAATACAAAATGTTGGAAAAATCTCTAAATATGACCCAATTTCTTATTAGGGATAACTAGATATAGAAAATATCAGACAACTTTCTGATCTGATATGAAATGTACGGTTGAAAACTAACAATCAAAATATTTCAATTTTTTTTTTAACTTTGAATTGTAGTACAGTAAAGATACAAAAAGACAAAAACTACTTGTAGTACTTGTAATACAGATTACAATATTTGGTAGTACTTGTAATCTACTTATATCACTTTAATAATATAAAATTGTAGGGAGAAAAAAATGCAAAATATTTTGCAAAATTTAATGAGAAAAAATATCTATCAACAAGGATATTTTTTAAAGTACTGGAAAACTAAAATGCCCAAGTGTAATGTAATAGGAACACGAAAACAGCTCACAATAGTACTACGGATTTCACAACTGACACGGTAAGTCATGGAATAAATATATATATATATATAATAGAGCCATAAGAATGGTTAAAATATACATTATATACATATAATGTTTAACATTGCAGTGCATAAGTAATAATATCACAGATTAGTTTTACAATAAAACAAGTCAAGATGAGGATAATCATTTAAATTTGTGATAACACTTTTGACCCCAGTTTCACAAATATTTCTCAACTTTAAAAGAAATTCCTTAAGTTTTTCCATAAGCGTTAATGGTGTGAAGGAAAAACCTTGAGTGGATCAAATATACAGGTGATCAATAGTATCTACCTTCTTAATCTACATTATAATAACGTACATGTTCTCAAAATTTTATCTCTGTGTTTCAATTTCATTGATTTGAAAATTTGGTAGTAGAATATTTCTTTTTTTGCCAGAAATGAAAAATATGTAATGTATTTCTTCATCAGTAACAACTGTAGTAAAAAGAATAGGTTTAATTCTTTCTTGTCTACAAGTCCACTAATCACTAGTGTATGTTTGATTATTTAATTAAAACTCTTTTCAATAGATTAATTTTGTGTAGTGATATATAGAACAAAGTTTGAATAATTAAATATTAAAATATCATTAAACTGTGGAATAAAATTGCTAAATAAGCTTGATAACAAAACTGTGATCATAGACACACCTAACAGTAGTTTGTATTGGCGAGTACAACCTGATCTCGGTCGAACAACACATAATAAATATATTATTAATATCACATGATAGCAAGCTTCCACACAACAGACAACATTTATAGAGGGGTGTATTTCATTGAAGGCATTAACAGCCAGCTGAGCTGGGACAACATATCAAATCATTGACATCGTATCTACTGTAGCATAACCCTTTAATATAAATCTTTACATAGTGGCATCACAGTTAACTCTACATAATGTCACAACAGCTAGAATTACAGAACATAACAGCTACAATTACACAAAACAACAGCTAGGATCACAGAACACAACAGCTAGGATCACAGAAAACTCTATCTAGAATTACAGAAAACAACAGCTTAAGACTTACAGAACACAACAGCTAAATTACAGAACACAACAGCCAGAATTACAGAACACAACAGCCAGAATTACTGAACACAACAGCTAGGATCACAGAAAACAACAGCTAGAATTACAGTCCTGGGCAAGAGGTAACTTAAGAAGCACTAACCTAAATCTAACCCTCACTTACATGTATCTATCGTGTTTCTAACTATCACTTACCTAACTCCTAGTTGATAGTGATGGTACATACTGTCTAACACGAAATCTTTGCCAGTAAATGTTATGATGTAGTTCTCTTACAGTTTTACACATTCACACTTTTTTACAGATACCTTGTACTCACTTTAACAGCCTAGTGTAGTGTGGACTTAAATTGGTAAAGTTGTATAAATATTAAAGTTACAAATATCTATGGTTCCAATTTATATTAAACAAGGTTACCGCGAGCGGTATATAATACGCCCGTCACACATTGAATGAGCAGTTGTTTGTATGATTGAAATATATGAAGTATTTGTGAGTAATTGATATTAAAAGAGAAATCATTCAACATAACTGGTAGATCAATGAGTGCAATTCAACATCATGGAACACATGCATCGCATTAATGAAACCAAGGGGAATAACTCCAATAATTACGGTCGGATAATGGCGGTTATCGAACTTGTCCGAGGTTTCATGGTAATTAACCTTGTTGTGAAGTTTGAAGTTAATCCGTTAATAATTACTTGAGATATCGAGCGGACACTGTTTCGGCAAGTCCATAAAGGGGCATAACTCCACAAATTATGGTCGGATAATGGCGGTTATCGAACTTGTCCGAGCTTTCATGGTAATTAACCTTGTGGTGACGTTTGAAGTTAATCCGTTAATAATTACTTGAGATATCGAGCGGACATCGTTCGCATGCCCACCCGCCCGCGTGATAACATAATACGTCCCCGTCTTCGACGGGCGTATAAAAATCAAGATACCTAGTACAGGTTCATAATAATTTTATAGAAACTTTACATATTTTCTTGCTAATACACGTAATTTCAACAGTATGAATTTTGTTATTTGTGTACAATCTACTGGTTATAACATGCTATAAGCAAGATATTTCAGTAAATGTTCGCATAAACCAAAGAGTCCCTAATAATTTTTATTTATAATATAAAGATGTATTTCATCCTGTCAAAAGAGAGGTTTTGCAGGAAGTTATATAAATATAATTCTGATTTGGAATTTTGCATAGTAATATGTATAATTCTATTTTTTGATAGGTTATTTTAATTGATTTTTCTAACCCTGAAATAAGTAATGAAAAATTGTGTCCTATTCCTTAGCACATGGGGCATGTGTTATGCGCTAGATTGCATAATTTATTTGCGGCTCAAGTGATACTCTTTAATGTTAAAATGTTAATCTTGCACGCAAAAAATGTACAAAATGACTGGTATGTTCATGTCACTACATTATACTTAAAGATACTATGATTGTTAAAAGCGATGTGAAGTGTACCGTACTTATCCAATACATGTACACAATTAATGTAACCAGTCGTTCTATAGGAATGTAGACTTGACATCTAACAGCGAGTACTAATAGCACATCACACATATATGATAGGCATACAACAACCTATGTCACATTAGTATGATACCTGTACAACTCTGGAACATCACAAAACAGTAGGTGTACAAAGTACTACAATGTGTAATAATCTCATGAAATTTGTAGCACGTCAGACACTCTGTACATTATCTATCTCACGGTCACACAAAGATGTCTACATTTATACAATATTTCAGCACGCCTGGAGTCAGTGAAATCTTCATTTTTCTATTTTTCATGCCCAGGTAGGGTAATCCTGAGTCAATCACAACCAAATATTGTTACAATTTGAAGTCACTTTAAACCATTTTGGAACAAAGTGACCGAAAACGTGTCATCATCCAAGGTCAAGCTGACATTACACTGTAACCAGGTCAAGCTGACCTTACACTTAACCAGGTCAAGCTGACCTTTTACTGTAACCAGGTTGACTGACCTTACACTGTAACCCGATTTAAGCTGACCTTACACTGTAACCAGGTCAAGCTGACCTTACACTGTAACAAGGTCAAGCTGACCTTACACTGTAACCAGGTCAAGCTGACCTTACACTGTAACCAGGTCAAGCTGACCTTACACTGTTACCAGGTCAAGCTGACCTTACACTGTTACCAGGTAAAGCTGACCTTACACTGTAACCAGGTCAAGCTGACCTACACAAGCTTCCTGTATGGGGTGTATGTCCTTCACGAATGACAACAATTTCATTTCAAGTTTATTACACAATCAATTATGATTTCTGATCAAATGGAATGTGACATAAATTCTGGGTTAGATGTTCATGAAAACAAAATTTCACAAATATCGTCAGTATTGCTTCACTAAAGGGATATAGCGAAGGAGTTACTATGTATATAAAGTTATAAATAATCACGCTCCTAAATGCCTTGTTATACATCATCAAATATCCCCTTTGGAGGACGCGAGAATGACCTCTGTGAGCCGAACCGACTCGAATGTCCTGCAGCCTGGGACTGGTAGGACTGGTGCGTTTGGTTGTTGCCCCGCCAATCATCCAGTACATCAGTTGTCTCCCCTGTATAGTCAATCGGCTCAGCCTGACGCAGGAGTTCTGTGCGATCATTCTCATCCGGGCTTCTTGGGACAGTCTGTTTAGCTACAAATCAAAACAGGATTGATGGATAAGATATGAACTCAATAGGTACTTAGTTAAGGTATCATTGAACATATAAATCATTGTTAATAATGCTTTCATTTCCAAACTATTCTCAGAAACATTTTAAATGACATTCTCCTATTGTGAACAACATGTGCTTCTTCAACCCTGGAATTTTAAATTATTCATATATCATTAGTTCAATTCACTACTATACATGAACAAGAAATATATTCTGTTATGGGCAAACAAATATTTCCATAAAAGCATTTATTTTTTATTTTTAATTTCAACATCAGAGACATAATCTCCAGAGTAGCAGACAGATAGACAGTGTGGTTACTGTTGGGTGCCCACATCTCTAATGCAGGGCCCCTAGTTATAATTTTGGTAAAAAGAAATTCTCACTGACAAATGCTCAATATCATACTTTACAAGTCCTTTGGAGAACAAATATGGAAATTAAAGTTTTCAAACACAATAATTTTCAGTGAGCGATGCTATGCATGAGGACACAAGTACAAACTAGCTTACTATTAAAGAAACCAGATATATAATAAATACAAATAAGTTTCTTTGTGGAAACGAAGATAGTCTGACAGTGATAAGTGTCCTGTTTGTCTCCACAAGGCTGAGTCTATTATTTGTATGGTATGTTTAAATGTGGTTGTGTTAACATCTGATTCCAATGTCAATTTTAAGAACTTGTTTCAAGGAAAATTTGATGGGCAGACGCCGCTGCACTGTTGATTAAGTACAAAGGCTCTTTGATTGCACAAGATGAGTTTAAAGAGTGAGAACATGTTGTTGTTTTATACCATTTTCACAAAGCCAACATTTTCACTTTCATATTCTAAAATTGATTCACATTAATTATTAGGGCAATTTGTTCGATTTTTTCACTGTGGTATGCTCATATTACTTCACATTAATATAACAATTTGTTGGAGTAAGTTAGGTATAAATCACGTATACAGATATACAGGTGTCTAGGTATGCACAAAATAAGAAAACCTCAAATCAACAAATGTGTGTGAAGCTTTAATTTACTCCAAAGTTTCTACGTGAAAACAGCTGATCTATGAGAAAAAGTGCAAGAAAAGGCAAACTGTGGAAGAGAGTGTAGATAATGGAAAACAAGGACAGGTTTATACACAAAGTACACTGGTATTGTCAGTGTACCATTTACTGGGAGAAGCTGAGGAACTCTGGGTAATTATATATATATATATAATTGGCTGGTTATATGTAATGAGTACACAGGGCTGTCATACTAAACAATGGAAATTGACTAATATACTTATTTGTAATTCTATTTCCACATTATCAAACTTTTGTTTACGATTCTCATAATCTGATATCAAATATATAGATCCTTGCTTATACAAATATTGACAATTGATTTGCGAGTTACTTAAGTAATATTTTTAAAAAAAATACACATATTTTCCAGAAATAATGTAAAAGTATCTTCAGGTGTCCTTATGGAATTTGATTCATGTCATTGTCAAAACAACGTGTCGTATGGAATCTCAAAGACATCGTTACATGCTGACTACAGATTGAATATTTTGATAATTCAGTAGGATGGAAAAGTGACAGAAACTTTTATATATAGATACATGTATGTATTGGCTATATTTCGATTGTAATATTTTTGAAATTCTATACCTAGAGACTTTGAAGCTAGGCTATTACCTGAAAACACTCATCATTCTTAATTTGCTACACTAAGCATGTTAGAAGCAGGAAAAAGGAATTAGCTTGGGAATAAATCTGTGTGATATAAAATTGAGATTAATATTAGTATATTTACGGGTTCAGATGTGAACAGGTCCCTAATATAATAAAGCTGTGAGATATATACTGTCTTTTGTTGATATTGAAGGCAAAGAGTTTCAATGTGTAAAGCTTGGGATATTGCATTTGTCCACAAACCTTCCATTTCCAAATCTAGATTTAAAATTTCCACATCTAGATCTAAAATTAAAACAAGACACGTTAGTTGTAGCTCAACCTTTCATCATATTAAAATTATATGTATGTGGGTGGGGGTGGGTTATACTGTGTGGCGGATCATGCTTAAAATACCATTTAGCCCACTTTGTTTTCATAACATAGAACATAGTCAAACCAGTTATCAAGCACCGAAGAAAATTCAATATGTAATAATTTAATTCAATGTAAGAGAGATATTATCCCAACATTGAAAACATAGATGAGAGATTCAAGGGGGAGCTAAGTCACAGCATGGTCAACAGAATGAGAGTAGGTAGGAATAAAGGTCACCCCAATGTGACCAGGTAATTAGTCATTTTCCTTATAAGGGGATTGAATCTGAGGATAGTTCAATTCCAAAAAAAAAAGATAGTGGTTTTTTTTACGAATTTTTCAATGAAGAGTGAATACTTTTATTATTTTGCTTCTCAATAAAATATCTGAGTATAATTGATTAATGCTTACAACATTTATACATTTGATACCAAATACAAGGTAACTTAACCATACCATAGTCATAAATGCCAACACACGCAGATATTTTATGTTCCAACTTTGCTTGTAAGCATCGACCTTGACCTTCAACCAAAGTCCCTCCCGACTTTAAGTTTATTATTATTTTATGACAGAATGATGATGCTTGTAAAGGACACTCCAATGTCAATGATGGGGAATAAAACGAACAAATTAAGTTACTATGGCAACACAATGAAAAGCTAAGCATGCTGTGATTAAGACTACCAAAAAAGCCAATCAACTTAAGTATTAGTGAAAGATTAATGAAATCAATAATTCCATCAAAACACTCCCTCCCTCTTACGTACCTTCATCCTTTTCTGGAACAGTTACTGAAATTTTTATAATTTGTTTCGGATTTTTCTCTTTTGAATTGAAGTAGCACTTGGTGATAATATTGTTATGTGAAGTTAGAGGTCATGCAAATGTTTATATCAAACCTTAAGTAAGATCAGGTATAGCTAAGCCAAGAGAATCTTAGTGGACAGGTAAGTGAATGAGAAGTTGTCAAATTATGTCATACAATATAATGATAGTAGAATGTTAAATAAAGTAAAGAAAGATTCCTTAAGAACCAACATCCAATAAGATGACATGTATCATCTCTATATATAGTTAGTAGAATGGTCACATTTCATCTACCTGTATATGTACCTACAACAGGTGTGGCAAAAGTTCACCTGTTACTGTACTTAGAAAATGAAAGTATACATCCGCACTAGGAACTTAAAAATCATTCCAAACAAAAACAAAACAATCACAATCTGACAAATGAATTAAAAACAAAATATCTACATGTAAATATATACAAATGCAGTCACATGACACCTACACCATTCCAATCCTGTCAGAATCCCTGTAATATCATACCTCGTCGTGAGTATCCATCCTGTTCCACTCCGTTACCACGTGGCGTTGCACGATCACTGGACCCGTCGCCAAACTTTTCTGTCCACTGGCGCCGCCTAGCTTCTCCTTCAGCCTTTCTTTCTACACGCCGACGTTCTGTACAGACATAAATAATCAACTTCTATCTTTGTACAGCAACAACATTCAATAATGTACATTTTAGTCCAGGCTTCCAAGAACGATACCTAAAAGTCACCCCTTTATAATCAGGGCTGCTTTCATTAATTGCGATCCAAACGGTTGAACCGGTTGAACCAGAGTTGTTCGTTTATGAAATAAGGTCAGACCTAGTAATCTGATGCTGCTTTCATGCGAGCCTTGACAAAGCCTTGCAAGGCCTGCATAAACTTTTGCAGGTCCGCCAGGATCTATACCAAAAATTTCACATTTAAAAACAGACGAACCGGTTGTTCCGCATAAACGAACAGTTCCCAGGGTTATTCCGGATTTTAATATATACCTATATAAGGAAGTAGAGGGATGTAATGGGGCACTCTTTCAACTGACAACATAAAAGTGGTAGGGTTTAAAATAATTGTAAAAATTTGCTAAGTGGGCCTGGGGGAAAATATTGGGTTGTAAAAGAACATGGAGGCTATCTTACCTCTTCGAATGATCTCACGTCCCTCATCTACAAATTCCTGTGTCATGTCGTCGTCCCCGATGAACTGTGAGAACCCGAGGAACTGTAAGATGCGTGATCCCAGACTGAAGTATGTACAGATACACAGCAATACGATGGCGATGGGGAAATAGATGTTGAATCCGTCCGACACGAACGATATCACATCCATATGTCCCATGATCTGAAAACATAATGATACCATTCATACAACAAGCAAAGGTACCGCAGTTGAAAACAGAATTTGAGCCGTAATATCACAACTCATCTAACGAATGCTCAAAACTAGGACAGAGTGTTTTCCAAAGTTCCATTCTTTATTAGGCGGCTGAATGATTTCTGGATATTCTTTGGAAGTGCAATGATGATACGGAGTCCTCTTAGTTAAAGCTTATAATATATTAAATATATGTTAAATAATTATGTATTGTATGTGCTATCCAGTGTCAGAGTTACAATTGAACAATACATTTAACAAACTTTAAGTTGTCGTTAGACAAGTTTTCCTAGTCCTCCAATAGTCCTTATATGATCATACAGCATTTTATGATACATTACATGTACCTGGGTTGGTAGAATTATCAGGCAGCCTTTATCAGAGTGTGACAGTGCCTAGGGTCATCCCAAGGGTATCAATGTCACCCGAGGCTAACTATGGTGTTGACTAATGATAATGATAAATCCGTACCCACTCCCGAGGGCAAAAATGGCGCAAATTACACAGCAGCAAAAAAATCCCGGTATTCAGTATATGAACTGGTAGGCACAGAATGAGGATATAATCATATTTGAGAGAAAAAAGTTGAAAAATTCTTGTAAACAGTCGAAATATTTATAAAAAGAACAGTAAGTTATGTCAAGGACCTTCTCTGTGGAATAACATAAGAACTAACGCCTGTGACTTGTAACAAGGCCGTACCTCAGTATAGGACGTCTCCTCCAGGTTGGCTCTATAGGTGATGTGACTGTCCAGGTGAATGAGACCAAGGAAGTTGAGACACAACGGAGGTGTGAGTCGACACAGCATCCTATCATCACAACACTCACCGTTAGTCAAACATTTAAACAGTGTTAATCCACCAAATGATTTATTCTAGCTATATACAAAATAATCTAGACAACCAAGTTTCCGTTGTTCATGGATAAGTACATTTTCTTTTGCTGCTTCAAGCAATCAGTTTTACATACATATGACTGGTATCTCAAGAATCGTCAACCCTTCTCAGTTCAACATCTATATAGCTACTTTGAATAATGTTATTTAACCTGTACAAAATTTTAATTTAGCAGTTCTTTTTTAAAATCATTTATTTACAAGAATCACTAAATTGCAGAAGGAATGACCACATCCATGTGCTACATTGCACCTTCATATATATATTATATTATATTATACATGAGATATTTTTAGATACAATCATGTTTGCCAATTTACAAAATACATCACAAAATATAACATAGGTAACTTGTGTGAATAAAATGTGGAAATTTCATGTAATTTTTTTTATAAATTTTTCAAAGAGATCAAACTTTGCTGTATGCTTGTTCGTCGTCTTGTGAGGATTTAATGATAGCGTTATGTTTATAAGGCAACAGATCAGGGTGTGGTGAAGGTCTGGTTCGTAAACTTACATGCCAGTAAACACCAGACTGTACTCGTCAGTCTGGTGATGAGGGGCTATGTAGTAAAAGTTCAGGATACGGATCTGGAACACGCTGTAGTACGCACAGAAACACAAGTACGCTATCGTAATGATAGACGCTAACTGAAATGGAAAACAAAATATCAAGAATGACAAAAATTCTTGTTTCTAAAATATAATCTCTTCAACAGAAAACATATTTTTTTTTAAACCAAGAAATTTTCATTTTTTTTTTTTTATAGAAATCAAAAGGTTAAATGAGATGAAATTTAAATATATAGAAATTTTGCTTTCATTAATTTTGTTGATGGTTGTGCTTATGTGATATTATAGAAGTGGCAAGATAAGTTAATCATGGAACATGTATAGTTTGACTGCTCATCAACACAATAAGGTCATTTAGAGCTATTACACATAGCAGCAGAAGTGAAATAACAGCATTAAAATTAGCTATGGCACAGTTTCAAACTCACCTCTATATATACATAATCATAATTCTGTTTGGCAAGATCTATGAAGACAGCAAACAGGGACAAGACAGGCTCCTTGATGAAGAAGAGACACTCGGACCAGACAACCATGAACGACAGAACTGTGAGGAGCACGGCCAGGATCCGGCGGAACCATGGCCGCAGCAGACACTTCCAGTACCACTCTGGTAAAACATAAACAAAACAAATGGTCAGATCAAAATACACAGCGGAACCATGGTCGCAGCAGATACTTCCAATACCACTCAGGTAAAACATAAACACAACAAATGGTCAGATCAAAATACACAGCGGAACCATGGCCGCAGCAGACACTTCCAGTACCACTCTGGTAAAACATAAACACAACAAATGGTCAGATCAAAATACACAGCGGAACCATGGCCGCAGCAGATACTTCCAGTACCACTCAGGTAAAACATAAACACAACAAATGGTCAGATCAAAATACACAGCGGAACCATGGTCGCAGCAGATACTTCCAATACCACTCAGGTAAAACATAAACACAACAAATGGTCAGATCAAAATACACAGCGGAACCATGGCCGCAGCAGACACTTCCAGTACCACTCTGGTAAAACATAAACACAACAAATGGTCAGATCAAAATACACAGCGGAACCATGGCCGCAGCAGATACTTCCAGTACCACTCAGGTAAAACATAAACACAACAAATGGTCAGATCAAAATACACAGCGGAACCATGGTCGCAGCAGATACTTCCAATACCACTCAGGTAAAACATAAACACAACAAATGGTCAGATCAAAATACACAGCGGAACCATGGCCGCAGCAGACACTTCCAGTACCACTCTGGTAAAACATAAACACAACAAATGGTCAGATCAAAATACACAGCGGAACCATGGCCGCAGCAGATACTTCCAGTACCACTCAGGTAAAACATAAACACAACAAATGGTCAGATCAAAATACACAGCGGAACCATGGTCGCAGCAGATACTTCCAATACCACTCAGGTAAAACATAAACACAACAAATGGTCAGATCAAAATACACAGCGGAACCATGGCCGCAGCAGACACTTCCAGTACCACTCTGGTAAAACATTAACACAACAATATGGTCAGATCAAAATACACAGCGGAACCATGGCCGCAGCAGATATACCAGTACCACTCTGGATAAACACAACAAATGGTCAGATAAAAAATACACAGCGGAACCATGGCCACAGCAGACACTTCCAGTACCACTCTGGTAAAACATAAACACAACAAATGGTCAGATCAAAATACACAGCGGAACCATGGCCGCAGCAGATATACCAGTACCACTCTGGATAAACACAACAAATGGTCAGATAAAAAATACACAGCGGAACCATGGCCACAGCAGACACTTCCAGTACCACTCTGGTAAAACATAAACACAACAAATGGTCAGATCAAAATACACAGCGGAACCATGGCCGCAGCAGATATACCAGTACCACTCTGGATAAACACAACAAATGGTCAGATAAAAAATACACAGCGGAACCATGGCCACAGCAGACACTTCCAGTACCACTCTGGTAAAACATAAACACAACAAATGGTCAGATCAAAATACACAGCGGAACCATGGTCGCAGCAGATATACCAGTACCACTCTGGATAAACACAACAAATGGTCAGATCAAAATACACAGCGGAACCATGGTCGCAGCAGATATACCAGTACCACTCTGGATAAACACAACAAATGGTCAGATCAAAATACACAGCGGAACCATGGTCGCAGCAGATATACCAGTACCACTCTGGATAAACACAACAAATGGTCAGATCAAAATACACAGCGGAACCATGGTCGCAGCAGATATACCAGTACCACTCTGGATAAACACAACAAATGGTCAGATCAAAAATACACTTAATCATATTGATTTCTTGTAAATTGTTTTTCATTTATGTAGGTCACATAAATTTAACGACCCACTCGAATTAATATAAGTGTTATTTTATTGTAAGATTACATCATTTACCAGCCCTAAAACAATCCATGAGGAATTATATCACAGAACACTGTCCTTCTATAAATATTCACTCTATAGTTAAACCTAGATATAATGCCCTTCATTACTTCCGCCTTTTTAATCCGAAAGCCCTACACAACACCTAAACTTTGCTATACAAATGGTGACAGTATAATGAGGTGTTTCCTGAATTCTCTAAATCAGTATTATACAGCATGTGAATGCATCCACACAAGCCTGATGGATTACTGTATATAATCATATACTTGTCAGTGATATGGGTTGTTTTGCAGGTGTGATACTGCCAGTAACTGCTAGTACGGCCATATCCTGACCCAATCCATATCTGCCCAGCTCACGCCATATCTGCACGGCATGCGCCATATCCGTACAGCATAAGCCATATCCTTTAAATTAACTTCTGGTTGAAACACTTTTCAGAAAAATCACACCTCAAACTGGTAGTGTACATACTGTGTATCTGTCTGTGTATGCTATTCTGTTCATGGTGTTTTATTTAAGGTAGAATGTGATTGTAGTTAAGCTCAAGAAATATCAATTTTCTGCCAGTTTTATGTGCTATTGCTTATACTTTAGATGTTATAGAGCAGTATACGATAAGAAAGGTTACCATATAACCTCTAATTACTAGACTAGTGTGGTCCTGGATCCTTGTGTTACTACCTACCTACAGTGGGAGTGTAGACACTGCTCCACAGACCACTAGTTGTGCGCCCATTAGAGCTGAGGAAGATGCGGTCAGTCTTGCCCTCATTACTAGAGATGTTCTCCAGCTCGTAAGCCTTAGACATAAGGTTGTTCCACTGAGCCTGTGTACGATGGTTTGTCTGGGTTGCCTGGATCACATGCTTGTGGAGCCGCACCAGCGTTTTCTCACTTGGCACATCCTGTGGCTTGTTGAAATCCTCGTAGTCATCATTGTTCGAGCATACATTCTGTCTGAGGGAATCTGGACACTGGAAAAACACATTGATGTTAAAGAAAAATGAACTGCATTGAAACACATTGACAATAAAACTGCCTCTATGTTGTTTGCTGTAAGCAATACGGGTATTCTAAATCACCAGTAGATATTTTAGAAATCATAATATCTAGGAATAATAATACAGTTGGTAATACCTGGGTAAATGCAAATTTACATCATTCTTTTGTTAACTTGTTTATGTGTGTCAATTCAGTATGAAATTTTCACTATCGTATTGATTTTGTGTTTTTGTCTGTAAATGTTGCTTGTTAATAAGTGTTGAATTGGCTAAATCACCTTACTATCGAAATAACAATATACGCAGAATTTAAATTGAGGATATACAGTCACATATGACTGTTTACAATATATATCCAATAGTTTGAGCTTTTCTATCTACAAGCTTCAAGAGTGGAATATATCTGAGAACAAACTCACAAGGTAAGTTATAAATGTAAAATTATCACTATCTGGTTTATCACACAACCCATTGATCAAAACAACAAAAATTAAAGTACCAAGCACATCCTTTTGCTTCAGGAGAAAATCTGATGTATGGTGTAATATCATAATGAAAGTGTGTTTGCAAAACTGTGACCTCATGCTGCATGATGTCATTATATTATAATTACTCACCGTGAAATTTTCACAAAAATAATTTAGGAGGTAAAAGTGGTGGAATATAGCAGTGAACAGTTATGGAATCAATAGTGTTAATTATCAAAAGTAACGATCAAATTTGAAACTCGGAAAACTATGCAGAACATATAAAGAGCCGTCAAAGATCTACCACCAAAACCCAAACCTTAAATTACATAATACAACCTACATACGTGAGCACATAACGGACAGATTTATGTATTCTTCAAAAATTGTGTACCCTTTAACTTGAGAATCAGTGGAACTGGCAGACGATCACCAAATCATGCTCTACTAGGAAAAACAAAAGTTGGGTCAATCTACACAGGGAACTATGACAGACAGGAGTTTTATTCACGTCTACTTTATACTCCATATCTAGTAGAGCAAGAGTTGCAGTTCTTGTGCATAGCACACTGTGACTAACTTATCATGTGAAAGCATATTCTCAAAGTTACCTTGTTCACTGTTTTAAGTTATGCATTTGACAAGATATCATGACAAACAGAAATTATATTATATATAATTATATATATATTATAAAAAGAAAAATTCTCAACAACGAGTCTTTAGTACTTTCATCTCTTCTAGGAGATTCTTCAGACTGTATATTAAAGTATATATATATATATGCTTCCACAATGTTTTTAGTCTATATGTTTCCACAATATTTTAGTCTATATTCTTCCATAGTGTTTTTAGTCTTTGTGCTTCCACAATGTTTTTCAGGGAGTATAACATGTGAAGAATTATCTGTACACACAAGCATATTATCATATTATGACATCATAGAATGGTAACAATGATATTGGCTCAATTGACATAAAAGATATACTATTACTGAGACATGGTTGATTTTGTATGTACAATGCAGATAATGTAAGTTCAATCCATTTTCTTAAAGTGTACAGTACACCTGTAGAATTTTAAAAAATACAAACTGTTTGAATCAACTGCTAATATCTCAAGTTTTTCTAAAACCAAGATTAAGATCTAAAATGATCATGATCTGATAAGACCAAGATCCAAAAAGACTCAGATCTATTGTCACTAATCTAGCGCCCTCTAAAACAAGAGTACTTTAACCAGACACCGAACCACCACTACTTTACCAGTATGTCTCCCTGTGGACAGAAGGCAGGTGTTAGTATATCCAAACATTGGTTCACTATACATTGTTAATACAGTTATTGTGTGAGATTATACACTACAGGAACCATTAAGTAAAATAAAATTCAAGATGGACTGCAACTCAATACTTTCCTTAATTTTCAACTTGTTTTTTTACTTCAATTTCAATTCAATCATGGAACAAAGCAGCTTAAATTTAGTATTTGACACTACTACTTTGTCAGTAGGGCATCGTAAGTGTTCTTTTAAAAGACATTTTAATTTTATCTATGCAAAATGTTCTCCAAATACAAATTTGAAAAAATATCAATTACGTTGTTCAAGTGAAAATTTTAACAGAAAACCATTATTTGCCCAATAATTAAACTAAAATTTACTGTAAAGGATTTTCTTTTAGGAAATATGTTATTTTCTAGAAATAGCATCACTTGTCAGAAAGAAAGGGTTGATGTGTTAAAATACTGACTCAGTCGTTAATACTGAAGATTTAGCCACTGAAATGTAATTCTAAATGTTACTTACAATGCTAACAATTCCATTCTATTATCATTTAATGTAAAAAAACATATAATCAGACCATTCTATTATCATTTAATGTAAAAAAACATATAATCAGAGTTTCTTTTACTTGATAAATCTGTGAGTGAAACATAGGTCTAATTCCCATTTTTCTTGAAAAAAGATTGCCAAAATAATGAAAGCTTACTTCATTAAACTTAACATAAAACCTTAAAGGCAATGAAACAGTCTAGGTATATACCAGGTCCATATGGAATAATATGACATTTTTTTACTTAAAATACTGACAAAAGTTAGTAACACTGACTCAGACTTTCATTCACTTTGACTGGCTTACCTTCACCTTGACTCAGACTTACATTCACTTTGACTTAAGACTTACATTCACTTTGACTCAGACTTACCTTCACCTTGACTCAGACTTACATTCACTTTGACTCAGGCTTACATTCACCTTGACTCAGACTTACATTCAATTTGACTCAGACTTACATTCAATTTGACTCAGACTTACATTCACTTTGACTCAGACTTAAGTTTGCCTTGACTCAGACTTACATTCACCTTGACTCAGACTTACAATCACCTTGATCCAAATTGACTTTGACTGAGGCTTATTGTGACCCTGACTCAGTTTACCTATCAGAACAGAGATTTTAACTCAAATTTGCAATAACCTAGATTAGATTTCAGACTTAGGACTGCATTCACTTCAAGTCAGTCCATCACTCACCTTGAGCAGTATCGTGTCCATGTGCTTCCTCAGCGGGTGGTTGTATCGGATTTTTTCAGACACCTGCTTGATTTCCTTTGAAAAAGATCACACAAATAGAAAACATTAATCTTAATTCAAACCATGACATATGATAAAGCATGACTGGACAGGTGAATAAAGCAGATATGATATTGTATAAAACATGATAATTTGTTTCATGATATAAAAATGAATTTTAAGCTTCCTGTTTGAAGTTCTTATAGCAGGTTTTTATCTTAATCTTCTGAAGTTCTGCTGGAAATGATGCAAATATGTCTTCGTTTTAGTACATTTACCATTATAAATTTAATATTTGTGAATGCATCTTTTTTTTCTTTCTTTTCTTCCCTCCATTTTAACTTGTTTTAATTGTAACAGGTGAGATGAAACCTTTGGTCTAGTTGGACCAACAAAGGACAAATGCCATAGCCTTATTTGCAGAGTATAGCACCCTAAGAACATATGAAAATGAAACGACCAATATTGTTTGGAGTTTCTGCTCATGAAGTTGTCTCATGAGATTTTCTGGAAAAGCCCTACCAAATGCTGCACCATTTCAATCTCTTGTTTGTTCTGGAGCTTTCAAATTTTGCTTTTATTGTTGCGGGTGTTTTAGAATTTCCATTATAAACTGAAACAGCGTCATCATGTGTCAGTTAAACCTACATCTAGTACATCCTCGAGGTTTTCCTCTGCCTCAGTCTTCTCCGTGCTCAGTTTGGCAATCTTAAACTGAGTCCGCTGTAAGGTGTAGACTGTCTTCCCGCTGTTCCAGATAGTTCTGGGAACCTCTACTAACCCGTAACCCAGCAACAGTACGAGGAGGAACAGTCCCCAGGTGTTACTGGCTGTAACTCCAATCACCTTCAGCTTCTCTCTGTGGAAGGTAGTTACGGCAATGTGAATGACAGTCACAGATATTACAGACCTTTTATTTATTTCATTTGGGCATAGCTATAGCACAGTTAACGTTAGGCCAGGACACTTTCACTGACCAGGTAGCTCAGTTTGATAGAAAAATAACAATCTGAAGTCCACAGTTTGAATTCTGGTGTAGCTCTGCTGAATTTTTACACCCAAAACATTGCTGTTGCTTATTTTTTATTTCATCTTTATATAATTTTTTCATATAAAGGTATGTTTTTCTTTTCAGAAAGATTTATTAAAGCTATATATAGTCATGCCAGAAAAAACCCACTTCAAATATGCAGTAACAGTTTTTGACAGTGCTACAGGGATCATTATTACAGTGTACACTCATGGTTAGCCAGTTGTGTGAGCTTAGTAGATTATGTTATACACATTAGCACTATACATATGCAAGACCACACACTTGTGTTTTTCTAACGAATCAGAAAGCACAAGTTTATTGCGTGGACGAATATATTCACGAGTGCGCGGAGCATATATACGTCCGCGCAATAAATGAGTGCTTTCTGATTCGTTAGAAAAACACAAATGTGTGGTCTTGCTTTTATCACATACCTTCCGTATTTTGTAGAGATCGATACAAAGATTTTATAAACTTTGATATTTTTTGCAAATACTGGGAACATTTCAGTTCGCCATGACAAGGGGATTCCTATAAAAAGTAGTTCCGGCTAGTAGGTAAATACAACATTCCGTATTGCACATGTGCAATACAGAACGCTGTATTTCATGGTCTGAAAATTGCTTGTATTACTATAACAATATAACAACTACAGAAAATCATTAATTTTAAGCCGACTGCTTACGCATCGATATGAAGATCCGGTCTGACAGCCACATAGATGAGGCAGACACCGAAGATGAGAAGGTAGGTGGCATAGTATATGATGTTCTCTATGATGGCTGTCTTGATCTTCCCGGCCACGCTGAAGTCCCCGGCCGTCGAGTAGGATTGCATCATAGGCAGTAGTAACCTAATAAACAGATAATTATAATACACCTCCTAATATGGACATGACTATAATACAATTCCTAATATGGGCATGATTATAATACAATTCCTAATATGGGCATGATTATAATACAATTCCTAATATGGGCATGATTATAATACAATTCCTAATATGGGCATGCATCATAAATGGCAAGTCAAAGCATCACTGTATAAGTTCTAATATGAGTGTGTACCAAAGGTAGTGGTAGTTTGGAAAACAAGTCTGAAATAAACTTTAATATAGATCACTACTTTAAAATTCCTTCTAAGACATGTTATGTTGAATCTTACAAGGTAACAATCTGTCATGTTGAGGTTTTACAAGGTGATAAACTGTTATGATGAAATCTTACCAGGTAAGGAACTGTGACGTCCAGTAAACTACATGCCACAGAGCTGGGAGGACGTCGTCAGGGACGTGACTGAGGGGTTGCTCACAGGGGCTAATAGACAGATGAAGTGCTTGGGCACCTGTTGGAGTGCCCAGAGTTGTTGAGTTTTCACCTGCTGGAGGACTGATGGGGGTCTCTGTGACATTGTCTATACCACTACTGTTTGGAGATCGTGCCGTGGTGGTAGACAGCTGAGGAGTTTGGTTATCCCTCAGGCATTGGCGATAAAACGTCTGAAAAGTTACATTATTGTGACATGTGGTTAGTAATGATTATTCACATTTCATACGATAAGGAACAAGTTAATCATTAAAATAATATTTTCAACATATCAAAATAAAATAACTGATTTTCATTACCGGTATCTTTATAAATGGATGTACAAAACAAGCAAGAGCTGATCAATAGTGATTTAATTCAATTGTAGCGTTATCAGCTGGAATTACTGTAGTGAATTCTTATTAAGATTTCTGGATTGTTGTAACTCACTAAATTTCACAAAATAGTTACTTATAAATGCATTTGTGCTTCAATTACAATGAACTTATAAAGGTGATTTGAAATATATGAATTGGTGATTGACTCTCTTCACTTAAGTAAAATGACATATTACACAAAACTTATCACTGTCTGATACTCCATCTCCAACTTTGTCCAATTAATATTCTGGGATGACAAAACTTTAATATTTTAGCACATGTTTATAATGAGCTCCAGGTGAGCTTAGAAATTATGGTTAAAATTCATTACCGTAGAGTTTGGAGTTCATATGACAATGCCTTGTCAAGGGACTTGTATATGACTTTTTTATTCATAAGAATTAACAGTAATAATTTGTGTTTGTAGGAGAAAGCACTGAGTATTTTTTTTTTTTATTGCTGGACCTCATTGCCAGAATTTATTTTATTCAAAATCTGAAAGAAAAAGCACAAACAATATGCTTCTCGATAAACTAATGATATTGAATAACATACTGGTATATAATCAACATAAAACTACACTTACTGAGGAAACATCTAAGGGGAGAACGAAGATTATCATAAAAGAGAAGTACCAAGCAACAAAAGTTGCTAATGTTACAAGGACATGCTGCTTCCTCAGATCTCCATAGCGATGAAGGAGAAATGCTGCAAGGCAACAAGTGCAGATAATCTCGACAACAAGAGGCCCGGCACTCATTTTGTTGGTTGAGGGTCACATGCACTCTTCAGATTTTTAACTTGCAGATCAATTATTAGAATACCTGAAAACGGATGGAAAAAATATTATTGAAATGACAACCAGTCTGTAATTAATGACTCTAAAGGCAAGAGTGCATAAATGAGCAGTGGGGACAGATTTTGCACTTAAGCATTAACTCATTCACCCCTAAATTTTCATAATGAACTTTTCTAACCATTGAATTGGAAGAGTTCAAATGTGTCTTCAGGGATGAATGAGTTAAAATGTTCTCCAGATCAGGGCTGAAACAGTGATGTTGGACATGTTAGTAAGATTTCAATACCTGACAAAAGAAACCAGGAGATTGTTATTTTGATGCTCATGATAAAACCTAGAGAATTCCAGGCATATCAGGAGAAATCACATATATATGAGTGTCCACACGAGGCTGTGCCGAGTGTTTGGCAACTTAAGAATCTGTCCTCGAGGGTAGAGATTCCCCTATCTTACCCCCTTGGGGGTGAATGATTCTTTTTCTCTTACCCTGCTTTCCAAATGTGTATCATATACACAATGTAATGATAACGTTACATGCTAAATTCATGGTTGACGTGACGTTGATTGATTGTTGACGTGACATCACTGTATTGTTGAAGTGACGTCATACCATTGTTATGAATAGGGGAATCTCTCCCCCCCCCCCCCCCCCCGTCTCAACCCTAGGGTGAGACAAGGAAAATCTCACACTTGTGAAAGTGCGGATACACTTGTCCAGGGTAAGAGAATAAATTGTGTAAGATGTGATTGTGTAAGTTAAATTATAGAATATCATTAATTGCTTTACATGTTAGTTTCTTATCTAAATATTTTGAAATCATGTGATACAATGTGTTTTATAGAGGTTCCCCCATGAGTGATGTTTGTTTACCTAACTCAAGTTATTTAATTTTTAAATTATATAAAGACAAAAGGTTCACTGGATGTCTTTTCCAATTTGAAAATAATCTAATGAGAGTTAGATAAACATAATAATCAATAGTCATGAGTTTGGAGACATTTTTATCGCACAAAGTTAAGATGTTATCTAGAAAACTATTTGTTTCTCTTGCGAATAAATCATTCCAGTTTCAGACCTATAGTGGTTGCAGGAGAAATACACACATTAAAACCATATAATAATAGATTTATATATGATGCTTTACAATACTGTTCTTACACAACATTTTTAATACTTATACCAGGGTTTGCCACTAACTTTCTATGACTATATATAGCAAGGTCCCGATCACTGGCACCTGCTTCACATATATCAAATTCTGGTTGATATGTAGGCAGTTACGCGTTATCACAAGGAGACAAACACAAACATATTGCAGCCTCCCAAAACACACACTCATACACTACACGCATTTGTCTTGCATACAGGGGATGCCTTCCTTAAATGACCATAGCTGTCTTTGGAGGACGTTAAACAATACCAAACCACACCAAAAAAAAAACGACCATCCAAATTTCGGGTAGACCTGCCAAAAAAGTGGCCATTCTGTTGACTTTTAACTTGAATGCTTTATAAACAACAAAAGTAACTATGTGACCAGTTCCTTGATAATGCACATCCTTATCCTAGTACAGACGTACTGATAACAATAGACAAAAATGTCCTATTTATTCACTGATCAAGATATGTCCACTTATAAGCACCTCCGATAAATGCATGTTTTATAATTTAAATTCCATAAAAAAAGGTTATGGAACAGAAGTCCAGTGGTTGATTAGACTTAAAAGTTAACTGACATGTACATTTGTTATCCTTTAAATGTCGTAATACGGCAACATTTCGGGATAACAGGGAACATTTTTAGTCAATATCAAAATTAGGAGGGCCATTCTCTGTAAAATTAAAAGAAAATTGGAACATGGAGCTCAATTTCAATTTTAATGGGTCAATGGCCCCCTCCAGGATTATCGCTGACGCTTATGTAAAAAAAAAGGTATACGACGTCATAGATTCACATCTACCTATGATGAATCAACACACCTGTGTCTTTGTTCATTGTCTTTCTTAAATACTTCAAATATATAACAGTCCTTTTAAAACACAACACAACCCCCTCCCTCTCTCTCTCTCTCTCTCAAAAAGCTAAATAACAGCAATATTGGATAAGGTGTGTCTGCTCTTGGTGATAGAAGACCAATGAAAAGGGAATCTTACGTCTTCACAATCGAATCAATCACTTGATGCGTTTACAACAAACCCAGAGACGTTGTTTTTCTTCAAACTTCATAATGAAATACGCTGACAGAGTGCCACATCTGTGCCAAACATTAATCTGACACTGACGTCATAAATATTGATCCACGTGCGCAAATACTAACAAAACATAGTCATTGAAACGTTTGTAATCTAAGGGTGAAATGGGGAGTTCTCTAACAAAATAAGAGAAAGCGGTGAGGAATTAAAAAGATACGGAGTTATTTTTAATCAGTTTAAGAGTACACTCTTATGGAGACATAACACAAAAAATATATTCAACTTACAGAAATGTAGCATTGTGTACATTCTTTCATCATACACCGACACGTGTGGCTTTAAAATAAACAACAAATCCATGTTTTCATGTGTTGTATGTTAAGTCAATAAGTGCATATTATAAACAATATATTTCTTTTAGGTATGTCAGGGATGTGTAGCGGATCAAACGTTGATGCCTGTAGCTATTAAACAAACAACAAAGCCATGTATTGACGATCTGTACTTAATAACTTAGATCAGGAAGGCAATTATTTTCCTGGCTCCTTTACATTTTGTGTCGCCGCATTGATGGCAGTTGTTATAAAAATAACAACGTTAGGTGCACTACACATCCCTGGGAAAATGTATCCTCAAAAATATTGAGTGATGTATTCTGTATTGTGCATGATATATATCTTTGGTAATATTATGTTGTATCATTTATTAATATAAGTTGTTGTTGTAAGTCATTAATAATTATCTCTCTCTCTATATATATATGTATATTTGTACAATTATTTAATCTTGCATCTATAAAAGTGGATTTCCACAGGGATTATGTATAGAAGATTAAATTATAAGGATTGACTTTAATATATTTTTCATGTTATGGAGCTATAACACACATAAAATGGAGTGTATTCTAATCTTAAACCGCTTCGCAGTTTATTTAGATTACGCTCCATTTTTTTGTGTTATAACTCCATAACATAAAAAATATATTCAAGTTAATCCTTAAATAATATTCAGGTATATGTAAAAGATAACTAGATTATTTCCACGCGTGCCGTAGTTGGCTAAAATATTTATCTATAATATCTATGTTAAGCATGTATTTGTATATTTTAGATGATATATATGTTGAAGATAATAAGATTATTTCCACGCGAAATTATTCGAAACAAGAAATGAATTATTGATATTGACAAGGAAATAGTCAAAGCTCTAAAATTGAAAGAGTTACCTCCCATTAACTCCATTTTATAGTTCAATATAAGTTCGTAGCGGTTGGGACGATACAAAATTTTAAGGGAATATAGCTTTTGGTGGAAATGGATTTTGGGGCGGTATTGTTGTCTAACTTGGGGCGAACTGAACTGAAAATTGGGACGATGTGATTTTTTGGGGGGCGAACTAGTTTGGGGGCGTAACTGTTTTGGGGCGAAACGTCTGACACCCCTTCTGTTAAATTTCAGACGCTTCGCCCCAAAATCGTTACGTCCCAAACCAGTTCGCCCCAAATTTTGTTCACATCGACCCAATTATCAGTTCAGTTCGCCAAAATTTGATTCATCTCGTCCCAACCAGTTCGCCCCAAAAATAGCATAACGCCCCAAATAGTTCGCCCTAATAAAAAGGAAAGTGCTTATTTTCACATTATTATGTGAATGTGTTTACCGTGCTAAGGGATATTGCTCTTGTTTCGTGTATACTACGGAAAGGTCGGCGCATCAAATATATGTACACATTATTTCAGTTTTACAAAGCCGGAATAGTAAAAGTGCTATGTTTCCTTTAACAATCGTTNGCAAGGAAAAAGTCACAGCTCTAAAATTGAAAGAGTTACCTCCCATTAACTCTATTTTATAGTTCAATATAGGTTCGTAGCGGTTGGGACGATACACA